ATGGCATAATATTAGTCTATGAGACAGACTGTCAACACACTGAAGCTGGGCTACGTCATAAATTAAATGACCAATGAGTTATACCTGATAAAATTAAAATGATGAAGGTGATGCATTGGTTATTATATTAGTATAACTTAAATTAGTATAAATAAAAGAAATAATTTGTATTCAGCTTCTATATTCTCTATCAGAGCAAGTGTTGATTCAATGACCTGTATTTTTAATTATGTAACAAGTAGTTAATATAGTTTACACTTAAATTACAATAATGATTCTCTAATGAACATAATTTTAAATATGATATCTCTTTTTGCAGGTAAAAAATTGTGTAAAAATATGTCTGCAGCATTGTCTTACACTGCAAATTTCTGTGAGTATTAGATGAAATTTACTAACAGTTAATAGTTTTGAATCCAGTTTCATACAATTATTGTATGAATATTTTATTTTGCAGCAACTTATGTGGATGGCAGGCTCGTCAGCACAACATTAAGAAATACAGCTGAAGTTGTTTCATTCTTTGACCAATTATTTGATAGTGTCAATGGAGCATCGATAAACAAAAAAGCATAAAGGAAAAGAGAATCATCCTTTCTGGCCAAAGGCAATTGAAATTTTAGAAAAACTTAAATATGTGTATAAAAAGGTATCCAAATATCAGTGCCCTCTTTAAAAAAAATGTGATTACCTTGAAAAGTTTCATAAGGTTGTGCCACTAAAAAAAAACGTAGCTAAGAATTGCCGAGAATGCAGAAGAAAGCTGTGAAAAATATAATAAGTTAAAAAATAAATTATTCAATAAATAATATTGGAAAAATGTGTGTTTCATTTACGTGTTCGTTTTTCCTTTTTTGTTTTAGTACAACAATAATAATAAGCTAGACTTATCAGTCTGCTTTATTGTTATTGTTGTATTAAAACAAAAAAAGAATTTAAATTAAAGTAAAAATAATGTGGAAACTAGGAAGACGGCTAGGTACCTACCCAAAACAGGGCTGTATAGCTAAATGCCTTTGCCGATAGTAGATCTATATATTTAAAACGAATGAATCTGTCATGTATCACTGGCTCCCAATCACGTTCTACGAAGAAATTTTTTGTTAGGAAGTTGGTCGTCTGATAACGTACTAAGTCTGTGGTCAAAAGTTAAAATCACGGCCCGTCAACTCCATACAATAAACCAATCGCGTAGGGGTCCAGTGATGTATGACATTTCCTCACGCCCCTCACCCCTGTCAGTAGATGGAGACATGACACCTGACAGAAACTGTCATTACAACAAAGAGTAAAGATAGTAATGAATCCCGTTTAGGTTAAATTAAATCAAAACAGTTTCTGACCCCCTAATGGATTTTTTTAGCATTTTTGCAATGTAGGAATTTAACGTTTTTGAAATAGAATTATTCATTTTTCATGTATAAATTAATTTATTTACTTGACATTGGCAGAATTGTGCGAAATTCGCACATAAGCCATTAATTAAGAAAAGAAGAAGAAGAAGTAATGTTTTAATCAATCTTTAATTCATTTTACATGTTGGAATTAATTTATTCATTTCACATTGGCAAAATTGTGTGAAATGTGCAGATATGCCATTAATAAAAGAAGAAGAAGACTAAAGTATGTACGTACATATCAGGAAATTACAAGTGATTGAGTAAAGTCTATTTTGTGCTTACCGTCTTCGCTTTATTTGTAATATAAACTCTCCATTTATCGAAGTATTTTTATTTGTAGAAGATGCCTAAGAAATTGGTGTGTTATGGTTGTGTTACACGCATTGTTGAAGTACGAACAGGACGCTATTCTTTATAAGATCCTAGTGAACGAGAAAAGATTCTCCAAGTGGTTACAATGTCTTAGTGCTGTGTGTGGTACTGAACATTTTAATCCAGGCAGAAGTGTAATTAGTAGCAAACACGTTGTACCCAAGATTCATCACTCCAAAATCATGACTCTTGGGTGATGCATATCCGTCATTGTTTATTGATGATGGGCTCTCAATCAGCCTACCCTATTCAAGCAATACTGGTAAGGCTGGTTTAATCTGATATTACCTTTAGATAATGTAATTAAAATGATATGTATCTTCACTTTATGTTGTGTTTTGGAATACTGCTATTCTTCATTACATTTTTTTTTATTACAGAAATTATATTCACTTGGGAACACAGCTATGCAAGAAAAAGTCATGCTGACCACACATATTAGAAAGTGGAACTGAACAGAGGTTTGTTTTTAATTTATTTTATTTAGATAACAAACTATGAACTTTGTGTATTTTAGCAGCAGTTTTGGTGTATTTTAATATAGATTTTTGCTTTAAAAAAGTCTAGTAGATCTCTATTTCTTACACACATAAAGAAAAATTACATTAAGTTACTTAACTCTAGCGGGCACGCTAGAAGTGATTTTGATCAGAGAATAAATTGATAATATAAATAACATATTTCTAATATCATCTAAGATTATATCCTGTTTTTTAATCTTACACACATAATCAATATTGATTTCATAGGTGGTGTAATTTAAAAGAACAAATTGAGACTCCCGTGTCTGCAGCCACTGAGTTTACACAATTAGTTGCTTGCTCTGGAGATTAAAATATGACACAAACTAAATTATCTGGTAAGACCTGTCTCTTTCTTTAGTGTATCTTTATTTCAATCAAATAGTAGTTCTAATAGAGAAATTCACTGAATACTTTTGATGTTACAGACCCTGTGAAATGTACCCAAACAAAAAGGAAAAGGCTTATTACCAAATAAAGCCAATTGTCACCTTTATACCAGAGAATTTATGAAATATATAACAAGCCAAATACGTAGTTGAACTTTTATCATAAAGTTAAGAATACTTAAATACCTTTAAGTATTGTAAAAAGTTATCATTTGAAAAGTTCTGACAAAAAATGAACACAGTTGCAAAAATGTTTTTGAAATTCAAGTGAGCATGTGCTCTAAAAATAAACATGAGAGGTGATTCACTACTGAAGAAAAGATAATTGCTTTATCAATATCAAAGCAGAGTCCAAAGTGTTATTGATTTTTAAGCAAAATTTTTTATTTTGTCATCCAAAACTACACTGAATACTATGATTAGAAAATTGATCGTAGAACCAGGCTTCATGTAAGAGGTAAATATATTCCATATAAGGTTTTTCAGACTACTTTTATAATTTTTTGTATTACTACAAAATAATAATATGCTACCTATTTGAATTTACTTTTTCAGGTGGACAAATGAAACTCCAAAAAAATATGCTCCATCATATTTGATGAGATGTCATTAGAAAAAGCGCTTTCGTATAATAAAAGTAATAAGGATTAAAGATAATATTAATGGATTTGTAGAACACCAAGAAAAGAAAGTGGATTTTGCAGATCATACTCTTGTATTTATGTGGGTGCTATTTACAAGTGGCAACAGCCTTTATGTTAGTATTTCTGTCAAGGAGCGACATCTACTGTACATCAAGAATATTTTAAAGTTAGTAGTAGAAAAAGTTGTTGAATTGGACCTTAATCCCATCGCAATAATATATGACCAAGGCTCAGCTTTCCAATCAGCACTCAAAAATCTAAATGAAGACACTTAGTGTAATCAAATTTTAAATTGAAATCACAGGTTGGTACAGAGAATTATATTTATATGAAAGAAAACTAATAGATTTATTGAAAGTAGTGAAGGTTCTTATTTTTATATTGTTATCTATGTTTTAAGAAGTTCTTAAATTTTTGTTTCAGTTGGATTCTTAAAATATGTGGGGTGGATTTGAACATTATGATTCAACACACTTGATAAAATGTATCAGGAACAATTTTTTAACAAAAAATTTAATATTGGATAGTAAACTTGCAAAATGGCATGATATTATTTATGTCTATGAGACAGATTGTTAACACACTGAAGCTGGGCTACATCATAAATTAAATGACCAATAAGTTATACCTGATAAAATGATGAAGGTAATGCATTGGTTATTATATTAGTATAACTTCAATTAGTATAAATAAAAGGAATAATTTGTATTCAGCTTCTATATTCTCTATCAGAGCAAGTGTTGATTCAATGACCTGTATTTTTAATTATGTAACAAGTAGTTAATATAGTTTACACTTAAATCACAATAATGATTCTCTAATGAAGATAATTTTAAACATGATATCTCTTTTTGCAGGTAAAAAATTGTGTAAAAATATGTCTGCAGCTTTGTCTTACACTGCAAATTTCTGTGAGTATTAGATGAAATTTACTAACAGTTAATAGTTTTGAATCAAGTTTCATACAATTATTATATGAATATTTTAATTTGCAGCAACTTATGTGGATGGCAGGCCCGTCAGTACAACATTAAGAAATACAGCTGAAGTTGTTTCATTCTTTGACCAATTATTTGATAGTGTCAATGGAGCATCGATAAACAAAAGAAGCATAAAGGAAAAGAGCATCATTCTTTCTGGCCAAAGGCAACTGAAATTTTAGAAAACCTTAAATATGTATATAAAAAGGTATGCAAATATCAGTGCCCTCTTTAAAAAAAATGTGATTACCTTGAAAAGTTTCATAAGGTTGTGCCACTAAAAAAACGTAGCTAAGAATTGCCGAGAATGCAGAAGAAAGCTGTGAAAAATATAATAAGTTAAAAAATAAATTATTCAATAAATAATATTGGAAAAATGTATGTTTCATTTACGTGTTCGTTTTTCCTTTTTTGTTTTAATACAACAATAATAATAAGCTAGATTTATCAGTCTGCTTTATTGTTATTGTTGTATTAAAACAAAAAAGGAATTTAAATTAAAGTAAAAATAATGTGGAAACTAGGAAGACGGCTAGATACCTACCCAAAACAGGGCTGTATAGCTAAATGCCTTTGCCCATACTAAATCTATATATTTAAAACGAATGAAGCTGTCATGTATCACTGGCTCCCAATCACTTTCTACGAAGAAATTTTTTGTTAGGAAGTTGGTCGTCTGATACCTACCAAGTCTGTGGTTAAAATGTTGTGGTGGGTGGTATGGCCTTCTCGTTTTTCGCTCATTTCATTTTCTTTTTATATGTAAAATTTACGACAATTATCGACATACGAAGAATTGTGCGAAACGCGCAAATAAGCCGTTAATAAAAGAAGAAGAGCTGACCGCGTTTTCGATTACAGAAAAATGGAAATAATATAAATCTTTGTAGTGGTTTTGTTGGATATTCTAGAAGTATTTTAATTTTGTGTTTTGCTACTAAGTAGCGTAAAATAAGAACAAAGTGACTTAATTCAAAAGCAAATAAAAAGTATTACAACATAAAAATAGGAATCATGAATGTAACAGTCGTTGTTTCTGGATTACCAGACAAAGTAAGATCTAGTTTTAAATTAATAGTATATATTAGATAAATGTTTAAAATTTTTGGTTTAATTTTAAGAAATGAGAATTTGGGGATATGGTTTGAATTCTATTTTTGTAAGTACCTACTTTTATGTTTTCACGCAAAGGATTACGATACCCAAAACATTGCAGTCATGGGTATAGTTGTTAAATGTATCAGTAATTTATTATCATCAGTAAGTTAATTTATTTTTGATAGAATAATAAAAATCAAATATATTTTCTTATTTTTTAGGTGTCTTTAAAAGAATTAGCTTGCAACTTTGACAAATTGTTCAACACTGATGACGTGGGAACTTTTCGACTACGAGATCTTTCAAATGAAAATGAATCACGTTTAGTGGCATTGGATTTCGAAAATGGTTTTTCTGCCATGACTGTGCAACTGATGTTGGATGGCTTTCAATATAAATTACCTAATGGTGAAGAGTATAAACTAAAATGTAAAATATCTAAAAATAAGAAACACTTACAATTAGCTCCTATTACTTATGAACACAATGACTACACATGTGTATCGAAGTATGATTATTATTCAAATTCTGTAGTAACTTTTAATGAAGATATGATAGAAAGGCAAAACTCAAACTTAGATGTAAGTGTTTAATTTCATGGTCGTTGTTTTGTGTATATTTTGTCATCTCAAGCACAAGCACTATCATATTGATTCATGACTGTTTTATGCACACAGTATCAACATTTAGAAAGCTAAAATAAAATCTGCGATTCCGAAAGTGGGTGCTAAAATGAGCTACAAATAGTGTAAAATTAAAATATACATATAGATAATAATATATAAATTTGTGGCTACATGAAGTATTTAATCTTATGTTGTTATCTTACATTGCACTACTAAATATTAGTTTATTTAATTACTAGCTGGTGTCCTGCAACTACACCCATCTAACAATCAAATCTTTCCAGGCGCAGTTAAAATTATTGAAAAAGAAAAAAATGTTAGTAGAAGCTGAGAGGGAATTAGTGAAAGCAAAAAGGAAATTGAAAAAGGAGTACTGTAAAGTAAGTAATTGTGAATTTTTTAGATGCTCTATGTATCCAAAAAGTCATCAAGTCATTTTTTCATGAATTAAATCTAATCACTTCCTACAGAGTATAAGAGTAAGTGCTCTTTATACATATGCACTGAAAATGGGTTGTATGTGAGGGCGTCTGTGGATAGTGTCGTCGCACGCACACACTTACAAAATTATCGAAGTTATAGAAATTGAAGGCACGAGTGGCAACTCGCCATTCGTCAAGTCGTGGCTAGTACGCCGTGCTTGCGTATATTCTGCGTCTCTGTCTGTGTCTCTGTCTGCTCGTTATAAAATTTCTAAACGTAAACAAGATGGCTTTGAAAATTAAACCAAAATATATTATTATATCATAAGTAATTTTAATTTTGTGTAGCTATTTACCCATCGAAAGTGTTTATGAATTATTTCTACTCAAGATTTCGTTTACCAGATATCAATTTGTAGTTTAATTTATGTAGTTGTAAGCCCGAATACGGCCATATTGAATTGTTTATTTGCATATTAGACAATGTAATATAAAAAATATGAGCCATTGATAGAAACTGTTTGTATAAAGCACATGATTATTAAAAATTAAGATGGGCATTATTTTATTTTGTTCGTAGCCTAATTATTTGGAAAAAATTAATAAGCACATAATCCATTAAAACCACGTTTTAATTTTACATGACGTAGGTATGAAAAAAAATGTAGTCAGCCCCTAGTCTGTATATTACAAAAAAACCATTAAAAAGTTATATTATAGTTTCCGGATGCTTACCATACCGACATAATAAGCGACAGATGTTTCAGGGCTTGGAAACCGGTTTATTTTTTGAGCCGGTTCGACGTAAGTATATGCGGAACTTTACATAAAAGGTTCCTTTGAATTACATTTACATTACAGCTCCTTTGAACAGGTTTTTAAACCGGTTCGCTAGAAATACGGTTTTCTTCATTAACCGGTTTAAATATGACTCCAGACAATGATCTTGAAACTTCAGCACGGTTTTTAAGTGCCTATACTCCTATCTATTACATCCGTACACAGTTATGATAAATGTCATCGCTTAAAAATGATATAATTCGCATTAAAAGCGTAAGAACATTGATTTTTACGAACCTAGCGAATTAACCGGTTTTTATTCCATCCGAATTTCACTCCGCATTTAGTTCCGATCCGGAACGGAACATTATAAGAGAACAGGTTTTACTTAAATAAAAACGGTTTATTCTGAACCGGTTTCAAGCCCTGAGATGTTAAGGCTATATCTCGCTCGGGTCTCGAGTACACCTACTTATATATTTGTACTATGCTTCCTAGCTGCATTTTACTAAAAAAGTTGCGGGAAGCCACTGGATGCGGGCAGCATAAACAGATTGGTGTGGAGAGTGGAGTTCTATGGAGGAATCCCAGTGGCGGACTAAGGGCAATGAAGGGGGCGGAATGGAAAGCAAAATGGCTGCAAGTTTCCTTGATCAAATCATAAATTAGGGTTGGAGACCCCATAGACAAATATTTACAGCCTGTAGTGCTATTTTACATTCTTTTAATTAAGTTTCTGCCCCGGTTGGAAAAAGTTGATCCAAGCCTGTTGCTGCCCCGGACTGATAGGGTTAGTCCGCCACTGGGGAGGCAGTAGCTGTCGTCATCAAGTGATAAGGCCACCGATTGCGGTGAACATATTGATGTTTGTGAAAGATTTTTGTTAAGGGGCCCTTTATTTGTCTCTTTTCTATTGTGCAATAAAGAATATTTATTATTATTAATAATCGTAATAGTTGATTATTAACAGGGTGTCCACTTTTTGGAAAATCAGGGAAAGTCAGAGAAGGAAAAGATGGTCAGGGATAGTCAGGAAAAAAAATTAGGTAAACTGTGAAGTCAGGGAAAAATATAAATCTTTCCCTTTCTTTCTTTTTTCTTTAAATCTCAGAGTAACAGGGACACTGTTTATATTTTCCAGTATAGCATTATGAATCTTTGTTGAATTTTTATTATTACTATGATTTTAGAGCTCTCAAATTGATCATGAGTGTTTCTATATAAAGTATTCGTAGTTTTTATTTAAAAATATAGAATTCAAACTATATTTTCACCCTGTCTTATAATTCGGAGTGTAACAGTTTTCTTTAAGCACTATATATATGTAGTATAAATCTATTACTGTGATATTAGATGCCAGCTTAACATTTATTTTGATTGGATTATCAAGGCTTGTGATGGCTTTTAATTTTCTTCAACCACAATGCAACATGAAATTTGATAAGACCTGTTAAAACTGGTGCTTTTTTTCTTAGTATATTATTATGCAATCAGTCTACTTGCTTATGAGCAGCTTTGTTCATGAAATTGACGTTGAGAGAATAACAGCCTACGCTGTGTTTTCCATGTCTGGTGTTTTGAGTCTCTTCAGGTGTTTGACACTTTCCGGCATCGTCAGTTGTATAGTCAGTGTAGATGATTTAGATGATGGTCTAGCCTATTTTTATATTTCTTTAGGATCATCTCGGCAATTTCTTCCTTGATGTTGCTCGGGTTACCAGTGAACCGCGTAGATGATTTGAAAATATGTTTAAGGATGTCATTTTGGTCTCTTCGAATTTTGTTAATGTTGTTGTGATAGATTTGCATTCCCAAATGTCCTCTTAATTATTATCTGCGGAAACTATGCCTCGTTTTTCGTAATAAAACACTTTTACGCGCACCATTACGATGACATCTGTTATGAATCAAAGAAACAATTGCTCAAGACATTTTCATATACATTTTTAAGAACTACTTGTCAGTGGGTAAAAGAAGGTGTGATAAACAACAGCTGCTGTCACTTGCTGATGGTCATAGTAAAAGTCCATAGATCCGAAATTGTTTTAAGGATAACGTTATATAACACTAACTTATTGTCCGATGATAACTTTGAGTTCCTTATGGGCAACCAGTACATCTCTTGATATTTGAGATTTAGAACGTCTCTCTTTGATAAAATATGTTTGGATCATGTAAGACGACGATCCAGGTGCATACCCAGATATTTAACCGAGCCACAGGAAGGCAAGATGTTTGAACCCAGCCTTACTCTCGATTGATTTTGATGAGCTTGCTTTTATCTTCCAGTTTTTGTCACTCATCAATGTGTCATCAGTATTAAAGGTCAGGCTGGATGCCAAAATAACAGTGTAATCTGCGAAAAAAGCAACGATTACTCCCACAGTCTCCGGTAAATCAGACGTAAAGATGATGTACAGGATCGAGCCAAGGACCGAATCTTGCGGCACTCCAGCTTGAATTTTATCAAAAGTTGATTTGAAAAAGTATGTTTATATGCTACTTCCAAAAAAACTGCAGAGAAATTTTCTTTACGCTCAAACGTGCCTCCAATCAATTTGCACCCTTTATGGGCTTGTCCCAGGGAGGGGTGTTCCATTCAAAAAGTGTTATTTTTTAAGTTTCGATTATAATATCAATAGACTGATGGGTCGGTAAGGTGTTAACGTCGTGTAGTGGTTTACCAAATGTTGCTAAACCAATGGCTTTCCGACCCCCAATGAGTGTGTATTAAATTCCATTCTCCATTGGCAATATTTCCCTGTGATCTCAGGTACGAACTGAACTGGCCTTTATTTATCTTGGGTTATGGTGGAAAGTAAAAAGAGGAGAAGTCGATATCACCGAACTTGCTTTGGACTGTTACGGTCGTTGCCTGAATGGCTTCAGTGTTAAAGTGAAGTGATTCTTGGTGTTTAATTTAAGATTTACATCAGTCCCACCATGTGCTGTGCCATCAGGGTGTTTGGTATCAGAGATGGAATATTTTTTATCATTATAAGACTTTTGTTTGTGAAATGAGTTTCAGATACAAGTAAACTCTTGAGGTTGTGTAGGTGCAGCAGGGTCTTGACTTTGTTTTTGATGGGAGATGTTCCACGTTTCCATATATAAAGACATAAAGAGTTTTTGGACAAGAATAGTTATTAGACTTAGTAGAATACTCATTTGTTGTATCATTAAACTTTCGAGCGATTTCTTATCTTCTGAAAATGTTCACATTGGTTATGGAGCAAACCTACAAAAAAGCAACAGTGTACTAAAAAAGTTAACCTCTATTTAATCATGATTTAATGTCGAAATCGGAACGGGAATTAAAATTTATATATTTTAGGAAATTAAGAATAAGTGACATATAAAAAGATAGCGTGTGTGTGAGAGAGAGAGAATGTATCTAAAAAAATAGTTAAAGTACTGGTTGGTGTAGCTGTCATTGGATGGTACTTGAAACATTTTGCAATAAAAATGTGTTATTTTTATAGGATGTTATTGGCCAGGGAGGTTTTAACAAATGGTCAGGGAAAGTCAGGGATTTATTTTTGGCATTTAGAGTGGAACATTGATTGATTAATTAATACCTTCCCCTGATTGATTAATTAATACCTTCCCGCTAAATATTGTTGTCTTGTGCTTTCTAATAAAAAAAAGATGCATATTTAAACAAACTTGATAAAATCAGGTTGCTGATTCATTAGATTGCGGCAAGTCTCTTCGGATGTCAGGTGGAGATTATTTAAATATTACTGATAACGTCTTTATCGGTAAGAATGTTCTGTCCAAAATGAAAGAGAAGCAATAGTCAGGGGCGATTAATCCGATCGGTGATTCGCGTTTATTCGCAAATTTCAGAGCTATATGATGCGAAATGTGAATCACATTAATGTAAAAATGATTTTTTTTATACCTATATTGTCTTGTATCTGGATATTCTAGTTTATTTTATATTCAGGCGAGTTCTGTTTATTTGAAACGTCCAAAACATTATTGAAAAAGTTTTATGAATAAAATATATCTTTTTTTAAATTAAATATGAAAAATGCTTGGAATGGCAGATGGGATCCCATCTCAGAGTACAAGGGACAAATGGATTTTTCAAGCCTTTTAAGTGTCGAATGTTACTTAATATTTATATTAATTATTTGTTTTACAGGTTGCTAGTGATTCTGAGGACGAAAACTCGAGTGGTTCACATAAACATACTAAAATGCCGAAATCGTCAAAGTCTCGAAAGAGAAAATCAAAATCACGGGACAGACACAGCTCATCTACGTATTCTCCGCCTTCTAAATACTCATATACTTCCACTAAATCAAGGCATAAATCAAAATCCTTGTCCAGATCTTCATCGAGGTCGAGAAAGTCACCATCATTAACCAGGTCGACAAGGACACATGTGTCACGAAGATTGAGATCACCACGTAAAACTTCAAAATTATATGATGATTGCTCTATATACCCTTCTGCATCAAACAGATCACCGAGTCAGTCTAGAAGATTATCAAACAAAGAAACTTCTCTTGTATTATATGAGCCAAGAAAAAGCTCATGCAGTTTATATGAAAAATCGTATGCTTACAAGACATCGCCATCATTTAAAAGGTCTCCGTCTTCCTCGAGAAGGTTATCGCATAAAGAAAAATCGTCTTCTTTCAGAAGATCTAGGAGTAGAGAATCACCGTATTATAGAAACAGATCTTGGACAAGAAGGACATCACCAAGTTATTATAGGAGCTCTAGGTATTGTATTAATTAGTTATTTGCTCTAGTTATTTATTTAAAACCAAGGGTTCTGTAACGAATACGAGCAATAAATCATTTGTTGTATCAGGCCCCTTTAAATATTTATTTTATTCTGGTTTAAGTCGTTGAAACGGCCACAAAAATACATCATCTGTGAAAATTTCAACTGTCTAACTTTGACAGTTCATGATATACAGCCTGGTAACACACAGATAGAAAGCGAAGTCATAGTAATAGGGTTCCCGTTTTACCCATTGGGTACGGAACCCTGAAAACGGGAGTTTAAAACACTCCCGTTTTCAGGGTTTTGTTATGATTATATAGCAATATAGCATTTATGATTTTTTATTAAAAATAGATCGAAAATACTTGAAGGCAGCATGCTTACGAAAATTTGCTTATATTTCGGCAAATGGTTGGATTTAAGTAAAATATTTGCCATATGTTATCGATAAAATTTGTTAAAATAAATATGCGGTGGACTACTTATATTAATTCTTCATATTACCCATCCCGGCAGTCTTTCAGTAACTAGTGTAGTGAACTGAACGAGAGAGCAATCGGAAGGAAAACTCATAAGCGAAAACTAGTGACGGGAACTAATAGCGTTGGAAGTGTTATTTGACGTGAAATATTAAAGTTGAAGTGTGAATTTTGTAGATGGATTATTTTTGTGATTTTATTGTGTTAAATAAAATCGGAGTGAGAACTATAACTGGCGTTAATTTTTATCCCGAACCCTAAGTCGTAACATTTCTAACGTCATTTTGTCGCAGAAACATTAAAATATAATTACTTCTGATTGTTTCTAATAGCAAATTAGCATTGTAAGTTAAATAACTATATAAATGCTTCATATTTTTATTCACAGATATAGCAGAATTCATGGTTCTCCATTAGACGTAAAAGATTATAAGGATGATACATATTCCAGAAGAAAGTATGATAATTATGATGAAAACAAAATTCAGAGCACATCCCAGACTACTTCAAATAGCATCAAGTGTGCTATAAGAAAGGTTATTATTGAAATCGATAATCTAGTTCAAAGGGAACTTAAAACACTTTCTTTAAATGATATCAATATTGTAACAAATGTATTTAAAGACTATGTCAAAAATGGAATAAGGCAATTAAATAATGTAGTTAATGAAGATATGGCAGTCTCTGAAATTCTGAATGAATACAGATGTTATCGTAGTACAGAGGAAGACAAAAGTTTTTTTCTGAAATTAATAAATGAATTGAAGCCTATTGATATGAAGAAAACTATTGAAAATAATGGTATGTACTAAACAGTTGATTTTGCTTTTGTATTGGCCAAGTAAAGGAGTGGATTAATAAATTTTATATTTAATATCTTACCAAATTTATTATTATGTGATTGAAGTCACATTTCTGGTAGATTCTTATTTCATAAATAATTACAGATAATATATCAATACGCCAATCGGATGTTTGGGATGACATTGATGAAGTACTTCAAGAAATTCCTACGGAAATAGTAAGTCATCTTATCATAAAGTGAAGACTAACTTTAGTACAAGGTTTAAACTATTACACTCCTCAACTTGACGTTTTCTCTTCTATCATTGTCAGTTTGCTTTAGTACTAGAATTAGTTGTTAGTTTAAAGCTCCGTACTCACGTTCGGTATTACTTGATAGTTTTTCTCTAGAACAAGTAAAAAACCTATATGCGGCCTACACCTACAAGCCTCAGTCCGCCTTTGTTGAACGTAGTTTAATCACATGTTTATGGAGGAGGACCGCTTTCGCCCTAGATTTTGAATAATAACCATATCACAAGATCAATAACCGAAACAATCCAGCTAGCCAGTCGATTTTTACTAGTATTTGTTCGATAGAGTATTCTTCTTCCTACTTCGCTGCTTGACGTCAGAATGAAGGTTGATGAGGAAGTAGTTAAAAAAAAGTTAGTTCTCGAAATCAAACTAGATGTCGCTACGGTACTTTCTTGATTTCTCCATGACAGCCCTTCCGGGTTTCTTTCATGTATAAAAGTAAATTAATTTTCGAAACTCAATAACCAACTCATATTCTATTTGTAGCTTTTCGTATTTATATTGATATCTTAGTTTCAAACTTTGCAAATTTCAGTTTTTTAATATGTTAGTAAAAAAGAACGGAATTAACTATCTTTGGTCCACTGTTTTCTGCAAAAATCAACTTTTGGTAGAGTCGCCATCTAGTGAGCTGCTTTATTTTTCTTAAAATACTTCCTCGCTGCCTTTGGATTTGCCATTAGAGGCGTTAGTGTAGATCGATGTCTTTAAAGCGATTGTGAATTGCGGATTAAATCATGTTTTCATATTTTCAACTTTATAGCTCCAGGATAACAATGACACTAGTGTTTCGAATAACAATGACAGTGGGATCCTGATTACGAATACGACTGAACAATCAGATGTCATAAGAATCCATATAGATTTGAAAATACACCCGGAATCAAAATGTTCGGAAGCAGCCAGTAATGATACAGATGGTCATAAATCAAAGATATACACAAGTGATTGGTTTAATAAATATACATCTACAAATGGAAACATTAATGTTCAAGATGAAAAGCCTGAAGAAGTAGAAGACAAATTATCATCTGAAATAATTATTATCAGCGATGAAGAGAAAATTGTGCCTAAAAAAGAAAATATTGAACAACTACAGCAAATATTGGATAATATATTACAGGATTTTATTGAGGAAAAAAGTAGACTCGAAAACAAAGCTTTAGAAAATACCGAAAATGATAAACAAGTAATCGCAAAACCAGACACAGTAGTTCCTAAAAGGCCTCAATTTATAATACCGGTAAAAAAACTGATGATCCAAATGAAAACACTGTTAAAATTAAATTCTGAATGTAAATATTTGCATAACATAACACAAATTGTTTTAAGGGAAAGATTAAGAATTCTATTAATGGAAAAGGAACAAATGAAATCAGCACAAATTGTTGCACTATACAGATCTCATTATCCAAAAGAAGACGATGAAATATTTTTAAAATGCATTATAGAGGTTGTTAACAGTGGTAAATATCACGAATTGTGTGAAAAACAATAAAAAAAAAGATATATTATCATGCTTTATATAGTTGGGAACAGGTTTTCCTTTGTATGTTGACAATGTATTTCAGAAATTGCTTTTAATTAGGTAACACAAGTACAAAGTTTATGATTTGTCAAAGAGTATGTTCCTATGTTACTAATAAAAGTTGTCATGATTTGTTTTGTTAATCGATTCATTTGGATTACCTTGAGCTCGGACATTATTTTTGTGTGAATCTGCTTTTTATTTAAAATTTATTTGATAAAAGTTTAATGCACGCTTGATATATCTATATAGTTAAGATAGATTTTCCTTTCCTATTTTACAAGGATGTCAAAAGTATCAAATATAGCGTGTCTGACATCAGCACAGCAGCTTCCGGTAAGCTTATTTGAATAAAAGATTTTTTTCATTGATCATTCATATAATTAAATGGTTCGTCCGTCTTATAACGCCTTAAATTATGTGGTATTTTTTTTCATTGGTCGCAGCAATAGGGGGAAAATCGTTACAACACACAGAGATGTGACTTATCTCAGATACAAGTATTTAAAATACAGATACAAGATACAAAATACGTATTTTCATCTTGTATCTAAAATACTTTTTTTAGGAAGAATTTTGTATCTTGTATTTAAATACTTTTGTTTAGAATCTTAGTATCTTTTAAATACTTTTTCTGATAAAATACTTTATAAAAAGATTTTATAAATATCACAAAACATTATTTGCCTAGAACATACATATTTACAAGAAGAAAGTGTTAAATTTCAACGCAATGAATATTTAGTTGAAAATAACTTGAATCCAAACATTGTTTGATGTCATTTAAAAAGTAAATGCGTAAAACTGAACGTACGGTAATACCGGTGTAATACACCCTCCCTAGTAAAAATTGATAGATGGCGCATAGGGCTTGAAATCGAATAACCAGTTAAATCCTGATTTATGTAAAAACCCGGTCATATGCTATAAATAAAACTCAGTATATCAATTAAACTTATTAACTTTTATTAATTTTTTGCACATTATACTTTTTCCACTAACAACAGAATTCAAAAAGTTTATTTTTAAAGAAATTTCACTGTGAAATTCGATACATGGCAAATGCTAGAAATTATATCCCGTGAGCAATATTGCCTTTATTGACTCAACAGTTAATCTATTTCTATCTTTTGCCCACTGCATATTCATGAGCGAAAAAAATTTCAATATTCGCATTATAAAGCATAATACAAAAAATACTGACAAATCTTCAGTAGTTTGGAAACGAGTGCTGTCATTGCATTTATTGAAAATAATTACCCACTGCTTTTCAACTAGTTCGTCATAAGAATAAATTTGTTAATAGACAAAATTCTTCAAATAATTTCTTTGACAAATGAATTTTCAGTTCTCCGTAATTTTCTCATCTGGTCTACGTCGTAATATGTACATCGTCGTACGTAAAACCAGCTCTTTAAATAAATAATTATTATATAATTAAATTTAAATAATTATTCTTGTTGTTATATTTGACCAATTTTTCATTCACAATGCTATATTGAAAAAACTTATTATTAAAAAGGAACTAAAAAATTTAAAATAATTTAAGCCAATGATATTAATATGTCTAGATACGCAATACATACCAAAAATCTGAAGCTACTAAAACTAAGACGTTTGTCTTAGTTTTTTCGTTTTGCACTTCATTACTCATTCAACTCCCGCTAAGAAAGTACAAAAAAAATGCTCCGTAAAAACAAAGAAAAACAGTAGATAAAATTCGATTCTCTTTCACAAATACACATAATACGAAAGAATATTAAGTTTCACACTTAAATCATTAACATTTTTGGCAATAAATACAAAATTAAAGCTAGGTTATAAAATAAAAATATTTAATTTTTTTCAAATAAAATTTCGACATTTTGTCGTCAGTGTTGCCACTGCTATTCACTTTCAATTTTCCTAAGTATATGGAAACCTTTTCTTTTTAATTAACGTGGCTATAATTTATCTAAATATCTTTTTATAATTAATTATATAGCTCAGCTTAAGTATAGGCAACTGCGCAAATTTTTTTATTCATGCACACAGATGCTAATGTGGTTTAATTTTTTCAATGCGTGGAATAATTCGCTAGTTGTCGAGATACAACTTTTGAAAATACGTAAAATTGTTTGTTTGATGTTTTATGAACTTTGACAAATGTTTTTGTCTTAACTACTAACTTTATCGAAAAACAAAGGGATATATATGCATAGAGCCTACTTTCGTAATTGTTTTTTTTTTCAAAGTTTTTGCAAACAAATTTTCAAAGTTACAGTATTTTACTAATTGATTTTATACATAAATCTACACTACTCGTTCATTCATTCATTCATCACAATGGGTGAAATTTTCGACAGCTGGCAATACAATATCAATTACCCATTTTTCCGTTCATTCTGTCGTTCGCGCATATTCTGTCTTTGTTTAATTTAAAGTTTAATCGTAGATATGAGGGAGATTAATATAATAAATCTATTTATATTATATAGTATAAATATTATTTGCAAAGCTACGTCCTGATTTCGGAAAAGTGCTACGCTTTTTGGCGCGTCTGTTGTATGGGATTGCTTCTCTAGTTATTAAACTCATTGATTTAAGCCTAATGTATTAAATATTTGCATTTTTATATGTTACATTGTGATTGACAAACAAAAAAAAACATTTCAGGCTTTTTTAATTTTTTATCTCCAAACGGAGGAAAAGTGGGTGAAATTTAGCTTGTGAGATTTGAGTACAAATACCGGTACACGTGAAACTAAATAAAAGCTTGTAAAAATTGTTTCTAATGAAAAATGCTTAAAAAATCCACTTTGTCCCTGGTCCCATCTGGTCCAAGATTAAGGTTCTTGTGGTCTTTAATAAACAAACTTAAATTCAAATCTTTTTTTTAAGAAAAGTATTTGTATTTATCAAAAGTATTTATAAGATACCTATTTTGTATCTAGTATTTCAAATACTTTTCTCGAAAGTATTTCGTATCTGGTATCTGAAATACTTAATATAAAAGTATTTTGTATCTTGTATTCCAGATACTTCGTACAGGGTATTTTGTACATCTCTGACAACATACTACAGTAATTTATAGACAATACAAACATAAAAATCATAATTGTACAATAGGCGGCACAGAACAATAATGTAGGCGGCCTTATCGCTTAACAGTGACTTCTTTTCGGCAAACATATTGTGAGAAGAAAACTTAGGATTTATGGCGCGTAAACGTTCTAATTTTTAGAGTGACTACGCTTTTTTGTCAAATAAAAATTAAACCATATCTTATAATTTAATGTTTTATGTCGTTTACAGTGTGAAGTTAGAAAGAAAGTAAAAAATGTTTAGGGCACTGCGTAATAAAGATTATTATTGATCTATTGAAAAGAATGGATATTTTAGTATGTTACAGCCATGGTTAAACTGCTATCCTAGGTTAACACTGCTGAAAGAAGCTAGTTGAAACAAGTCACAATGTGTATTTCAAAATTAACAAGCAATAATCTAGATAGCCATAACCTTTTTTTAGGATGACGAAGTATTTTAAGAAAAAAAAAGAAAGCACTAAAAAGCACCTCACTAGAGGGTGACTCTACCTAATGTTGATTTTTGCAGAAAACAGAAGGACTAAAGATAGTCATTTCCGTTCCTTTTAACTAACATATTAAAAAAATAAATTTTCAAAGTTCGACACTTCGATATCAATAAAAATACGAAAAAGTACAAATAGAATATGAGTTGTTTATTAAGTTTTGAAAATTAATTGACTTTTTTACATGAAAGAAAACCGAAAATATTATCATGGAGAAATCAAGAAAGAACCGTAGCGACATCTAGTTTGATTTCTGGAACAAATATATTTTTTAAATACTTCCTCATTGGCGCGAAACTGACACAGACTAACTGTCAGTCGAAGGGACAATGACAGCAGTTAATAGACAGATAGAGAGGCCCCTAGTGAAATCGATAACTAGTGCTACAGTAGTGGTCGATCTTTTTTCCTCTAACAATATCTATAAGTTTATTTATTTCAGTCGATATTCATATGTCGCTTCACACAGCTTTTTTTTGAATACTAATTCGCCCTTATAGAGTTTATTTCCAAGTTTACACAACTCGGAGGGAGATTCTCTCTTTTCCTGCCTCTGGATGATGGGAGACACCATCACCACATCTTAATCTTCAGGTTCTTACATAGTGAATCTTCTTGATATGGTCATAAATGATCGGCAAATTTTACGCCATGTCATTGTCATTCGTTATATTGTGCACTATGTCAGGCGAGAGTAATCGAACTCGAGTTTACGCGCAACTGTTATTAGAATGGAGCTAATAACTCGAGTTGAGGTCACTTTGCTACATACTATATTTGTGTTTAAATTCTTTTTCCTACATGTTACTAATCTGTGATTGTATGTGATACAGTGTAACATCACTTATTAAATTTTACATGTACTAAAATTAAATAAATTTCAAAATTGTCATAGTTTTATCATTATTCTTTACGTGTAAAAGCCACAAACATGACTTGGGTGGTGTATTGTGTAAACGCAAATAGGCCATGATTTAAAAAAGAAGTAATAAAATTTGGAATTTGATAAGCAAAGGGTTTTTTACTAATTCCAAGGGGCATTTTTCAGAAGGAATTCAAACAATATATTTATAAGAATTTAAAATAATGGCGATTGTTGAATTACAAAAACTCCCACCCTCCGTAAGTTTACTTGCTGGAAGTTTTTATTTTGTTTTTAGTTCTGTTTTAATGTGATACTAAGAAAAATTTGTCTAAGTTTTGTTATTATCAAATAAAAACATAATTTCTTAAAATTATAAACGCTTGATATACAGTACAGTACTCAACCTAATATTTCTTCTCAGGTGAAAATGCCGAAGCTCATGTACAGCATTCGAGGTATATTAAGAAAAGGTAATTTGAATAGTAGGTTTTGGGTTACGGAAATTGCTGACATGCGAACGAGTGATTGTAAAGAAGCTAAACTGGAATTTGCCACTAGAGAGGAGGCTTGGGATGCAAAGGAAATACTTAATCAATATCCCTTTCGTAACGGCAATGATCGTAGTATAATAACTGCTAGAATTTTTGATGAAAAGCATAACATTAATCGTCATCCTAGTCCATACAGAAACAGGGGTTCAAAACGAAGTAGGAGTAGATCAAGAGGGAATTTTTATAGTAGGTATTCCATGGATAGAGATAGGTCTCGGAGTCCACTGTACCATGACACATCAGAATTAGATGTAAGTATCATGAATTCATTTTGCATGAAAGTCATAATAATATTTTCTCTGTTTAAAGATTTATCAATTTTGAAACTGATGGTTCAATAAATAAAATTCACAGTTGGAGATAGAACTTTTAAGAAAAAAACGGTTAGTGATTGAAGAGGAAAGAAGATTGCTTTTAGAACAGAAGAAACTAGATATGTTAAGGGTATGTGAATTTAATAATCATAAATATCATAGAATATTATAATAATCTTCTATTATGGTAAATCATAAACCATAATAAACATTATTTAAAAATGTTTATATAGCAGCATGCAAACAAATTCATTTATGTTTTTACATATGACAACTTCAACATTGGTTATCATTTTTTTTTTACAAATTAACTCAAAATTTATTGAAAAAATAATAGTATTGAAACACTCTGAAATTATGTATGAACTTTTAAAAGATTGCTTTATTTTGGCAAAAGCTAGCGAAATCTTCAGCAATATTGAAATGGGAATCAACAATATTCACACATTTGCCCATTTATATGTTAGCGTTTGAGTTTTGTTAAACACTAATTTACATGGGGCAAGCAAGCGGACATTGTATTTAAAACAAAAATACTTAAGTTGTGGATCCTTACAGGTTCTGTGTTTACTTAGATTAAGATGTTTATTAAATGATTATTGCGCGTCAAAAATAAGAAACCAGTATAAAAATAGCCTTTGTTCACTGACCATCATAAATAACATTTCAGTTACTTACTTTAAATTTAACAAATTTTTCATTAAGTATATTTTCCAGCATAGCATTGTGAATGCAAATTGATGAAATATAATAACAAATTTTTATTTGTGCATATGCAGCCATGGTTTACTGATCAGGCTGTTGTCCAACATAGGCTTCCTACATGCTATGCCACTTGTCTCGATTGCCACTATTCTCCATCCCTTTGGCAGATCATCCTCCCATCTTTTCATTGGCTTTCCCTTGCTGTACTTCCAATAGACTTGGTCCATTTTTTGGCCTATGACTTTTTTAATAGGTATACGAGTAGTGAGTACCTAATAAAAGAATTAAGACACATTGACCAATGCACTTATCACAGTAACTTATTTTCATGAAATCTAATTCATAATAAAATTTAAAAGGTTGATTGTTAATAAATAAATGTTTCTATATTAACCAAACTTAATACCATATTATTTACTGAAAATACAATAAATTTTAGCTCTGCAACTACTGGCTATTATAGTATTCTATCGAAACTTAAAGTGTATAGTCAGCTATTGGAGTTATGATCAAGCTAACTCGGCCCTACCGGTGTATTCGAGGCATTAGCAAATAGTTCTAGAAGAGAACAGCTACTCTCGCTGACCCGATGTATACCTATACTTATGACACATATAGTCTCTACAGTATTAGTAACTAAACTTCTTATATAGTATGGTATAGTCAACTAATTTGTGTAAAGAAATTTAGATTATATAAAGAATCAAACCAAAAAATAATTCATTTACTCAAATACAATATTTTACTACTCCTCAAAGAAAAAAAAATATCGATAACATATGGCAAATATTTTACTTAAATCCAATCATTTGCCGAAATATAACCAATTTTTCATAAGCATGCTGCCTTCAAGTATTTTCGATCTATTTTTAATAAAAAAAATCATAAATGCTATATTTAAAACACTAAAACACAAATATAATTAAAACACAAATAGATAAAATATGCAATAAGGTAAATGGATTTGCTTATGCATTGTACAAATTAACCAAAGTTGCAAGCTTAAATACTGCCATTACGGCCTATTTTGCGTACGTAGAAACAGTTTTAAGGTACGGTTTAATCATTTGGGGTAATGGTACTGATGAAACAAGATTATTGATTGCTCAGAAACGCTGTGTTAGAGCTATATGCAATTTGACATCAGACATATCATGTAAACCTTATTTTATTTCTTTAAAAATATTACTAACACTGCCCTGTCTGTATATATTAGAAGTGGCGATGTTTGTGAAGCAAAACGAAAAATTCTTCGTGCGATCGAGTAATGTAACTGAAAGAAGTTTGAGAAACCCGAACAAAGTAGTACATACATCGATACCCAAAACAAAAAAATTGAAAAAAAATAGTCTCTTTATGTGTACAGCTGTCTTTAATAAAATACCCAATGATATAAAAGATTTGCCGGCTAATCGTTTTAAAATATTATTGCGTAGATGGCTGATTGAAAAAGCTTTTTACTCGATTGGTGAATTCCTTAATGAAGGATAGTTTATCAGTAATTAATTTGTAAGCATGATAGTCGATACAAAGTTTTATAAATAATTTTACATAATTGCATCTGACATACTTATGTTTACTAAACTAAATTCCTTGACATGTTCAATAAGTTTAATATTTCCATTTGACATCTTATACATTTTTTAATTTTTTTTTGTACAATTTGATAAAATTGACATGATTAATAACGTTTTGACACAATTGTAATATTTTGATTAAATACCATTATTGTTAAATTTGACACAATTTTATGTAATTATGAAATATTTTAAGTTTCATCAATTTTATTATTATTATTAGGTATTATTATTATTATTTTTTGCATACTGTTCAAGATGGCTAAATAGGTCAAAGCTCTTAAACTGAAATATCACAACTGTATATATAACCCTATTTATTGCAAATAAAGACATTATTATTATTATTATTATACTCACTTTTTTAGGGTATGACTTCGCTATCTATCTGTCTGTTACCAGGTATTTCATGAACTGACAAAGTGAGACAGTTGAATTTTTCACAGTTGATGTATTTTTGTGGCCGTTTTAACGACTTAAACCAGAATAAAATAAATATTAAAGGGGCCCGATACAACAAATGATTTATTGCTCGTTTTCGTAACAGAACCCTTGGTTTTAAATAAATAAAATACCTAGAGCACCTATAATAACTTGGTGATGTCCTTCTTGTCCAATGGTGATTCTCTACTCCTAGATCTTCTGAACGAAGACGATCGCAGTTGCCTTAAATTATGTGCACATCAAATCTCCTTTTTCATTCCTATGCCTTGTGCTTTATTTTGTGTTTTCCTCAGTTGTATCTCTTTCTTTTTATTTTCAGTATGATACCTGGATAGTATGTCTCAGAATTATCACTTGACGCTTTTAGGGGAAGGTTTTTGATTCTTCACTTAAGTAGTGTCCACTGGCAATCAAATTTACAGAAGTTTATGCACAAGGAGTTACAGCGTGTAAACACTCATGCTAGTGCAACTGTGCAAGTTTTGGTGGCTTACTAAATTTTCTACAAGATACATATGGCTGATATTAAAATTCCTCTCAGTCATCAATTGATTTCAGCAAGAAATTGTATAAGTTACCTGCCAGTGGACAATCTGCATTACGTACCTAAACTCTATCTGTATACCATAATGATAAAATCAATCTACAAATAAGCCCACAAACATTTTCATTTGTATAAAACTCATGTTTAATAAGCAAAAGTGACTCTAACATACTCTGAAACCCTGATTGATTTGTCAAAACAAAGTTTGATTGGTCTATGTCAGGCTTCACTTACGCAGTAAAACAACAGATTGGTCTGCCTTCTAAAACGGAGACATATACTGCACTAGGTTGGAAGGTAGAATGCAATCTCATCTCAATCACTTTCACATTAGTTCGAGTATTCTTAATAAGAACAACGCCAACTGGGTGACGACGGAGCGTTTACCGCATTTCATCGCTCTATAAAATTCATATTTCTATATACAATCGTTGCACTTCATATTTACATGGAATTACACTGCTTGGAACTGTATTCGATCCGCTCATACCACGCTCAAGTCCGATGGGCTCCGCTTGACCACTGGCATGCTCTGTCGCCGCCAATACCACTCCCCATTTCACCATTAGTGGAACAAAAAAAAACACCATAGTGAACAGAAAATTTCGTCAGTACCGCAAGTAGAAAACTGAGTGCGACACAAAAGTATCACTAATCGCTGGAAGCGTGCTTGTATGTACGCGAGCATATGCTTAAGGTCTAGTGGACGTAGACATCGGGTGCAGGCGATTGACTACTTTCCGTGGCCACCCATAAAATACTTTTTAATGCCTAATCTAAACATACGATTTTAAATTTCTTTTTTTTATAAAAATATTAATATTCTTATTTTTATATGCAGATATAGATACGTTATAGTTCGGTTTATAATGTACCTACCTCTGCAGCGTTAGTTTAAATGAGTTAATTATAGTTATGGTCAACAATATATGAAGGTGTCGGAAAATTAAACAACTGCGTTACATTTTGAATTTATTTTTAATTTTTATTAATCTTGTACAAAGAGAATCACAACGTGTCAGTTTTAAACTGTAACGCTTATAATTAACTTCTTATAAAATTAAATCACAGAAGTTATCAGTTTCATAGAGTATCCTTATTACTTTGGATTGCTGCGTTACCAAAATTTAATTTTATAACATAAACTTTTCTTTTTATCACAAATAAAAACTTAAAATTAATACCAACTAACAACATAATCTTTCAATTTTGATGAGTAATACGTACGTATGAAATTAAAGCACGTTAAATAATAAGAATCATAGATATATTGAAAATACTATAAAAAATCTGAGGGACACAAAAGTAACGCAGTAGTAAGCCCAGTAACACGGTAGTATTTTCTTACATACAATTCTTGTACATACAATATTTGTACTTTCTATAGAGATCTAGTATAACGATAAAAACATAACAAAATATAACTTCCTATGACTCGATATAAAATAAAGTATCTTCAATGAAATAAATTTAAAAACTCAAAAAATAAAAATCACAAAATCAACCTTAATAACTAATGGAACACTTTCAAATCAGTCCTACTTTTCAAAGACGTTTAATGGCTTATCATAATCAAAGTATATCCTTTTACCTTTTACGACAATTTTAGGATTAGGAACAATTTCTAAGATGTTATCGTAAGGTTCGTAAGAAATATCAGTATCTACTGCTTTGAACCTTTTACCAGTTTTATCTACTGTCTTGTAAAACATAATTTTGACGTCTTCCTTCTTCATCAACTTCACTTTTAGCAACACCTAGATAAGTGTAATGTTTGTCTTTAACAGAAGACACTTTTACTAAGACATGGACACCGTCTGATATCTTTGTAGGATGAATATTTTCCTTTTCAATTAATTGCCTTTCTTTTATATTAGAAACTGATGGTTGGCTATAGCTGGCTAAGAACTCGTCATCAGAGCTGGAAGGTGTGGAATAAACCGTATTGTAAAATGTTCTTCTAGGTACGGTAATTATATATAAAATATCATCGAGAACTATTTCCTCATCCAATCCATCCAAGAGAATACCTTCTGTAAGTGTGTCAATAACGGGAGCAGGAACAGGGTGATAAGTTTTTGGGCTCATGCATGAGCAAAAACCTCTTTGGCAAAAGCAACTGAGATCTCTATATTGAAGTTCACCGGGAGTGTCAGTAAAAACTTGATGTACTAGCATCGTACCTTGAAGTGGTACAAGGTTTTTAGGTAGAGCTTTTTCAATGTTTTGTATGTCACTGTCCGTCACTAAATACAAACGGACCTTGCTTAACTCCTTCAGTGTTTTGGTGAGCGATAACCCTGGTTTTGTAGAGAGCATCTAAAATATACTGCGCATTAGTATGTATCTTGCATAGGCAAATCTCTCTTCCAGAAACTGAAGGTGGCTTTATATAAAATGGCCTGTTTTTAATGAAATACGAATAAGAACATCTCAATTCTGGATTTTCTTTTTTAAAAGAATGAAATAGGTTTTTCATTGTGATCTAGTAAATATCGCTTCTGTATTTTAATTTTATTACAAGTGACAGTTTCCCGTTTTCCAGCCGTAGCTCTAGAAACATCGTCACGAACAAAAAAGCTTTTAATGCTGTTAACCAGATTTTTCTTTGAGGTATTCTGCTGTCGTTTCATCACTTTCATCAGATCAATTCCCAACGTCTCGCGTACAATAGCAATTTTTATTTTAGAGTTAGATAAGCCTTCTCCTTGAAAATTTGTTTTAATGATTGTTTCTCTTTGATTGACTTCAAACTTCTGTAATGGTCTTTGATGGCATTGGATAATGTTGAATACTTATTTTGGTTAAGCTTATTTACTTGTTCCGTGTGTTTGATTGACGTTTTAGCTCTTTGGTATCTCTTTTTATATTTACTACACATTCTTTTCAACTTTTCTATTTCTTCCTGCAATTTCAAATTATTTCTGTACACTGCAGATCTATCTCTTCGTATTTGTTTTCGGCCTCTAGACCTCGGTAAAACTGGAGTTCCTGACCGCGGGCTCGACGTCGGTGTAATGTCCATAATTTGTTGAGCAGTTTTTTGTCGTTCTCGACGTTTCTTATTTGCAGTTTTCCATTTACGCTTAGCACTCCTATGTTCTCGCTCTGTCATATCTTTGACAAGTTTTTTATTTGCATGGTACCTTTCTAGGTGTTTTTTCTTAGCTTCAGCATTTCTCACCGGGTCTAGTTTTAATTTAAGCCTATAGCGACGTTGTTTTTCTGCGTTTGTTAACGCCATTTAGCGCAGAATCTTTTCTCTAAGATAAAAAAAACATTATGAAAATTAAGGCTTAAATAACGTATCACCAACATTGACAAATATATTATTTATTTTTATATGTAGTTAGTCATATCTTTGTACTGTCAGTGTTAGAATATCTGCACTTTGGTATTTCATTTAGTGATTATTTACAACATAGTCAAATATTCACAACTGCGTTACCAATGCAACAACTGCGTTACATTTTCAAGTAACGCAGTGTAGCAGTATCGCAGTTGTAAATATTTGACTATGTTGTATATAATCACTAAATGAAATAACAAAGTGCAAATATTCTAACACTGACAGATCCAATACATGACAAACTACATATAAAACAAATATTATGTAAATATTGTCAATACGTACCTTTCGACAGTGGTAACTCAGCGGTCACGCAATAAATACACGCACCTCTCCCGACGACTCCGACGCGACTGATCTGACGAGCGTCCTCTTCCCCCGCGGTTGCCATCGTTCGTTATACGAGTTACAATATGTAAAGCCGAATAAGGTGCAAAAAAGGGTAATACACTCACTTAAAGGTTTATTTTCATATAGCAACGCAAGGTAGTTACGATTTTAGTATTTGTTAGGGACACAGTCAAAATAATTTTTTACTCCAATAATTTTTTGATGTAAAAAATATTTATTGGCATTATAAATAAGGTTTAGGGCTTAAATTTTTAAAGCGGAATTCATTATGAATCGCCACCTAGGAAATATTGTGGAAAAAATCCAGAGAAGCTTGAGACATGTGCTCAAGGACAACTGTATTTTGTATGAAGAACAAATGCGTTACTAAGAATGACAACATTGTTACTATATTTTTTGTTATAATGATGTATTTTTACTGGTCAAATCTTGTGTTCCGTATTAAACAATAATGTAATATTTTGAAATTAGCATACTTATTTTACACTTTTGTAGTGTTTACCGTAAAATTCAACATTAGTTCAAAGGGACAGGTTTTTAGGCATAAAAAAGTACCGAAGGTCTATTTTTGGCCGAAGCCGAAGCCGATTAATCGGCAATCGCCACAACCTTCGGCAAAAGCCGAAGCCGGAGCCGATGGTTTATAATTTTTCAGTAATTAATTTTGTTCAATATTGTCTACAAGCTACAATTAATATTAAAATTATTTCAAAACTTCAATATTGAAGGTTATATTGACTGTCTCATATAGAAGTTGATTTAGAAATACAGATTTGACAGTGAAGGCGCTTGTGCACTACACTGAATTTTGTCCGGCGGTCCGATTTTTCCGGCCTGATATGTCAGGCCATATGTAGGTAATGCTAGCTTGTGCACTGTCAGGAATATTTTTCCTGTCTTCTACGTCTTTGCACGTACAGTAATAGAGCAAGCAATTACCAACGTTTCAAAAATCTCATCGTGCCTATTGTAAGTGACGTGTAGCTTCACAGAGAGCTACCCTAAAATGTGCCGCTTCGATCCGGAAAAAAACGGACAAGTGCACAAGCTACTCATCCGAGTTTTTCATGTCATTCGGGACCGGAAAAAGTCGGCCCGCCGGACCTGAAAATTCATTGTAGTGCACAAGCGCCCTGACTCCCCGCGGCCTCTGCCAACACGACCGGTCCATCGCTCTCTCACTCAGTCTTTCGAAACAGTTCGTTCAATCTCTACGGTAGCTCGGACCTTCGGCGAAACCTTCGGCATCGGCCTAGTTTTGGGCCGAAGCCGAATGTTTCGCCGAAGATGGTTTTTTTGGCCGAAGGTGCCCGATGCCGAAGCCGAAGCCGAAGCTTCGGTCGGACATTAAATATATATATATATATTTTATTTGTAATGAACTATTGAAACTATTGATTATTTTTTGCCTAAAAATAAAAGAAATATAAGAAATATTCTTTCACATAAATATTTGGCAAAAATTTACCCAGCGATGGGGATGAGCTTTTAAACTTCTATAACATTTTCATGAATTTCACAGGAACGTGGCCCGAATGCATCAGATTTTTATGACGATATGGAAAGATCTAGGGACAGAAAGAAACGACCAAGAAGAGAAATGGATGAGGTTATACGCAATGCACGTCCTCATAAACCGCATTTGCCACAGTTCAAGAAACCGTGTCGCATTCTCACTGACCAAATGAGTTCACTCATAGACAAGCATTCCACATGTGAAGAAACAAAAATGCTTACCAAACTAATTGTTGCACAACTGAGGAGAAGACTAGCTGTGGAGTTAGAAAACAAAGATTTTATTCCTGCAAACAAAATCGTAGATCTTTACCGTAGTAAATATCCACAATCGAGTGATGAAGAATTTATAATGCCAATAATTAAGAATCTCCGATTAAGCCACTGGTCATTGTCTAATCCCAAAAAGAAAGATAACGACCAGAAAAATAATCAAATGGAGATTTCAGAAAAGGCTCAAGTGGATCCAGGTACAAAAAAGAACCACAAACAATGTTTTGGTTGTATACAAAATTTTGGTATGTGGTTTATTAAATTGTTGATAGGAGTTATTTGAAAAAATGCCTCAAATTGATTTGAGTTGAATAGACCCACAAGTGTCAAAAAGAGGCTAAATAGCATATTAACACAAGTTAATCAAAATGCATTATGTAAAAAAACACAATTCTTAAAGGTTTATGAGGAAATTTTTACAAAGTTTGCTTTATAAAGAGTTCTCTTATAAAAAGATTTGAGAACTGCTTGTGAGGAATCCATTGACTATAAAGTTGATGTATTCAAAAAACAAAGCATCAATTGTTCTTTGGCCGTTTATAAAACGTGCACTATGATCCAATGTTATAAACGATTGCTCATTTAGAGAAAAAATCTCTAGTTGTACTTAATAATATTAGGGGTAAAATGCTCAAGTTGATGAGGTACATAACTTTTACTTTGACAGGTAGAAAAAGAATTCTTTTTACAAGTTATCATACGGTACGCCCAATTCAGTGACATATAAAGCTCTCGATGTTTTTGTAGGCGCCACTTCTTTATAATGACACTGCATAGCACTAGACACGGTTAAGGGATGCTAATTTTAACGCGTTAGATGGAAGTATTGACTGTCGTCGTGTTCGAAATATAAGAATAAACTTATGCTCTGGCTATTTTAAATAATGTATGTACAACATGAAGGAATAACGTACTTATATGTTATGTTTGTAGGTAGTTCCACTCCTGCCGACAAAGTGAGAAACGACCAGACACATTCATGTGAACCGAATATAAAAATTAAAGTTGAATTAAATAAGTCTGTAAAGGAAGAGGCTGTTGTAACGGAGACAATGAAAGAGATAGCAACTGTAGAACTAAAAAGAGAATCAACGTTAGCAGAGGAAAAGAAAGACACTACAATAGTAGAACAAAAGCAAGTGACTACAACAAAGAAACCATGTACAACAACAGAGGGAAAGGAAACTACAGCTACACCAATGGGAAAGAAAGATACTTCAACAGCAGAAGGAAAGAAAGAGACAACGACAATAGAAGGAAAGAAGGAGTCTGCAACGGCAGAGGGAAAGACAGAGACTACAACAGAGGGAAAGGAGTCTTCAACAGCAGAGGGAAAGAATGAGACTACAACAGAGGGAAAGAAAAAGACTACAACAGCAGAGGGAAAGACAGAGACTACAACAGAGGGAAAAAAAGAGACTTCACCAGCAGAGCGAAAGGAGATAGCAGGAGAAGTAATGGAGAACGAGCCATTGGAAGCTGCCGACGCGGAGATGTTAGGTGCGGCTGATGAGGATTGGTTTCAAGACGGCGTCGATTGGACTGATGGTGACAGTGAGGTTGTAATTTTGTGACTAAATATGACTAGATAAATTAACATGTTATGATCGAAAAAACATGAATTAGACATTAGTAAATTTAGATGACGAGTTATTTTGTTTGTTTGTCCGTCAAGTAGATTGTTGAAAAATATTAAACATGTATTTTTTTAACTTTTTCCGTAATCATTAAAATAAGGCGATATATTGAGTTAAATTGTCACACGACGGCACGCTTTGGTAAATTTTCTATAAAACTGACGTAGCGAACCCCCACTCCTCAACTTTAATGCCTGTTATCCAAGCTATTTCTTGTTAAATTGAAGTAAAAATATACATATCTAATATTTTTCTATTATCTGACTGTCGGACTAAATATAATTTCTTTTTATTCATCTATTATCGAGATTTTACAAAAAGTGAATTAAAAAATTGAAATTATACAGTAATGATTTTAACATAATTTTATAGTTAATTTATATTTAGCCGGTAATTTTAAATTTATAGGTCTCTGATAACTTTATCTCTAAAAATTACAATTTTCTCTGATTAGGGTTATGTGTAAATATTTTTTTTTTCTTATTACAGGAGGAGGAAGCCGATGAAAATACGAATCAATAAATTTAAGTATAAGATTAAAATTTGTCTATTACCATGAAAAAGAAATAAAAGAACATACTTTCGATCATACTTGTTTTATTAATTATATAATTAAGTAACTACACTTAATTTAACACGTAGGTTGATCTCGACCATATATGTAATATGTATAATATCGATTTCGTTCATATGAACAGACAAAACCAAATGTTAGACGAATAATGGCTCATTTACATTAGTAAACGGAAACCACGTGTGGAGTGAAGATTTTTTTACACTTTAATTGGTCATTAAACCATTGGAACGATCATTGAAAATGAATGCTGAACTACTACATGCTGAACTTCCCTATTGATCAATGTAAATAAGCCAGATAATTACTGCCAGCGCAGATGATATACCTATAAGTCTATGTGCACATGGCGAAATTCAGAACTAGCGCCGTCATCTTGTATAATATCAATTTTTGACCAATCGTTGTGGTAGTATGGTCTGCAGTCAGTGTATCCAATGAAGTATTTTAAGATAAAAAAGAAAGCACCTCAATAGATGGCGGCGACTCTACCAAAAGTTGATTTTTGCAGGAAACCAACGGACCAAAGTTAGTCTTTTTCCGTTTCTTTTAAACTGAAATTTGCAAAGTTCGAAACTTAGATATCCATACAAATACAATATGAGTTGTTCATTGAATTTTGAAAACTAATTTATTTTTATACAAGAAATCTAGTTTGATTTTTTTTTTTAAATTCAGATAAAGTTGGTAGTGATGGTGAAAACTTAATTATGAAGATTTTTTTTTGTGAAATCCTTAGACTAATTTATTAACACGATTATAAATTCACACAACACCCATTTGGTAATGTCATCGAAGTGCATAAACATCTTTGTAGTAATATCTTTTAGTCTGCCGAAACGCGTTCAAACGATATAAAAAATATGATTTTAGTGTAACTCCACCAAGCTGAGGTGTTTCTTCATCTTACAATTCAAGATAGTTAAGATTCAAGAATCTTATGGATAAAACAAATTAGAATGATTTAAAAACAAACTTAAAACGGTTTTCAATAAAGACCTCACTTTATGTCTGCTTAAAAACATATTTAAACAGTTTCTAAATGAAATCATATTATAAGGACAATACACCAGAATATAAAAATCAAAGACTTATTCTGATTAAAAAAAATAGCCCATCTAAATCTAAAGGCTATAAAATGAAGTTGTTGTCCTCGTAAAGCGCGGAAAGTGATTTAGTTCCCTATAAGACTCGAATATAAACAATGACACACGTTATAACTAATTAATAATAATACAGAAACAATAATATTAGTTAAACTTAGTAGTCTACCAAATCATCTTCTTTTATTTCAAAATCTTCATCTTCAACTTTGTATTGCTCACCGTCCACTACGAAGAAATCTTCCCTCCCTTCTTCATATTTCGTGTCCTTCACAATCACCACGTCATCGGTTTTCTTATCATCGACGTCGCTTTTGATATCGATCTCATTTTTAACGCTTTTTACATCAGGTATATCGATATAAAACAATTCGGCCTCTTCTTTCACGTTCATGAAATTGTCGTCATCAAACTTGGGGTCTTCGGAAAAGTCTATGTTAAAAGTATTTGTATTCTTCTTTTGCTTCATTTTATTGTTATTTTTTTGTTTAGGACCGGCCACTTGGAACGGTTTGAAAAATAATGAAGTTCTGTCGTCTGGAATCATACAATAAAGGGTATTGTAACCTCATTGTGCACATTTGCAGTCGATATGGTCGTAATCGATACCTTTGGTGCCAGTGGCGTAAATACCGTTTGAAGCCTGAGGCAAATTGTTCGGATATTTTTTTTACTAATTGTGTAATAATAAATGTCAGGAGTAAGAAGTCTCCTCTGACCGGGGGCCCGTGGCATTTTGCCGACTTTCCACCCTGTAGTTACGCCACTGTTTGGTACAAAGGATTTTGGATCGCGACTTGGGATTGTTCAACCAACAGCCTTATTAAGCCTGACGCACCTACTGGCAGGGTACCCGAGGGCCGGGGTCGATTGTTTCATAGTGTTAGAGGGGAAAAAGGACTATTACTACTACTAGTAACACTGATTCTCGATTTCACTAAGAACATCCTATCTGTCAGCTGTCACTTGGCCTTTTGATACGTTTTCACGTTATTATATTTCCGTGTATAACGGAACAAGTCCATACTAAAAAAAAAATCCAGGCTGTCGTTCTTTGGATAGCTATTAAAATTTAAATTGCGATTTTAAATATATTATTTAATAGTAAAATGTTCTTATTTAGTAAATGTATAAGATCCGAATTAATGCGATTAGACTCAACTCAGCTTCGCCATATGACAGTACTTTAGTGAGGTGATGGTAATTATTAGATGGCAGTAACTGAAACTTGAAGAGCTCGATGGTGCAATGGTAAGCGCACTCGTTCTGCGATATATTGTTTAGCAACTTTCGGATTGGCCGGTCACAGGATGGGTGACCAAAATTTTATTATCTCGAACTCCGCTGCTTCTGAAGGTACGTTAAGCAACGGACCAACGGGTCCTGGCTGCATTTGCAGTCGTTAATACCCATCAAACCACACTGGGCCCATTCTCCTGATTTGATTCTATCCATAGCTAAGGCCTGAAACTGATGGGGAAATTAATAGGCTGGTGATAGTGATGAACTGAAAATGCTGGAATTATAGATTTAAGGAATTTTCTTCACTGCCTTGTTCAGTCTTTAGGATTTGTATAGATCATTGCGCACGACTTACCCATTACTACAAAAGATATACAAAATAATTTACAATAAGTAAATAAACTCACCCCATTTAACGTGACCCAAAGAGCACAATTTATCGTAAGCTTCGTAAGTTTCGCATGTGGCGAGGAAAAATGGTCTCGAGTTCTTCTTCTTCTTGTCACACTTCTTCAAACTAACGGCGCCGTACTGCCTCAAGAAGTAGGACATATCACTTGGAGACGGAATCTTGCCTTCAGGCATCACCCGTATCGCTAGATTCGTTTTAACGTCCAGTATTCGCCTAACCAAGTTTATTTTTGCAGCCTGTAAATAATATTTATGTTAAAAAATTATTCACCTTCCCAATGAGGAAGTATTAAAAAAAAAACGAAAGCACTAAAAAAGCACCTCCACTAGATGGCGACTCTAGTAAAAGTTGATTTTTGCAGGAAACGAATGGACCAAAGAGAGTCATTTCCGTTCCTTTTAACTAACATATTAAAAAACTGAAATTTGAAAAGTTCCAAACTTAGATATCAATAAGAATACGAAAAAGTACAAATAGTCTATGAGTTTTGAAAAGTAATTTACTTTTAAACATGAAAGAAAACTAGAAGGGTTGTCATGGAGAAATCAAGAACGTACCGTAAGCAACATCTAGTTTGATTTTGGGAACTAATGTTTTTTTTTTAATACTTCCTCATTACCTAAATAATAATCATGCTTAATTGTTTTTAGAGTTCCGTATCCAAAAGATAAAACGGGAAAAATATTACTAAGACTTCGCTATCTGTCTGTCACCATGAACAGAGAAAGATAGTTAAAATTTTTACAGATGATGTATTTCCGTTGCCGCTACAACAACAAATAAAATAAATATTTTAGGGGGATCCCCTGCAACAAACGCGATTTTTATGCTCGTTTCCGGTGCGGAACACTACGTGCGCGAGTTCAAATCGCATTTGGTCGGTTTTAAAAAACTAGTCGGTTTTTAAAACTACACTTCACATGTATATAATTCATAAAATACTCAAATACGTGCAGTTAATATAAACAACAAAATGTATGTCGTAGAAACGTGAGGCTACTATAATAGAGACAAAAGGCCAAACCGATCGATTTGAGCCTTAATATCTTGTAGTGAATCAGATATAAGAATTTAGAGAGTATCAATAATAAGAAACTATAACACCGTATTAAGATAAGAATAAACGTATTAAAATAAACAAAAAAACATCTTTATTAGAAATAGTGTAGTAGCCTTAGAAAGACGGCCATGTTTTATTTTATCTTAGGGTGAGGGAGGAAGTCTTGGTAGTTCTTACGTAAGATTACGAAAACGCGCAAAGATGGAATAGGAAAAAACTATTCAAAATTGTTTCTTTTTCTTTTTAGATTAGAGACGCGCCGAATATTCATTAAGTATTCGGTATTCGGCATCTTTTTCACTATTTGTATTCAGTCGAATTATTCGGTTTAGGTGCTGAATATATTCGGTTCGAGTACTTCTATTTTCCTGAATGCACAACACTGTATCTAATATAACTAAGAGACGAAATTTTTTATGTAAGAATAATCGCATTAAAAACATAACCTGTACAAAAATGTACAAGTCTCACAACCAAATCCTTCTGCCGTCAAGTTATGAAATGGATTAATTCAGTACCTACCTATTTTTTTGTGATAGCAGCTATCCCCCTTTCATAGATTGAGGAATACTTAACAAACGCACACAGCCAATAATGACCTAAGTACTTTTGAAACCAATAAAACATAAGTCTTTGCCTTTAATAACTTTAGATAGTTTTTTTTTAAACTTTCTTTTAGCATACACTTAAGGTATTTTGAATTGTGATATTTTTTAAAGTACTATAAATTAATCAAATAAATTCTATGTCTATAAGTCGAAGAAATTCTATGTAGAATGTGTTCAATAAAATTAATAAAATAAAGCAATCAAACTTCAAATCAACATTTGTTTATAAACCGAATAATTCGGTCGAACATGTATCAGTTTTAGTTAAGGAATCAAAAACTGGCAAAAATAGAAATAACATACAAATTTAAAACTCACCTTCCTGAATTGAACCAAAGGTTGGACAGTAAGACGCTGACAAATGGTTACTTCAGACTTGTCTGCGGGTTTCATTAACTCATTCTTAAACTGAAAAAAATAAAATACATATAAGTAACTAATATATTACTATCAAAGCATTCTAGACTACAAAGCGACTCTTTTTATTACAATTTTTTATCAAACTCTTTTCTTTATGTACTAGGCAAGCTGTTCAAGTTAAAATTGCAGCCACAGCACAAGCGTATCAAGCTTAGGTATATAGAGCAAGTGAGAAAAAAATCTAGTAAAGAGGAAGTGAGACGGCAATACGACGTCATGCAAAATCCGAACACAGCAGTGAGCAATTTTTCAGTATCGTACAACTTGTCAAGTACACGGCACATAGCGTTTATGAGAAGAAATGATTCAAAATATAAGTCCCGTAAATTGTCATTTAAAAATAGAAAGAATAGATAGAATAATGAAATATTTATGAATACTCCCTAAAATATTGTTATAATTATTAAATAATTTGTAGTTTTTGTACATTGTAGCCCAATTTATATGTAAATATTAAGTAAGAAATAACATTTACTTTGTAATATAATAACGCGATAACATCGGAAAGGACACTTTTTTAAAACAGAGGGGACGTAAAAGGGCTAATTATGATGATAATAATAATAATGATGGCTGATGATATTCTCAATACTAACTACACAAACTTTTAATAAATTATGAACTTACATTTTAAGTATTTTCATTTTGTTATGATTTTAATAATCCATACTAATATTATAAATGCGAAAGTAACTCTGTCTGTTACTTAATCACGCCTAAACCACTGAACCAATTTGCATGAAATTTGGTATGGAGATATTTTAATACCCAAGAAAGGACATAGGCTAAATATATATAACTCAAAGGTGACTAACATAGTGATCTGTCAACGCACAGCCCAAACCACTGGACGGATCGGGCTGAAATTTGGCATGCAGGTAGATGTTATGACGTAGGATTTTGATCAATTCTATCCCCAAGGGGATAAAATAGGGGATGAAATTTGGTATGAAACTTTGTCAATTTTAAACCGATCGGGCTGAGATTTTGTATAAATAAGGCTACTTATGACGTAGGCATTCTCTAAAAAAGGATTTTGATTGATTCCACCCCCAAGGGGATAAAATAGAGGATGAAAGTTTGTATGAAACTTTGCCAATTTTAAGGGCTGATACTTTGCATGCATAAAGCTACTATGACGTAAGCATCCCTTAAGACAGGATTTTGATAAATTCCACCCCTAAGGGCATAAGCTAAGAGGATAAAACTTTTTTTCAGGTATTTACACGATATAATGAATAAATATTCGTTAGAAATGCTGCTCAAAGTAACTTTACCACGCGGACGAAGTCGCGGGCAAAAGCTAGTAAGTTAAATAAAAGTGAAAACATACTATGGCACATAATTGGTCGAGCTCCTTTTCAAGTGCTTGCGATATCAAAGGATCGCATTTATAGTAATCTTCATTTTCAAACTCCAATTTCTGTTGTTGTTTATTCACTGAAAATTAAATATTTATAAAATCATTATATTTGATAAATTTTGCATTCCCAATGCTATATTTTGCTATTGCTATTTTTAAATCTTACAATAATCACCCAAAAGTAAAATTAAAATTTATTTCCTAATATTATTTATCAATAATTAAATAATTGAAAATACAGTGATATTTTACAGGATAAAAATTTTACATATTTTTCTACTATTAGGGTATTAAAAATATATAATAATAAAACGGTCCTAATCTGTGATAATTGGAATATACATAATGATGCAAAATAATAACATCTCACAGGAGCTTAATTCAATTTTAGCAATGTTTTATTTAGTGAACCACATTTTGGTTCCAACACGGAGGTAATCTTGTATTGATTTAATATCAAGTGATTTATTAAGAATAACTAATTATTTAGAAATGTCTGACCATGAAAAGGTTCAGACTATTACTTTTGATATTGTCAAATAGTAATATCGAGAGAAATCATAAAATGGTCTGAGTATAAGCGCGTCTTAGCTCTGAAAATATGGATAAATTCAAAAATGTATATGTTCTCTTTCATTATCTGAAACACTGGGAGAGAATATTGAAGACATGACTTTTTTTTCCTGTATGTAAATTAACAATTACGAATAAAAACCCACTTAAAGTAAGTGGATAACAAAATGTTGTCTAAAAAAATGGATCTACCCCAAATATTTCCAATCGCCAGCTAACAAGAAGGTGAATCATAAGATACACTCAAAATATTTGCGACTACTAAAAAGTGCATTCTAACGTCCCAAAAAATAAATAGTATAAATTACATAAATATGTCAACAAATCGTTGCAAAACTACATGGAAAATAATCAATAACAATTTTCAAAATACAAATGTCTATTCTGAAATAAACGAAATAGAAAAGGATGGAAAAAAATATACCCATTCCCAAAAAATCTGATATTATTAACGATTACTTTATAAATTTTAATGATAATTATATCACTAAGTCCCGAAATCATTTGACATTACAATATATCTATCACCAGTAAGTCCGAAAGACATATTTGATGTGATAAAATTTCTTAAACAATCCAATTCAAATACATATGACAATATTAATACTAGATATTAAAATTGTGTGCTTTGGAATTTTGTACCGCATTAGCAATTATAATTAATATGTCTTTTTAAAAGGCACATTCCCCAAACGTCTCATATATTTCGTAGTCAAGCCAATATACATAAAGGGAAATGATTAATTATAGAGCCATTACAATACTCTCAAAAGTCTTTGATAAAACAATGCTCTCCAGACTGATTGACTTTCTTAATTCTCTTAATCTTAATTCCAATAAATTATTGTACTAAAAACCAGAACAATTTGGATTTTGGAAAAACAGCTCAACTGTTTTTCACTAGTAAAACTATTATGGTATGTTTAGATAAAAAATGCCCATAATCGCATTATCTAGATATGCTTTGATTATGCCTTTGATTATGTTTGCCATAAAATCCAATTCCAGAAGTTGGAAAGTTATAGAATAAGAGGTAAAGCGTTTGATTCAGTCAAATGCTTTTAAGAAGTTATGTACTGAAAAATCTTGTATTAATGCGTAGAAATAAATAAACTAATGGGCTCATCAAAAAGTACCTTTCATTCTCAATATCGTCTAAACACATGCGGAGTTCCTCAAGAGAGTGTCCTAGGACCATTACTCTTTTGTCTTTTGAAACGAAAGTGTCAATGACACCACAATTTTAATTAATGGCACTAACAAAACTACACTTGAGGTAGAGGCAAATAATACACTTCGAGATATAATTCATTCGAAGGGAATAATCTTACAAACAATTTACACAAGACTAATTTGGTTGAGTAATTTCGAACCTATTATTTCTCTTGAAATGAGAAGGTTATCTCTTTGACACCCATGGTCGTCACCTGCGTTCTTTAAACTCTCTCTAACTATTCACTCCTCTTTTGCACACTGGCTTTATGTCCAACTCATTTACTCTTCAATCAATTCTACTGAGGAACAGCCTTCCTGATTCAGCCAAATAAATTATAAATAAAATAGTTCACTCCTTTCTTTTGCAAGGTTTTTGAAGATTGTCATCATCATTTGTTTATATGTTCTATTTAAGTTAGTCAACTATTTTTAATTCTCTGTACCGCCAGTGCGTATGTCAATTTTCCCAAAGGTTAACTGAAAGTGAATGCATTAAGTCCGCCTTTTGTACCCAACTTGTATTGGTCAATAAAAAAACTATTGTTTAACCAACCAGCCAGCTCAGCCAAACCCTTCTGTCAACAATATCACCTCAGACCAAGACCACCCACAGAAAACCACTTGAGTATCCTGCGTAAGAAAATATTCGTCCGCCACCACACTACAATCTGGAACAGTGTTGGTCCAAGAACACTGCCCTGTGGGACCTCAAAAGTGATGTTCATATAAATTTATCAATTTTTACTGCCCGAGTTCTTTCTTGGAAATAACTTTTAAAAGTGAAAAGGCAAGATCCTTTACGCTAATACCTATATTATTATTATAAAAACAGCAAGCCATTGTACATTTGTCTACTCTATCTGTAATTTGAGTTGTTAAGTCTATAACAGTATCTTGCGTTCAAGACCCCTTCTGAAGCCATATTGAATTTCATATTTGTTTAAGTTAACTTAACAATCTATAGTTTATAAATTTTTCTAAAATCTTCGAGTTGATAGGCAATAGCGGTCTTTAGTTATTAGCCTCGTTTCTGTCTTCCCCTTTATACACCGGAGTTGTTAATCAACGTTTGAAGGCCTTAGAAAATACACCGGTTTTGAAACATAAGTTTGCCAGTCGGCTAATCACAGAACAAGAATATCTCTATAATGTTTTAGAAGACAAACTACAAACAAATAAAAAAAAACTTTATAACCAGTGCAAATACAGTTCTTTAAAAAAATAAACCTTTTTATATATTCTTAGAATATAATGTTCTGAATTTATAAAATTTTATTACGTACCTTTATAACCAGCTTTGTCTGAAATAAAAATAAATTTTATAAGTTCAATTTTAGAATCACCCTTATATATTTACAAATTCTATATAGAAAAAAATATAGTAGCAATTAGGCTGACATAATATAGAACGTACGATGATGTCACAAACTTTGATATACCGTTTATGGGACATTAAAAAAAATGGCCGGAATTTGAATAGTGGGTTATATTAAAACTCATAGGTATGTCTTTGCAATATCACAAGTTATATCTATATATCAAAAAGAAGCGAAAGGTACCATAACAATATTACAAAAATGAATACTTCAACTTTTTTTTAATCTAGATATTTTAAGAAGTAGGTATATATACGTAAAAATATGTCTAGGTGTTACATTATATGTAAGTATATGATGTGATACCCTCCAATCCGCATTGGGCCAGCGTGGAGGGTCATGGCCCAAACTCCTTAGCCATCCATAAGGAAGGCCTGAGCCCCTACAGTGGGGAAGTAAAAGGGTACCCTACGTAAAAGGGTAATGCTACCAAAAATTTCGGTATTCACGGTGAATTGACAGTTTATTAGTTGACTGAATATTGTTCAACCGTATTGTGGATAGTTACGTTCATCTACTAGGCTGATCGAAAGGCAGCAGTAGTTCAATGTCTCCATTGAATAGGGATGACGACAAATTTTTGTTTGTTTGTCCGTCAGGTAGAATGTTAAAAAATATTAAACACGTATTTTTTTATTTTTTTTGTAATCATAAAATTTCAACTCAATGTAACGCCGTAACGTTACATGAGTTGAAATTTCGCATGACGTCACGTTAGAGTACGTTTTCTACTCAACTGTGACGTAGCGAGACCCCACTCCTCAACTTTAATGCCTGTTATCTAAGCTATTTCTTGTTAAATTGAAGTAAAAAAAATACGTGTCTAATATTTTTCTATTATCTGACTGACGGACTAAATAGAATTGCATTTTTTTTTACCAAGTCATCATCCCTATTAAAGAGTTAGTCGCCCAATTGGTCAGTTGATTATACAACTTGGCTGCGACATTTATATAAAGCGTTAATTGTGACTTTTGCAATAGTAGCTAGCACTACTTTACTTTTTGCGTAATGCTAACACCTAAAATAGTTATGTATAACCTTGCTAAAATCAACGTACTATTTTTTTAAATTCTTTTCTATAGGTAATATTTTGTTTTAGTTTCTGCTACCATGAGTTAAAAAAACAAACAAACCTGCATTAGGATAATTGGGTAATTTTCCAGATTCTGCCAGAGGCGGTTTGGGAATCTCTTTTTTCGGTTCTTTATTTATATTAGCTGCTACCTTTTTGTCTGGTACCAGCTTCTTTGCCTGTTGTGCTGACTCTGAAATATAAATATGTACATAAACATCGAGTTCATACAGAATACATAAAAAATATATATTTGCCTAGTAAAAATAATATTAAGATGAACTGTACTTGTGTAAAGATTCTTAAAACTTTGTATTTTGATAAAGGATCGTAAAAACTTCGTATGGGAACTCAATAAACTTATATAATCCGACACCAACTATAAAACTGATATGTGAAAAATGCCCACGTCCAGTGTTTATTGAAAACAAATCTTACGGCCTGACTGCGACTAAAAAGTATACGTATACTATGAAAAATTACAGGCCCGGATCTAGGGAAGAGGCAATTTGGGGCACTTGCCCCTGGCGCCAATGTTAGGAGGACAACAAAATCATCATTATATAGTATCTATTTACAGTGACAAAAAGAACGAGCTTTACTAATCTTTCTACATATTATATGCTATAATCGAACAGACATGCTTCAAAATCCCAAAATTTAATAAAATAAAAATAATAAACACTGCAAAAATATAAAGTAAAATCCGGCTTCATAGAGCGTAGGGAGTGGGGGGCGTAGACGAAAGGCGCAATACCAAGTTTCTGCCCCGGTTAAAAAAATTGTAGATCCGGGCCTGTAAAATTAAACAGTGAGCGATACTTGAGAATGGTTCTGTAAACCTGGGTTTCGCTTCACTCCGTCCACATTTGACGTCGATTGTCTTTTCAATAAGTACAGCAGCGAATTAACTTGTGTCTATGGCGAGTTTATTGCCATTTGGACGCCAAGCTAAAACCAGTCTTAATTTAAATTTGTTAAAAAAAATTACCCGTTTTTCGGCGAGTATGAAGTACCTCCTGCCTTTAATTAATATGCACACCTTTCAACTAAATTGATCAATGTGTTCACATTACAAATTTTAGTACAGTGCATGTATATAAAATTATACATCGTACTAAAGATAACTTACTGCCACATTCGGATGTTACTTATAACTTCTTACTTAACTGTGGACTTTTTAAATTCGCTGCTGTATTAAAAGTGTAAATCGGACGTAAATATTTGTGTCTGATTTGCAATTGTAAGCGTCACAATTATGCATCCACGACGCCAAGGTAAAGTCACCAGCCCTTTAGCTCACATGTACAGTAACCCAAGAAATATGGCGCGTCTTGAATCTTTGTTTGCCGACATCAGAATTAACAATTCCGATGATAAATAATCAGTCTTGTTTTAATAATCATAAAGGTGTAAAAAACAAGTTTCTGTCTCCAGTAGTAATCCATGGTGGTAAGGCGCGAAGATCACCCGATGAATCGTATCATTCATCATTATTAGTAGTCAGTATTTACCGCGTTTCGAAATTTAGCCTTTTGCTTAGGTACATGGGTAAGCCAATGTTATTGTGGTTTACTTTACGTGTATTGGCACTGCTAAGGTGGCTGGGCGACGTCGAATGAAAGGATGCACCGCGAAGGTTTTTACTGGGTATGACTCCGAGGATCAACACAGTGGACAATTTGTTCACTAGTTGAGCACACAAGGGAGGATCCCACGTTACCTCGACTTTAGTGCCGCATACGTATTTTCCCCACGGAAAATGCTATGACTCAGGGTAGAACCGATGGTCGATCCAGTGAATTAAGCGAACCCATACTATGAACGTGCGGGCTAAGGTAGACCAGACCCAGTCATTAATCAGTCAAAGGCTTTAATCCAAAGCATCTTTCTTTTGGAGTTTTAAATATTACGAGGGTAGAAATGCATGAACTGAATACAGTGTTATATGCTGATGTCAATCAGGTGTTTTATATAAATAAAAGAGTGTAACTAAGAAACTTTTAGTTGTGGATTAAATATTTTTAATCCACAACTAAAAGTATTTGATATATAAAAGAAGTTTCACCGCAGACATATCGTAGTTAAGTTCGTTTGCGTGTTTTCGCTTTGAAAACCGCAAAATATGTCTAGTTTATCCACCGCAATTAGACCAAAGTCTTAGCCGAGCTATTAGATTACAATATAACGTATAATGGGCGTCAGTAGAAGATGCGCAGTAATAATCTTCCCTTTTATTAGGTACATCTACGCAAGATAAAATGAGGACTTGTTGCGAATGAGGGACGACGGAACTCCGATGAAAAGATATGACATAGGATACCCTTAGTTACCTCGTAGATAGGCATATAAAATTTCAAATTTAAACTATGTACGTTTGACAAATGACAGAGATTTAGTTCCTTAGAAATGTTATTTTGGCAGCAATAATAATTGAATTAATCTTTAATGTTAGAACAAAACAGACTAACCTCCATGATTTACTTTTACACCTTCAGCCCGTTGCGGAGTTTCGGCGGCCTCCTTCTTCATATTTTCAATTACAGCTGTGAGGAATGTTTTGTCGTCATCAACAGGGAATCGTTTACGATATTTTTCTATTACATTTTTTATAACCACACCGATTTCGTTCTTCAAAAGCAAATCGATTCGTGCAAAAACTGCTTTTTTGAGATTCCATAGTAAATTCAATGTCGTTTCATCGTCCATATTTTCTGTTCTTGTCGAAATAATTTCTTTAGCTATTTGTGCAGCTGCCTGACGTCGCCAAGTATCGTCCTTTTGGATGGTGCGTTTCAAATTCATTTCATCATTTTGAGCAATTTTTTTAGAAGGCGGATTTTTATTAATTAAAGGATGTCTAACTGTGGATGGATTACCATTACCTGGAGGATATCGCATAGAGGTAGGATTTCCACCACCTGAAGGAAATCTCTTTGGAGGTGGATTCCCACTAGCTTGAGGACAGTTCATACGCGGTGGATTTCCAGTAGCTGGAGGAAATCTCACAGAAGGCCGGTTTACATTAGTAGGAGGATATCTCATATCTCGATTTTCACTGGCTGATGGATCTCGTACAAATTTATATTTGCTATTTGCTTGATATCCACTTACAGTTGGATTACCTTTAGGAGATGGATTTCTCCTAAGATTTTCAGTAGCTGATGGATCTCGTACAAATTTATATTTATTATTTGCTAGATTCCCGCTAACAGTTGGATTACCTCTAGGAGATGGATTTCTCCTAGGTGGTGCGTCAATGTTTGATCTCATATTTTCCGTGTTTCGCGAGAACTTTTGTGGTGGACCCTGTTCCATAGAAGTGAAGCGATTTTGTTCTCTATTTGCAAAAGATTGAGATTTGTTCTCGATGGAAATTCGAAGAGATTCGCTCCATGTTTGCCGAGAACTATTATCCGTCATGGAATCTGGGTTGGGACGTTTCCTCGTTTCCCGTGGCTCATAATATTCCTGACTTGTTTGCGGTCGATCTTTTTGTGAGGAAGTATTTCCGTATTCCCAACTTTGCAGTGATTGTTCAGGCCGATAGCTACGATGGTCCATTGGTTTATCGTGGCCTATATCATGTTCCTGAACATTACGTGAGCTATATTTAGAATCGTAAGATTCATTACGACGACCACCATATCTTTCAGTTTCGGGAACGTTTGATACATTTGAGACGCTACGCTGATCAAAATCGTCACCGAAACGCTGTTGGTCATTTCGAAATCTGTTGTCAAAAGCCGCGTCATCGCGGTATTGAGGATGAGGAGATCGACTACGACCTCTAGATGGACTAGTCTCTTCGGTGTTCCATCTAGATGTTTGTTTTGTTCTTTTATGGGCTAGATTTTCGTTATCGGATCCCCAACGAGACGGTTTTGATGATACCCTCATGCATTCTCTACTCTGTTCATTATCTTCGCTAGAGCGATTATATCCTCGATAAGATTTACTAACTTTATCACTCTCATTATCCTCCCTGTTCGGTTTGAAATTTTTGTCACGGTTGTTTTGATTTATTGCAGAATTATCCGACATAGGACCAGATAAATTTTGATTTGGGTTAAAATTATACTGCAAAGGAAGTTGTGCTGTTGCTGCCATTTGCTCGCTGTTGTCCATAAAAGCATTCTGTGAAAAAAACCATGATGGAATCATAACACTTAAAAGTGACTGAGAGCATAGAACATAATTAGACCACATTTATAGAGGTAACATCACACGTATTCTCCGTGTGTAATTCGTGAATCTTATTCTTTTTTCATCAAGTAAGCGGTGCTTCAAATATAATCATGTATCGATGTATGGCTTTATATGAATACGACTTGTGTTATGCATTGCGTTATATACGGTGCGTCATATGACAAGGTTTCCCAAATCGTAGAGACATTCAAACATCTGGCGATGTGAGCAGTAATCTATTACTCGCATTTTAAAATGTGTGCTAAGATTTTGCACACAACACCGACATGTAAGCTATAAAACTTACAGAGAAGTTGAATAAAATTTAATAAAATGGAAAGCCATTTGGAACAAAATATTTTATGCTCCATAGCAGTACATTATTATGTACTTTGTAAATGAAAAGAGAAACATTTATAAAATATATATACATATATATCAAATGACCTAAAAAACGATTTACCACTTACTGTGTGTATGCACTTGTTGGGCGTGGCTTCACATCACATCTAATTGGGGAAACTTTAAGAGCTAGTACCGTAATTAGGGCAATGCCAACGACGCGACGCCTAGGCAAATGGCGTAGACTCTAGTGTCGTAAAAATTGCTACACAAGCAAACCTTTTTTTATACCGAAGGCAACTGAGCATTAACATTTCATCGACCTGGACTAGAGGCCGACTAAACCGGGGATCCCCGACTACATTGACGGTACAGTGCAGTTGGTCTACCCAACAAAAGCTTCCGTATCACCCTCTCACGTAGTCCGGGCTCCGGTATCTAGCAAGGAATAGCCGGGACAATATGGACCGTGGTAGACCCAGGAAGTGACCCTCTCGGAGACGTAGCCCTTAAACAGACTTATATCGCCTTCCTTGACATTGAATTGAATAAAAATGCAATTAACGTTCAACATTGTATTTTTTGATAATTGATTCAATGTTCAAAATAAATTGAACTTAAGAGTGCATTTTAATTCAATCTAATTTAAACGAAATCGAAGTGTAGGTATTATTCCAAGATACTGATACAAGATACCAAGACACTGTTGAGATCCTATTGAACATGATATGATACTCCTAAATTAAAGCCACTAACAGCCAGTTGCACAAACTTCCATTAAAATTTTCATTAGTTTAATTAAACCTACTAACAGCCAGTTGCACATACTTCTATTAAAATTTTCATTAGTTCAAAGTGACATTACCCATACCAATTTGACATTCATTGAGGTTAAAGGCGACATTAAACCTTAATGGACGTTTGTGCAACTGACCGTGAGTCATACATTTTGAACAAATGCTTTGCCTAACACCACATTATATAGGTACAACTAGTGTTTTCCGGTTGACCATTTAGTGACTCGGCTATGGCTTCCCGGGTCTCATCCCCCATGTGAGGGTACACTGAAGGGTTTTTAATGGGTAGGCCCGTGGATCCATGAAGCGAATACCAACTGGATGGACCCACAGAGGGAAGACCCACATAATCCCGCTCGCTAGGCGGCGGTATGCCTAACCATTTCCCTTAAAATAAAAAAAAGATGAATTGTTGTTGAACCTTATGAATATTTTCTCTAAGAAGTAGAATCCGGTTTTAACATTTTTTCCTTATGTAATGCAGAACTTTATGTTAGGTTTATTACATAAAATATTGTATATCTAGCAAATGTCAAGTAATCATTGCTGGAAAACAATTTCAATATTTTATGCAAATGTGGTTTCCCTGTACATTTCACCACTTGTATCCAAAATAGTGGCTCTTATGTTAAATGCTCTCTTAATTTTATTTAATATTGTCTCATGTTGAGTAGCTAACTAGTTCAGAATATCAATATTTCTTCTCCAATTGATTTTCTTGATATCCTACATGACCTAAAGAAGTCGTAACAATAATAATAAAAATAAGAGTTTGTATTTAAGTGAATATTCTATACTCACCCTAAATATATCATGTATTTGGATTTAAGTATACATATATAATCTATACTTATTATTAGGCTATGTACTAAATAAAAGGATAACCGAGTAGTGGATTCAAATATAGTATGTAGTCCGGCTATCTATAGGCAACCATACGAAATATTGTGCTGTTTGTTTACTATTCTCTTAAAAATATTATACAATATCTTGGGTCAATAGGATGAACTTAGCAGGCAGTAAGGGGGTGACACAAGTGGCAAGCGATAATTTCTTTGTATCATTGTTGGCTATCTCATAATATTTACAGTAACATAACCACACTGTTTTACATAATTTTTCTTTTTTCCTTTCATATAAGAAAGGCAAAGATTGTGGTTCAAAATATTACAATGCTTATGGAAAAACATCAAATGCCATTTTCCCAGTCATAGAAAGAGAAGACCTTGAATATCTTACCTGTTGAGACATATAATACATGCCCATTCCCATCATCTGTCGATTCATCATCATCATCGCATCTTGTACCATTAGTTGTGGATTGAACTGGGCCATATTATGGAGCATATTCATTTGCATAGGTAAATTTTGTTGGGCAAACATCCCCTGCAGTCCTGGTCCAGGTTGTTCTACAGGATTCTCTCTTTGATCATAGTCTTTGTTTGAATTTGACATAGGCCGGTAAGGTTGCTCTGTTGACTAAAAACAAATTTATATTTTCAATGTATGTTACTTAGCAGTATTCTGTTTTTAATATAGTGATTACTTTTGTTGTTGGAAATGTTATGTTAAATTTTTAGTTTACAGATTTTTGATAATTTTCATTCCTAGCAGAAGTAACCTTGGTATGAACTAAACAGTATATTATTATTAACTTTTAAAGTAAATAATCTATTTTGAACAAGTCATACATTAACAATAAATTAGTTTATTTTTGATAATAAATTCATAGTTGCTCCCATAAATCTTTATTCATACACCTATTTGATAATGGTTTGCATGGAAAAATTTACACTTGTATCAAATCAGGCTTAATTATACATGAGGGCTGTCACCTGACCTGAAATTCCCAGGACAATGTTTTCAAAGATGTTGTCCCACATACTAATTCCTTTAGAAATATTGTGCAGATTTTTTATAACAGTTGACGTTAATCATAATTTTTCATATGATGTAATTTGAACTGAAGTTTAATTCTCAAATAGTGATGATCCTGAGATACACTACAATTTGTGGATACCAGAAATAAACAATTTATCAAACAAAATAACAGTGAGCATGATTACTATATTTTAGCTAAATCATCCGTAAATCAGATTTCTATAATAACTGAACATATTGTCATTGAAGGAAGAGCAACCTTTTTTTTTTGTCGAATGTCCTCAACATAAAGTTGTGCTCCCTCCACATAAAGACCGTTGATTTTTCGTACAAGAATTGCGGCATCTTCTTCTTCTGCTACACCAACTGTAACCTTCTTATAATCTCCTTCATTGACTAAGTGGTCCAGTAACACTTCTGTTAGGCCACATGATGTAAGGATCAACTTCTTTATATCACAATACCGTGTCTAGAAAATATTTAAAATTACAGAGAATTACTATCAATCATTACACTACCCAACAATTATCTATATCATAAAATTTTTCAAGAATATTTTATCACATTTGTTGTATTTAAGTGTACTCATTTCAAAAATAACACAGATTTTTTTGTTGCTGTAGTTTATAAGTTTTTTCAAACTGCAGATTCATTTTAGGTGAAAGTGCATATTCAGTGACTTTCAGCTAGTGCATTAATATTTTTTTTATTATAATATATGATATCTAGGAATAAGAGACATTGTTTAATCAATCTAGACAGTATTGAAAATCATAGATTTGGTTAAATCTGCACATTTTCCCTACTTTGTAGTGAATGTTCAGAATCTACAGAAACCATGGGTGCCAAATCTGTATGCCAAAATTGTGTTCTCTTTGGGACAATGGAAAAAGACATGGACTGAGCTGAAAGCAAGCATTTTCGTTGAACCAAAAATTACTTACAATTAGTTTACGAGATGTTTCTAATTTGAAACTTCTAGGAATGGGTATAACATGAGCATTAAATTATGTTATTTACATTTTCATTTGGATTGATTTCCTGAAAACTTTCGACAATATAATGAACGTTACCGAGGGAGATGGGACATACTTATGATGGCCTGCTGCTGCTGGAATCTATGTCGGGATCTAATACAGGAGCCTCATTAAAAATAATCTCATAAAAAAACATTTTTACTCCAAGCTTTTAAATAAAGTTTATAAAAAAAAATCATACATTTATAACTTGTATGAAAATTTAGAACTAGAGACCAAAACCAATGATATTTTCTTAACCAGTACACTTAATATAAGTAAAAACTATTACAAATATACTAGAAAACTTTTCACTGTTATTTATTAACCATAATATATTTACGTTAAACGTACATTTGCCGGCAAATTATGTATAGTTAACAACATTTTAACACAAAATTAAGTGAATCTCGGTAAGAATCACAGAAACATTTAGGTAAAATCGACAAAATCGCTAGAATAAGCAAATTACTAAAAGTCCAGTGCTGTCAACTCTAAAAACTAATTTCTGCTAAATAGGCTTTAAAAAATGCCAAAAATATGCCAAATGTTTTCGAAATTGCTTAAATAATGCTTTTATGAGAGAAACAGAGTATTTATTAAAAATCTTTATAAAGAAGCATTTATAAATAAATTTCGAAAACCCTCGTCGGTATCCTGAGCTGTTGATGTAGCCGGTTGGTATAGAGCAGTATGACGTAGATGCATAAGCCTCATTAGTTCCTATTTTTCGCAAAATTTGATCAGGGACCTCATTGATTCCCCTCACCAAAAACTCATAATAATCAAGCGGGATTTATCTAACCAAAGACTACTCTATGCCTATAAATCTACGAACACTCTTAGGTTGTGTTCAGACATTACCACCTACGGTCGCGTTCATCAACTATATTTATGAGCTTTAGACTCTCAGCAAAATGCTAAAAAATATGCTATATGCTTAAATGAATTTAATTATACCAAATCATTAGAAAACATGCTAAATTTAGCCATAAAAATGCTAAATTGACAGCACTGAGTAAAACAATTGCTATAAGGGTGACCGTTCTAAAAATGTTAAATCTACCAGACACTACCTAAAAATCTGCCAAACCCGTCTCCAAAAAGTGCCAAAAATATGCCATCATATTTTTACGTACTATTACAATGTGACACAAAAGAGAAGAAAATAAATAAATCTGTCGCCTAATACGGCAACAATTTCTTTAGAAATCTATTTTAAGTCATGTTGACAGAGATGCAGTTGTATGGAGTCTTTGATGTTAGTAATAAAAATAATTTTAGTTCCCCTTTATCCCGTTTTCTACTCTTATGTGTCAGACTGAACAAACAAGAATAAATAAAATACTAATTATCAATAAGAGAATTAATACTCTTTCATTGTTTATTGATTTTAGTGACGTTTATCGGGTTGGTTTAAAAGAGACACAGTTTCCGTGTTTCTTTATGGCATAAAATGCATAAAGTTTATGCATTCTATTATAAAGTGATGGGACACCTGTTTGTTCAAAAACCTGTACCTCATTTTTTTTTCAATTAAATTTATCATCATGAGTCCTATTACATCCCCACTGCAGGAGTTCAGGCTTTCTTTAAAGATCGTTAAAGAGGATGGTTTATTGAACCCTCCATGAGGATTCCTATACGTATTGGAGGGTATTAACGACTGGAAATGCAGCCGGGATCAATGGTTTAAAGTGCATTCCGAAGCATGGAATAAATAAGCTCGAGATAATCATGTTTTGGTCATCCATCGTTCGCAGGCCCTGGCGCTTATCCACTATGCCACCACCGCAAACCTTTAAGTTAGGTTTAAGAGAGAATATCCTTTCGTGTGAGGCATTGGACATTGGTAAACATAATAGATATTCTGCAAAGTTAGCAATGTAGAGATATTTTGAACGACCACTAGCATCACGCATTTTAACAATGAGAATGTATTAAAAAAACATTAGTTTCCGAAATCAAACTAGATGCCTCTACGATACGATATTTTCTTGATTTCTCTATGACAATCTTTCCGGTTTTCAATAAACAACTCATATTTTATTTGTACTTTTTCATATTTGTATTGATATCTAAGTTTTGAACTTTGCAAATTTCAGTTTTTTTATATGTTAGTTAAAAGCAATAATCAACTTTTGCTTGAGTCGACATCTAGTGGAGGTGCTTTTTTAGTGCTTTCGTTTTTTTTTAAATACTTCCTCATTAAACAAATCATTCACATTCGCCCATCTCTAGGTGTTTGTCATTGGATTAATTGATTCGTATTTCACCTTTTTCTCAGCGACTCAAGTCAATAATTAAAAAAGAGTGTTAACCTTAAATTTATTTATTTTTATATTAAAATGTCTGGTTGTACTTATACTTGAAAGATATTTTGTAGTTTGTGATTGTGTTGTATCGTAGTTTTTGCCACAAATTTCGTTATCAAGATGATGCTAACTATTCACGGCCTTCCCGTGATGGTGAGTTTACATATTTTCTATCTATATACTTCATATAATATGACTTTCATTATCAACACCTTTTATTCCAGGTAAAATACCACGATTTAAAAACATTGATAAAACAAGAATGTAACATAAATGATTTTATCTTGGATAATTTAACGGCAGACGTGGATGGTAGCAAGAAAGTCCGCATTGGCGTCGCCGATGAAGCTGAAGGAGCGCATCTATGTAAATGTTTAAATGGATTTCGCATGGGTGGAAATCTTTTAAGGGTTCTGCCTGTAGGAAAAGCGGTAAGATTTGTTTTGGCATTCTTACAAAGTCATACCAAAACTAAAATAATTGGAGTTATTTCTTCAAAAGGATTATTTATATAATGGTTCATAGATTGGTTTAGTGTAAAATATAAAAACTTCTATTTTTATCAGAAAGGTTATTTATTATATTTTCTAAAGAGATCAACAAAATGTTATCATTAGATTGGAATTACAATTATAAACGTTGTACGAAATATAGCACTTTTCACAAGTACTTGGCCTCATGTGCAGCACAAGTTGACCGTCACTTATCCGGTAGTCAGCCTCTTACCCACTTTGGTAGTCTTGCATATTGGACATAAAACTCTTTAATATATATATTTTCATATACATCAAATAAACCAGCAAATGCAGTATCCTAATCCTATTAAACAGTAACAAGATTTAATTTTATGCAGCAAAACTAACTTATTTACTGGTAAAATTAACTTATTTCCAAGTCAAAGTTATATTTAATCCAAAAAAAAAATAAACTGTTTACTGTGTGAATTTCAACAACATCAAAGTAAATTCTAATAAAACCAGTAATAACCAGTTTAGGCTGAGCACTAGATCAATCTTAAAATCTATGTGCTTCTGAGCAATTTTCTTTTAGGGTAACACTGCAATATAGCCTTTGAATTGAATAAATTTGATGTTAAGTATTGTGAATTAGAGCTAAAACCATTACAATAGTGTTCATTAAGGTTTAATGACAACTTTAAGCTTTAATGAATGTTCTCAATATGGGTGTAGACAGTAAATAAAAATAAATACATTTTTTTGGTAGTATTTAATATACTATTACTGATAATCACACTACTATGCTTATTTAATTTATAATATTATTAAAATTAATTATGAATAAACACTTATTTTATACCCATTTTCACTTGACTGTAAACAGCACAGGACGTCATAGCCTTCTTAGAAAGCTGTCATAAGTTTAACTTTGACATTAACATACATAGAACTTTAACATTAACATAGTTAGTTTCACAGGGTGGTGACGTCACATTGACGCTATGACAAAGGTCAGGTTTTTGTAGGAAAATTTGAACATGGATTTTATTTTTAGATTTTAAATTAATATAAAGAGAGATAATTTCCTTTATATATATATATATATATATTTATTTTTTTTTAAATATATTTCAAGTATATACTTGTAAAAAAGTTATCTACAAAATAAAAATAAAAAAAAAATCTAAACCCATCTTTAAAAATTGGTATCAGTAATGGTGCCTTAAACTAATGAGAATTTATAGACCCTTACAATAGTGTAGCCTTTCTCAACTTTTTTCAACAAATAAAGTGCACTTAGTATTATAAGCCGCAGTGAAGGATATATTTATTTCTTTTTTAGTCTGTCAATCAGAACACCTTTGATCAAAGAGGTGGATTTATGCCTAGAAATGATATGCCAAATCAGCATGGCAACTTTGGTAATCAGCCTGCCAATTTTGGTAATCAGTTCAGTAACCAGACTCAACATGCTCAAGCCACTTGGAATACTGGATCTCAAAGTAGCCAATGGGGAAGTAATCAACAGCCTCAAAATCAAATGCGACAAGCTAATTTTGATTTTCAACAACGAACTGGGCCTCAGTTTCCTATGCAGGTAAGAAATCATATTGGCTAGTTTTTTGAATAAGTTTAGGTTTCATTTAACATGACAAATATTTCTATCATAATTTAAATCCCAGTAGATAGCCTAACATACGCAGTAAGATTTAGAATGTGGACCTAATTAAAGTTGAATTTCTATTTCTATATCCACATCTAATTCTAATTTTTGATGTATACTTTTTATAATTGTTATAAAGTCAAATATTCTTGCAATTTCTTTTTATTTGAACAGCACATATTAATTAATACAGTAGAATCCGTTTACTATGACTAAATATGACTTAATTACATGTTGTTTATTATGATGTATTTTGTAAGAATTTTTACAAATCACTCTCCTTGCTCCTCGACACTATGAAAATATTGTACACCATTAGATTTTTAAGTGGCTGATTTTATTTCTATTGATTGAAATTATCTCACTAAAACTGGAAGATATTAGTTTTCTAAAAATACTTTGTATGACCTTCATTTAGTATGACTTGTTTGTCATTTCTCTTCATAGTCATAGAAAGGGAATCCACTGTATCTCCATATCATCATAGTAAAACCAATATTAATATAGTGTAATAAAACCTTGAAAAAAAGTTTTTTTCAATGTTATGTTAAAACTTGTAAATGGTGTTAACTATCTAGTCCAGTGAGGTTGCTGGTAAATAACCATGTATATATTGTATATTCTACTTATTACTGTATATGAAATAGATTTCCTAAATCCCGTTTTGGTGCTCTAGACATATCAAAGTTATCTTGTAAAGAATATTCTATTTTTATTTGTAATAATAAAACTCAAACACTACTGGATGAATTAAAATATTATCACTGAGTATGTTTTTTATCTCAAAGTTCCCAGTTATACAGGGGACAAACTAGCTAGGTAGCTAGCTAGGTTCTCTTTGTTTGTAATAATGTGTAAAACTTTACTTTGTCTTTAATATTAGTGGTTAGTCTAAGATGTTTCAATTGATTTTTTTTTATGTATTTGTTGTTTACAGTACTATGTTGTTGCATTTCAAGCTATGTTTTTACGTATTGTTAGTTTCGTAACAGTGATATTCTTTAAAAAATTGGTGAACATTTTCGGCCACTTTATTTCTACAGCAGACGGCTCCTGTTGGACAGCAAGGCCCTGGGAATAAACCATTTGGCCAGTCTGGGCCATTCATACAGAACAGAACAGGGCCACCAGAACAAGGATTTGGTTTTGCGCAACCCAACAAACCTCAACCAGTGAGTTTTTGAAATTCCACTAATAACTTATTTAGCATAACATAACTTAATATACTTAATTGCAAATGCAATTATTAATAGCCTTACCAAAGATAACTGTGTTTTAATTTTTGCTGCCATGATTGAGATAATTACAGAAAATTCAGACTCAATCAACTCTCTCTATGACCATTTAAATAAGAATATAATAGTTTATTTTTTAACATATGATACAGTGACGATTGTACAGCAATTTAAAAAAACAGCTAGTTATAGATACAATAAACACGATGTATGTGCTAAAAAAAAATTTTTTTTCACTGATTTTCAGAGTTGTAGGCTTGGCCGCCGAAGGTTGTACTAATCGCTTGTTTATTATCTCTCATAATTTAGGCACTGCATATGAATAAATTCATATTCATATCCTAAATTAGGAGATGACGTATTCTTGATGACGTTTATAGAGATAATTTGTTTTTTTTTGTGTTATGTAAATAATATAATTTCTTATTGCTAACATCTATTGCTTAATGTCAATGTAGAATAGATATGCCCACAACAGTCTACACTTATTCCATAAAAATACATCAATCGATATGAAATTACAGTGTTATGTTCACATTTTTATTTCAGCTCAGTATGTCTGTCTTAATTAAGAAGTTTGTGTTGTCTTAATTACAAGTGAAGATACATTTACTAGTACCTGGTATTCCATCATTCAGCGTTTAGCACAAGATATTTTATATAATTATTGGCCGCCCTTATATTCGGGGGCGGGCGTAATGTGACCTTAGTGTACATCTGCCACAGTTGATTACGACAAAACAAGATTTAAAACATAGATTTTTAATCCTCGTCCAAATTCAAATTAAGTGTATTGAATTTGTCAACTGCCATTTTAGCTTTTGGTGATTTATTTTTGCCTATAATTTGAGTTAATTTTCTTTTGTGCGGAAATTTCCTCTACAGTTTTTAGTGAACACTTAAATTTTTATTAGGCACCGCAAATGCGTTCAGACCGATCGCATGTACTTCGCAGTGTCGACATAGTGCAAGGTCCAGTGCATCCAAACAGATACTCTGATCAGAAATATGATCAAAACAAACCTGTAAGTGTTTAATTTTCTACAACATGATTCTTACATTGCCTAATGATCGGTCTGAAGATATTAGAACAAGAGCTCGTAATAAAAATGTGTAAGCTTTCAACAGTTAATATTTCTGTATGTAGAAGTACTACGAATAGGCATCATTCAGTGACCAATATGTAGGTCAGGTGCTGGAACAGGCGAATTATATTGTTGCCACCAGGTAATAACGTGAAACAAACTTCTAGCGGTTTCTGAATGTGTTTGTTCCATTTAATGAAAATGTTATCGACAGCAAATTTTAATTGTTTCAAATAACTAAAATATTTACTAATCTTACTACAGTCAAACTATAAAATAGTTTTGTGGGACCTTTGTTAAATGTAATGTAATTTGAATTTATATTTAAGAACAAGGAAGTGTCTTTAAGCTCTGCTGTGTGTACACAATATGAATCAATTAGTACTATTGATTCTGTTATATTTTTCATTTGTCAGGTGGTGATCAATAAAGACTACTTTCAGGGACCGAGCCAGTTCGATACACCACAGCAAAATTATCCTCAAGCAGGGTTGATCCAAGCTGTACCCTGGAGTAAACTAGTATGTATTATTTTATTTTGGTAAATTAAATCGTCCTATCGACCGTACTATAGTAAATATGGACATTCAATACATTTCATAGTATGTTGGTACATGCAGATAAAAAAATTAAATTTATTGAAATAAATCTCAAAATGTGTAATCTTACATCTAAACAAAAAAAATATACTATTTTTTTTTCGTTTATCTTCGTTATCTGTATTATTACTTAATAAAATAGTGTACTTATTGTTAAAACGTTTTATACAGCAAGCGAAAAACCTGACGTTTGGAAAACCTGACGTGCCACAGTTTGAGAGCGACAAGCGTCATATGCCTAAAAATTTTGAGAAAGGGCCTTTAATTCACGGGCAGCATGAGAGGAGGTTGTCTCCGCAAGATAGAAGACCATCTCCACACAGGAGACCTTCGCCTGGAGGACCAATAAGACCCCCCGATCGAAGACTGTCCCCTGGACGAAGAGTGTCGCCCGGACGGAGAATGTCCCCTGGACGAAGGGTGTCGCCCGGAAGGAGAATGTCGCCTACAGGAAGAAGAATGTCTCCGGGACGAAGAGTATCGCCAAGTAAGCCTCATTGTAATTTTTTAAATTAATTATCATTCCAGGTTATGTTATTGAAAAACATGGTTTGTTTTAGAAAAAAATTGCGAAAAACTTTTCTATCTGTACAAATCTGTATATTATTACAAGTTTTTGTTTTTTTTAGTTTTTAGCGTACTTAAACAAAAGTTTATAGTTATTTTATTCTTATATTCCCACCAAACATTAATTTAGGTTAAATCATAATAAAATCTGTTGTTTTTGTATTTTATTTGATGAAGAATTTGGTTTTATAGTATGTATCACATATCAGAATCTTCTATAAAATGTTCTTTCAAAAAATTTTCAGAGGATGTACGCTGAGTTGCATAATATTCATTAAAATTGTCATTTGTTTAAAGCTACATTACCAATACAAATTTTCAAATTTAGAACATTCATTAAAGCTTCAGTCGGCATTAAACCCTAATGGACGTTTATGCAACTGCCAAATAATCATATATATTTATCTTAGATGATCGACGTGCGCCTGTCCGTAAGTCCCCTGGTAGAGTGTCACCCCACAAGAGGTCTTCCCCTGGACGCAGATTAGTTTCTCCTGGGAGGGACAATTTGAGGTAACGATAATAGGACGAACTTGAAATGTAACTTTCGTATGTTTGGATTCTATGAAAAAGATGTTTCTATGACACAGTGGTATATTAACTGGATTTTAAATAATATTTTGTGCTTGACAATTTAAGTAGGGGTTGATGTAGTTTGGTGGCGCAGTGAATAAGCGCCGCGGCCCGTGATTGGTTGTTAAGCAACTTTCGCAAGAATGGGTGACCAACAATTATTATCTCGAGCTACTCAGGCACGTTAAGCTGTTGCTCCCGGTTCCATTTGCAGTATTTCACGACCTATCCTTTACCATCCATAAGGAAGGTCTGATCCCCTGCAGTGGAGACTTAAAAGGGCTGATGATGACACAGCAGTATATTAACTAGGCTTTAAATAATATTTTGTACCAGCCTATTAAATTTTTTTGTTAAGATTATCAACCGAATCGAATGTCTTTAATTTTTTTTATATCATCAGGTACTCTCCAAGCCGTCGGCACGACAAGTCAGATTTCTCTGACAGCCGCGGACCTAAGCAGATTCGTCCCGCTTACGAAGCAGACGCTAAGGTAAGTACATAAATAACTAGCAAATCAACCTCTTGTTTCATATAACAAGCGTGAGTTTGTGTTTAAAAAAAAATAGTGATCATTCCATCGGCTTCTAAAATCAATAATCGTGGTAGCGGATTGTAAGTGAATTTAGATTAATAAAGCTAGATTGGATATCTAAATAAATCATGCAGAAGGAATCATTTTGAGAGGAATATTTATTTAAATGTTGTAATGGTCATCCCTACGTGAATTTGGCAGAATTGTGATTAACACAAAGCAACTATTAAAAGAAAAACAGAAGAAGGAATCCAGAATAAGCAAGCTGAGAATTGATTTGTATTATATGTGTTGAGACTTGGAAGTACTTATCACTAAGTCGCATTAATACAATACAAAATAATGTCAAAGAAAAGGATCAATAATTCAATTTTTTTTTTCATTATGTCTTGATTGATGATCTGGCCCATGATCACTATATGCCGAAACACGGTGGTTTATCTTTGAAGACTTTGAAGAATAATTAAAACAGTATGGGTGAAGTATGTTGTGATCATAATGATGGAATAGTAACTTCGGTCAGAGATGATATCATATCATCTTAAAGATTAATTAACAGAAAATCATGTTGTAATAACAACACAATTAATAAGAACTCATATGAATTACAGAAATGAATATATCTATTGAAGTTTAGTTATTTTTATTTACATATTTTTTGAAGTGTTACCAAATATAGGTATAATGGGAAGAGTCGACCCTGGAAATAAAACTTCCTCAAAAGACTGCAAAGTTAACTTTCAGAAAGAAAACTAAAATTGTTGTCAAGGTCTTGTATCAACTTTTACCAATCATATATGTACTCCAGGTGATAAACTATGAGCCAGGCGAACGAAACAACTTACTCATGTGATATATGAAAATAAACACATGAAAACATTGCAGTATATTTTGTTTTTTTAAGAACCGAAACTGAAGACAGTGATATATTATAGAAGGATGTTATAATTACATACAGATTCCTGAAATAAAATCAAGTGGCACCAAGAGACACCATTAGCTGTATAAGCTGTTCAATATTATGGAAAATTGATGATAATGGTGGCAGATGATATATGTAATTTGGAGATGTTCAACCGAAATGTTATTAGTATGTTACGACAACACCGATATGAAATCAAGAGAGACCTGTAATTTAATCCTAAGAATGATCTGAGATACCTGCACAGGTATACTTAGCAAAGGTATCCTGCCTGATTTATTGTCAAACGATATACGCTTTAGATATAGTGGAACTCGAACTCAGATCAATTATTCAATCTAGGCTGTTACAAGCTCTCATGAATGTGATAATGCAATAATAGCATTATCACTAGACAAAATTACTACCATTTACATCTGTTCAGTCTACTGATACTGCCAGATAATTCCCGTGCACTGAAACCAACCAATTATATTTTGACAATATATTTTGATAATACATTATCTCGATCTACTTTTAATGGAGATGTGTCATAATTTATGCAAAATATGGGAGATCAACACTTCAAACCTTACAGAAAATTTGAAATTGTTACAAAATTGGTGGTTGCGAGCATCAAGCAGGTGAAATAAATCGGATGTCATCTCAATGAGGAATTGGTCTCGGCTCCCTTAATGCTATTTCTTCACTCAAGAGTATCCTCTTCACTTCTTAGACAATGAAACCACTATGTTACAGTACCCCAATATCTATTTCTACGGCCAAGCAAGAATCTACTATTCTAGAAATACTCTTAATAAGACCAATTGTTATTTATATTCCAACCTTTGAAGCAGTTTTGAGACATAAATATCTGAGTATCCTGGAACTGTATAAAGAATGATATACCACGAGTTATAGCCAGAATACTTCCTTGTGATAGCGGAGCATACTATGAAAAAAATATTAATAAGCTGTTTATACAGTTGCGAAACTATTATTTTTTAAGCTTTAGCGTAATTTAAAAAGTTTGAAATGGCGATAAATAACCTGAGATAAGGGGATAACTTTTGGAATAGTGTAATAGTCATACAGCGTCCCGAGAATTGGACCCTTTTTAGTACTCCAATTTGTTAACAAACTGCAAATAAAAATCCAAAACAATGTGTGTCAAAGAATATGAAGACACAATTTGTATAAGTTTTAGCTTACACAAATAAGATGCATGATTGTCGTAACCATTACGTTAGGGTTATTAATTTAAATTTGTTTATTAATAAAATACTGGTTTCGTGTTTGCAAAATAACTTTCAATTTCCAGGCACCGAATCAAGCTATGTACTCAGATGGTTACCGTCCCAACTTACACGAGAACGTATCGTATCCGTCACGTCAAACTGATCAGAGGAGTTCGTCGTGGCAAGATAGAGACAAGAATACATATCCCGGAAGTAAGAAACAAGATGAAGATAGAAGAATGGTCAGAGGTACTGAGCCTGAAGCTAAACGTTCTCCTATTCATAAGTCTCGGTCGCCAAACCGTAGAGACGTGAGGGAAAGGTCGCCACTGAGAGATCGTTACAGGAGACATTCGCCTTCACCTCGTTCGCCACGTCGATCATGGGCTTTGGAGAAACGTCGGAGTCCCGAGATAAGTGAAGCACCTCCACCACCTGTTTGGCCAGGACAAAACCCAGAAGATCACTACACAAGACCCACAAGCAAAACACAAGAGGGTGCCAAACCTGTTCCTGTGTGGGATCATAGAACTTTTCAAGAAACAGAAGCGTCCATGAGAAGAGAGAATCGTTTATATGATGAAGAACAAATGCGAATGAGACGAGATGCTGGTCGCAGAGATGCAATTCCACCTTCGAACCGAAGAGAGCCTTCGCCTAGACGCCCTGGATTCAAACCACATGAAGATATGAACAGAGACACCAAATTTGAGCCGCGTGATTCTAAGTTTGAATCTCGGGATCCAAAATATGATCCACGTGAACCCAAGTTTGATACACGTGATCCTAAGTTTAATTCACGTGATCCTAAGTTTAATTCACGCGATCCCAAGTTCGAAACGCGTGAACACAAGTTTGAAACACATGTCTCCAGATTTGATTTGCGTGATTCTAAATTTGACCAACGTGATCCGAAGTTTGAACCACGTGACCCTAAGTTTGAACCACGTGACCCTAATTTTCAACCACGTGACCCTATGTTTGAACCACGGGATCCTAAATTTGAACCACGTGACCCTAAGTTTGAACCACGTGACCCTAAGTTTATCCCACGTGACCCTAAGTTTGAACCACGTGAGCCTAAGTTTGAACCACGTGACCCTAAGTTTGAACCACGTGAGCCTAAGTTTGAGCCACGTGACCCTAAGTTTGAACCACGTGACCCTAAGTTCGAACCACGTGGCCCAGAATACCGACCTCGCGATCCTAAGTTTGAACCACATGATCCTAAGTTTGGACCACGCGGACCCAAATTTGAACGTGACAACAAATACGACAGTCGAGATCCAAAATTTGATCAGCGGAACCCGAAATTCGAAATGCGTGAACCAAAGTTCGAAGCAAGAAATACAAAGTATGATCCACGCGAACCAAAATTTGAGCCTCGCGATCCAAAGTTTAATCCACGTGAACCTAAATTTGAGCCACGCGACCCGAAGTTTGAATCGCGCGACCCGAAGTTTGAACCACGTGGAAACGAATTCAGAAGTAGTTTTGATCATACAGGTGATAAACGTCAACCGCCTAACTATGAACCACGTGACGAACCTAAGTTCGGATCTCGCGACACGTTCGGATCACGAAATACGAAATTTGAACAACGTGATCAGAAATTCAAACCTACATTTGAACCCGTAGAAGCCGATTTTACACAACAAGAGTTAGACTTTGGAACTCGTGATAGCAAGTTCGAACCCCGTGAATCTAAATACGGAGCCCGCGAATCGAAATTTGACCGCAATGATCATCGTCGCACGCTTGAGTCTCCAGAGAGAAAATCTTATCTAGACAGAGATGATTTCCGTAGCAAACGGCCGGAGCCTAGTCGTGACAACACCTCAAGACGAGAGGAACCAAACAGACGGGATGAGAGAAAGGATATTCGTAAACCACATGATCAATTCGACTTAGAGTTCGAAGATATTTACAAGCGAACTCGAGAGTTCAAACAGAAGGTAGAGGAATTAAAACGAGCTGAGAGAAATAGGGAAGAAAGAGAGCCCTCACGTGATCAACGACGCCGTGACACGGACGAAGACGGGCGTCATTCAGATCGCAAAACAGAAGGAGAACGCCGCCATCAAGAAGACCGTCCTCATTCGAGACAATCTAGCGACAAACGAGAGCCAGAATGGAAACCACGTAATATAATACCTAGGAAGATCTTCCTGCCGTCGGTCGTTAAGGCAAAACGTGACAAAGCAGTAGATGAAATAGCGAACAAATTAATGCATAAATATGGTGACTTTGAGATGACCGAAGAAATTAAAAACCGTGTGCTAGATGAACTGAAACTGTCTATAGCACGAATCATGTACGACATGTTCGGCAATGAGGATATCTCGTTTATAGAACTAGTTGTGAAATTCAATTCTAAGCACGGAGAGAGAGAAGAAGTGAAGATATTTGAGGACGTGATGTCGTGTTTCCCTAAACATCATAGGGCTATGAAGAGACCAGCGCAAGGTAAGATAAACAGATTTTTTCCCTTGTGATTACAATTATATAAATTCATATCGATTTATGACTGACGTACCGCTCATTAACTTTATTTACCATAATACAAACTGGTGGTAGTTAAAAAAAAAATGTTTAGCGTTGCTCATTCTACTGTTAGATAATTTTGCAAACATTGTCTTTCAAATCAAGTTCATACAGAATATAGTTAATGTAACGAGAACCGAAGGATTTGTGGACTATTATGAATTCGAAAATGTCAAATCATATTTACCCTTAATATAATTCTTTATACGAGAGTTTTAAAAAGTTCGCGAAATGGAAGGTCCCCTGTTGGTACACCACTAATTTGGATATAAGAAATTTATATTTTTGCAACAAATGGTATTACTCACTCGCCGCTGAAGGAAAAAGAACGAAGGAAGTAATAAAGTAGATATAAGCGTCAAAACTCAAACGGAAAAAAGTAAACGGAAAAAAAGAAAATTGCTGTAATAAGCCGTTTAGTATTAATAGTATCAATCTTTTGAAATGAATATAATGTTACTGGTTTATTTTGGATCAAAGTCACTATTAGCCGAAGAAATCTAATTATAAACTCAGTTTAGTTTGATAACTGCGCGATAACTGCGGTAGTATAGATAACTGCGCGAAACTCAATTTTTTCAACGTATTAATTGTTCTTCCTGATTTTTAAAATAACCTGCTTTTAATGAAACTTTGTTTTATATTCCAAAATCCCGATGAGTATTTCCTTACTTTTTGGGTAATTCAAATAACATTTTCCTTATTTTGTCAACAGCGTTGACGTACTGAAATGTAGGTATATTAATCTAATAAACGATGTTGTAGCTTTTATGATGTGACGGCTGAAAATCACCGCTGTTTGAATTGCATAAGGAATAGTAAGCAGCACATTCTGAGATTTTGTCTATTATATTAATGTAATGATGTAACAAAAAACTATTCTTTTATTCACTAGTGTAGGTAAAAAAGGTGAAATTTTCTACTTCCATACCTCCCGCTCCGTGAACTTTTTGATCAACACTCGTTAACATAAATATTGATCATATCTTTGTCTATAAAGAAAGCATATTGAGATATCTAGTCCAAATAAAACAGATAACTATTGAATTGAAGATATTAAACGCATGCTGTCTTTCAGAAACCGACAAAAGTGATATTCCTGAGAAGAGTTCTAGACTCGCCACTGATACTCAATCGGAACAAGGTAATAAATATTCCTTAATATCAAAAATAAAACTATAGATATTTACTATAATATAAAATTTCATTGCAATAAGTGATTATGTACTTGATTTTCTAAAGATGTTTCAAACAAAACATGGAAAACTTTCCAATGTTTTGTTGGGTTATTTCTCTAACAGCGATTATCATTTTTAACAATCACATAACATTGAAAAAAAAAAAATATTTTAATAGTTTCAGATTGGAATATTGGGTTTGAACAACAAGCTGTCCCAATGGCAATGCCGCAATTTGGTGGTAATCCCTTACCTTTGTTATTGAATCCTACACCTGTGATGGTGCCATCACCGTTCTCAGCTCAGGATATTTATCCTACGCATAATGCAGTTCAGCATGCTCAAGAGATGTTTATGGGACAGCCACAGGAAATGTATGCGGTACCAGATCAGGAGGGATACCCGGGCCTGAGTGAGGCAATGTTTAGCGCGGTCCCTTCCAAGGAAATAGGGTACAATCTGTACTTGTGTAAGGATGACTTCAAACAGTTTACGGAAAACCAAGCGAACTACCTGAAAAAGTTTTTGATTGCCGAAATTTTTAAAGTGACGGAGACTTCGGACGGCTGGGCTCCAGATTTCACATTGAAAGGTTTGCAGAGTCATTTCCGGTACGAGGTTCACACGCACGATGAGAGATCGAAAGACTGGCTCCTGAATTTGGACTTCTCCCAATTCACACTTTTCAGCGTCCTCGTGTATACGAAGGAGGAGTTGTGGTATGAACGCGCTGCGATTTGGCTACCCGGTCATTCCAGGTGCCGCAACATCGAGCCTCTCGACAAACTCAAACTTCAAAATAGAAAATTGGAAGATGTCAAAATAGGTAAGTGGAAGTTGGTGAAGAAGATAGTCAACGAAAAAGGTACCCGAATCTACGTCGACATCCCTCCTTCTTCTGCACGCGCTTTGGAAAAGCACAAAATGATGCTCAGTTACGAACTACAAAAAGTGAACGTATTTCTTAAGGCTGTGGCTGTTGACAAAGATGCTTTCGATGCCGGTTTATTAGTGACATCCTTGGTAAACCAATCGGATATAATGAACGCCGCACAAAATTCTAATATGCCCGTATTAAAAGAAGACGCAAATATAGTGAAGTTGACACTAAAAGGCACCAAGAAATTGACGTTAGTACACGCGAGGAAAATAAAAGAAATGGTCATATATCAATTGTTCAAATATCACCAACAAAACGGCAATAGTAAAACTGATTTTGTTAAATACGGCTTTTGCCCGCCAAACGCTCTTGGTGTGTTACCAGAAAATCACGAGTCGAGGAGATGGTTAACGTCGACCGACATCGGAAGATTGAATCGTCAGCCTATAGTGGTTCTTGGAGGAGATGACCGGACAACTCGCTACTTGAAAATGTTGATTAGCGTCCCAACCTTTACTGCGATCCAACCTGCAATGATTTTAGAAAGGCTAAAACAATCCAATCAAGGCGTTAAAGGGATTAATTTCGCCCTGTGGAAGCCTATACTGTTACTTAATGATAAAAATCATAGAACCAGGAGTAAGTATAATTGTGAGGTGGAGTTAGATCTAGAATCTGCGGAGACTATTTCCAAAAACAAATATAAATTGGATTACTTAAGTGATTGCCATAACATACATAGAACAGTAGAGTTTAAACCTTATTGTTCTGATGGTCGATTCGAAGAGAAAATTGCTAGATTAAAAGCTGAACTCACTGATAGCTATGACGTGGCTAATATGGACTTAGCGTCGTCTGACTCCGAATCGGGAGATGTTATTTGTCTAGACAACGCTTAAATTTGAATTTTAAACTCGTTCAGTTCTTTCAGATTGTAATGCATCGCAAAATTTAGTTGTAAGTTTGTGTTTAATTATAGCATACATTTGATGTATCTATCATATAGTGTTTGAAATAAACTAACATTTTACTTTAACGTAGTTTTCATTATAGAGAACATTTTCAGACACAAATATTGTATTAATTCGGGTAAGTTATCTTTTTGTGATTTTATCGTATATTGTTTTGCTATTTTGCTTAAAGTCATATTTTACTATAAAATTTATCCCAAATTTTATGATTTCTAGTGCAGATACAACGGCGTATTTGTATGTGGATACTAAGACAGGCCAAGCTGTTAGCAGTAGACAAACGTGTCTACTATTATGAAGACTGGGGTTTTGCTGGCACAACTAGATTTTGCTGTTCAAATCAAAACTGTCAAGAAACGAGACCTTTTCAGGTAATTTTCGTTTGTTTGCAGCATTCATTTGAATTTTGGAGAGATATTGTAGTTTTCAACGGTCAGAGATCATATGAGATGTTTCAACGTTCAGAGATATACGTGCAGCTACAACAGTGCTTGTGTACGTACACCTTCCAAAATTCATTGTCTCTTATTTATTTAGCGGTGTTCCTTCTAGTTGCCAGTAATGCTCCTGATTTGTTTGATATCATCATCCACGTCTACACGAAAGGTTATTTACTACTCCTGTTTATTTTACAAAGTGCTGTACAGTATAATGGTACAAAGCTTTCAACTGACGACGGTTATGAAGAGAGGTGGTCTTGCAGCTCCTGAAAAAGGTAGTATTTTTTTTATAATTTGTCGTATATAGGATTTTGATTGTCCCCTGATCTGCACGAAAGGAGAAGTCGTGTATAGTCAGATGTTAGACATCTGGGCTGTATACGAGGTGACAGGTAACGTTGTACAACATTGCTTAGAACCGATATCAAACTAACTTAAAAATCTTAAAGGTGTTCTATTATTTTTAATTTTAGCACAAACATTGGTCGGCAATGATATTGGCAGATTGCACTAGGAAACTAATAATTTCCTGTAATCAACCATAACAAATTGCTAAACGAATTCGTCGACATTTTAGATACGCCAAAGGTTTACATTGTGTGAAAACGCAATTGTTTTAGTTTCTCCATCAATATCCAAAATATATACGTCCTTTCCGTCATAAGAATATCTTCATTTATTTTTTCAGCTACGTCGTTATTACTATGAGCAAATGTTTCGCTTGTGGCGTGGTGACTGAGCATCATAAACCTTTAATTCTGGTGGCGTCTTAGTTATAGTATTTGGTGTCTTGGATTAGTATAAATTCTTTCACAACAGTGAAATTTTAAATTCAGTATCGGACTACGTCTTTGACTATGGCAAACTTCGCACTCAAAGCGTACCTTTATGAAGCTCGCCATTCTGAGATAAAAAAGTTTCAAATAATAGAGTGGTGTTAATAGTTTTTCTCAGCAATAAACCAATTTGGTCATTAGTACATCGGTATATGAAGCTGCAGGTTTTTAGGCTTCTTCAAAATCGAAATTGTATTAGAATGACACAACAGTTCGGATTTTCCAAATAAAACATTTCGAAAAGTCTCTGTTGCTTCAACAAATTGGTTAAAATACGAGTTTCTTCCACACTGGTGTCTTACGTCACTATCAACGAAGATGCAATAGCAGTATTACGTAAGCCGTATGACGACCATTGTTGAACATAGATATCCACGATGATCATTTTTGTGCTGCCCAGCATCTAGCAACTTCCCGCGACATGTATCAGGTCAGCGATCCACTTGGTTGGACGTCTAGTGCATTTGGTTGCCTTCAAGAACTTTTTTACTCCAACAACCATCGATTCTTTACGCTATGTGTCACTGCCCACTGCTAGCTATCCTTCGAGCAATATCGTGTTATAATATAGTGCTTTAAGTGGCTTGTAGCTGTATCCCGTTTACACATTTTTTGCATTCATACACCTCCATGTCTGAAGTGTTTACACGCTGTCGTTTCAAGCTGTCGAAATCTATGTGGTCTCTGGGATTTAAGCATTATATTTGAGCTTGTTTAATCCTAACATTTATTTTATAATAATAAATAAGTAGGTGTATGAATGAGCGTCATATCGCGTCAGGAATCTTTGGTCAGACCCACGTATTGTACATACTCTGCTTGCGCGTGTGCTGCCAGGTATGCTACTACTTAATTTTACTTGTGGATTTGGCTAACGTTTAAGCATCTTTCGGAGGTTAGTCTTCTCCCTGGGGAACCGTCAACTGTGATAAATTTATGTGTATGTTAATCTAACTTAAAACTTTCAGTTTGACTTTAACTAAATATCTTGAAATTTTGTCGAGTCTATTTTCATGTGAAGAAGATCAAACCATAATGTGATTATTAATGGATTTATTTATAAATTTACTTATATAGAATTCAAGAGCTCTTTCTTAAAGTACCATCTCAACTAGTGTAGGTAGCAGTAGGCCTTTCATATTGCTCTGTCCTGGGGAAGGCGACAGAGCTTCGCGACGCTATGGATGCCGATATGTTCTTCCTGATACAACCGAGTGTCCTTTCCAGCAACTCTTATGATTAATATTAGCTGCTTGATATCGTATCTGTCATGGCTATGAACAAATCCCAAAAATGCAGCTTCACCTTTTTTCTGGAGAAGTTTGCGTTTTTAATTGATTCGACGATTAAAAGCTTATATTATTAAAAAACATTAAAAATATGGTCCATTTTAATGAAGTCTCATTGTCTATACCTAATTTTAAATGTTGTTTTTATTTTCCTGTCGACTTACAGTTTGTCTCGTCTTTACAGATTCAAGACGATTTGCTCGTTCGGTAAGGAAACCGGTCATCACGAAGAAACCTGTTCTGAGAGCAGCGGCAATATCGAAACCTAAATGTAAGTACCTAATAGTTGTGTTATTATGAGTTAAAAAGTTTAATAAAAATAGTATGTCACTGTCTAGCCCACCAGTTTCATAATTATTAAGATAATTACATTTTTGGATAATTATCCGATAAATATCTGATTTCTGTAGTTATTGGCAAAAAAAATACATAAGTCGTTTAAAGACGATTCCCTTTTATGTTAATTAGACAAAATAGTAGGTTTTTGTTAAATTGTGCCAAATTAATGCAATCCAGGCCAAAGAATACGTTTAAAAAAATATATTAGTTTGTTCTGTACCCAGCAACAGCAGCATATATATAGCTTTAGATAGGCAAATTTTGGACTTAACTGTCAAGATAAAGTAACACTGTAGAAATCTGACGTTGTATGACCATCTGCATTATAGTGTCAATTATGAGTTTAACTTGCTTGGCTTGTTTACAGTGGAGCGTCCCAAGAGATTAGTGCCACATTTATCTGTTAAACCGAATGCGGACGGGCTCTACGAGCTTGACGCGACCACCTCTAGACTTCTCGAGGACGACTTGCAGAAGATTATGATAAAGGTCAGTATACGTTACACCGTTGTATGCTATAAGGGCAACGCCAGTAATTAAAAAGAAGAAGAAGTAAGCACGTTTCGTTTTCGTAAGATATCACTGGCCAAACACCCTGGTCTTCCGTTTTGAAACCCAGGTATTACGGGTGTAGACAGTAAAAGAAAATAAATACATTTTTATTCCGGTAGTGTTTAATATAATATTACAGACAATCAAACTTTCTTATTAACAAAAAACAAATATGTATACTTGTTGTCACGTGACCGCAAACAGTGCGTGACGTCACGCCCCTCTACTCATATCATCAGCTTACTCAGCTTAGAGTATTAAACCGTGAGCATACATAGAACGATATTACTTTAGAGACGTCATAGCAACGCCATGACAGAAGATGGCGTTTTCGCGGGAAATTTAGAAAATTAAATTTATTTTTAGATTAAGATTAAAAATATATAAAAAAAGTTACTATGCACACTAAAAAGGTTTAACAAAATATCATTTTGATAATTTTCTTTGCTTGCAGGTGTGGCAAGCTCTACCGGATGACGCGCCAACAGAAGAAGAGAAAATGGTGATTGAAAAGTTCCGAAACAAAGCTAGCGATGACCTCAAAAATGTAAGTGTACTTACTTTGGTAAAATATAAGTGTCACCGCTGCAGACAAATTTATCGTTGTCATTCCCCATATAATTTTAATTTATTAATCCCTATTAAAGTCTCCATTTTTGGGGCGCATATATTTACTGTCGATTGAATTAATCGAGTGAATGGGTGAATCACTACGAGGGCAGCATGAATTAATGATTATTAATAATAACATATATAGCTGAGCTATTAGAGCTGGTGAGTTTCTTGCTCGTTCTTCTTATCAGCCAAAAGACGTCCTGAACGAGTGGTAGGGAAAAAAAATTTTAGACGATTCAAAAGTACTTTTAAGAAGTCTATTTGAATAAAGATTATTTTGACTGATGATATTCGAAAACTTTAGCTGACTGTCAATTCCGTGTTTTTCAACATGTAAATAAAATATACTATAACATATATAATGTTATAGTATATTTTATTTACATGCAGGAACTATGTTTATGTACAAAACATATTATAGGCCCAATCACCCTAGAATCAAGTTAGAAATTATATCCTTTACACATCTTGAAACTATTTTCATAATATCAATTCACTGTAGACCTGTTTAATCCATTTCATATTGATATATTCTTTTATTTATTATAAATTATGTACGCTATTTATTTGTCCTTCTCAATATTGCACCCACTCCCCATGGTGTCTTTATTCGTTATCTATTTCCACCATAGGTTGCCTGGAAGAGATTACTGTTTAGCCATAAGGCCGCCATTTGTTTACTCAATCTCTTATATAATATGTTCCTGTAACCTATGTATCATCTTGAGTGTCATTATTATAGAGTATATTAGAGTAGCATTACTAGTATTATAATAAATACTAGTAATACTAGATAATAAATGAAAAGATTATAATTGTACCTGCGTATGATGTAGCTTCTGGTGGGTGAAATAATTTCTATGACCGTATCAGTATTTCCCAAGATTACCCTCCACGAACATACAAAATGAAAAATTTTACGTTTTTATAATACATTTTAAAATTAGTTAGAGCCACTTGAGAAACTATAATAATGGGGGTTAAAGTTTGAAATTGCCGATTTGTACTGAAAATCAAAATAGCTATTTTTTTGAATTTTTAACAAATTTATTTAATCAAAATAGTTACCATTATAATCTATACATTGCTACCATCTAATAGGAAGCTCATTCATGTCTTTGCGATAGTACTCTGAGGATCTAGACTGCACAAACTGTGTGAAAGCATTTTGTACTGCCTTCTGGGAAGAAAACTTCTTGTCACGTAGATAATTGTCCAAATCACGAAAAAAATGGTAGTCCGTTGGAGCAAGGTCTGGCAAATACGGAGGATGACGAATTTCTAACTGCAGTTCCTGAAGGGTCAAAACGGTTTCTCGTTGTGTTTGAGATCTCGTGTTGTCATGGAGCATTAATGGTGAAGATCGATTCATAAGTCGGGGCTGTTTTACTGCTGTTGTTTTGCCAATATTGTTCGGAGTTCGACACAATAGACATCTGCCGTTATTGCCTGACCAGATCGGAGAAAACTATACTGAATAACACCACGCTGGGACCACCAAACACTTACCATTGTCTTTTTATTGGTAAGTTTTGCTTTAGGACACTTGTGGCTTTTGACCTGGGGTCACATGCGATGAAAAGTGGTGATAAACTTTTCATCGCATGTTACAATTCGATCCAATATTCCCTCAGTCCTGTACCTATTCAACAAGGCAACACAAGTTTAAACATGTGTTTCTTTCTGAAGATCAGTTTAAAGTTTTCGTATGTTTTTATTGTATTGATTTGACGCAAATGAGTCAATATTGTGGGAAAGGTAACGTTAAACCATGCCGCTAATTCCTGGGTAGTTTGACTAGGATCGGTTTCCACCATCTCTCTTAATTCATCGTTATTCACCTGTGTGGGCGGTCTTCCTCTTGGCCCGTTCCCCCCCCCAACACTTATAGAATTTCCCTTATACATTAAAAAGGGCTCTATTACTTATCTTCAGAATATGCCTCTTAAATATTGCGCCATTATATCATGAAATTTTAAAATAACACCAAATCCGTACAGGCGTTTTGAAATGTGATTGAGCAATAAACGTAAAAAGCTGAGGGTCTACTCTGTTTGTCTACGAACGAAAGTTACAAAAATTTCGAATTGTTTTTGCAATCATATATGTCAATATTATCAGTGCATCAGAAGCAGTGTCAGGGTCCTATCTCCGTTTCATATTAATTATCGAAAAATGTGTTCCTTTGAGGTCGTATTAGGGTTTCAAAAATAGACGAATTTTCGTTTTCGGAGAAACAGAGTATGCCTTTTGTTTTGTTACGATTATTCAATAGTAATTTTCGTATAACATTTGTTTTTTTTTTGTTTCAGGCATTAGGCTTAAATGTTACTAAAAGATTGCTGAATATCTTCAACCCTCTTAATGTCAAAGTAAGTTTTGTCAGCCAGTTTCTTTGAACATGGTAACTGAATAAATAATTGATAAAGTGTGGTGAAATAGCTCGGTGGCGTAGCGAATAAGCGTCGTAGCCCGCGAACGTTGTTGTTAAGCATCTTTCGCAAGAGTCGGTCATGGGATGGATGGATGTGACCAAAAGATTATTATCTCGAGCTACCCTGTGCTTTGGAAGTCACGTAAAGCCTTTGGTCCCGGCTACATTTGTAGTCCTGAATACCCTCCAATCCGCATTGGGCCAGCGGGGGGTGCTATGGCCCATCTTTCTTTACGATCCACAGGGAAGGTCTGAGCCTCTGCATACTCTGCAGTTTCGTAACAAAGCTGAACTTTGGTTTCTGAAATACATTGGCTTTTTAGAACTTAAAACAAAATAATTTATTTCACATGGATCGTGAAGTATATCGTTATAAATGTTATGATGATATACACACATGTTAGCTGTATTCTGCTACTAAAATATTGTAATCCAATTCTTCCTACGACTATTATCTTAAAAAGAAAAATATAATAAAATCTAACCTCTTGCAGGTACACTTCTCGACAAAACCAGAAAGGAAATATCTAAAATACTTTCTGAAGCAATACAACTTTGTTGCATTCAAGCGTATCGTCGGAATTATGAACACGTTTGCAGCGCAGGTGAAAACTATAGAAGACTACGACAATCTTTGCAACGACAAAAATATATTCTGCGGTTAGTTACTTCACATCTTTATAAATATCATTTCACGAAAATCAAAGATCTGTAACTATGTGATTTTGATTTACATTAACTTGTATTGGTACAGTAGCGTTTAGTTTATTTATTATATTTTTGTGTTTTAGGCGCCGCCAAGATTACAATAACACCGTGCTATCGATTAATACAATGTCCTAAAAATATAAAAACTATATATGGCAGTCCAGAGGACGATAATCCTACCAAAAACAAAGAAATCACAAAACAGGGATCTGAAGAGTCTTCTCTGAAAAATGATGAAGCAAAAGAATTAAATACTGCGAAGACAGAGCAGCAAGCAAAATCTAAAATCATTGATGAGGAATCCAAAGAATCTATTAATAATAAAAAACTCAAATCGGTGTCAACTGCTGCAACAGTTACTTCTGCTAAAGAAAATTTAAATCAAAATATTAAAACTGCACCAACTGTATGTGCGAAACCTAACGTTCAGAAATCGAACGTCTCAACTGAAGTTAAAAGTACTAATAACACAGAAAACAAGACACCAAATGTACCTGTCACAAAAAGTACTGAAAATGCCCAAAACCAAAATACAACAATTGAAAAGACGAATAAGTTCGCCATTGATCCTAAAACTAATGATGATAAGAACCCAAAAATAGCAACAAAGACAAATACTTCAAATAGCAAAATAGATGTTATCACAACATCAGGTGACAGTGATAATAAAACTGTACCCACAAATAAAAAAGATAACAAAACTACCATTGCAATTAAGAACGCTGATACAAAAGCAGCTGGTAATGCCACTGCTACTGTAGCTAAAACTACCACTACTGTCAAGCCTGCCACTACAGAAATAACAAGTTCTGAAACTACTACTACAACTAAGACTACCACAACAGTCAAACCTGCCAATACAAAAATAGCTAGTAATGAAACTACAACTGCAACTAAAACTACCATACCAGTCAAGGCTGCCACTACAAAAATAGCGAGTACTGAAACTACTACTGCAACTCAAACTACCATACCAGTTAAACCTGTCAATATAAAAATAGCTAGTAACGAATCTACTACTTCAACTAAAACTACCACACCAGTCAAGCCTGCCAATACAAAAGTAATTACTACTACCACGGTATCCTCGAATGTCAAAGCTGATATAACCAAAATAGTTAAAAAGAACACTGCTACTACTATCAACGCCAAACCAACGGAGGTTAAAATTGCGACTAACATAAAAACTAACAAAGTAGTAGAAGCTAAAAAAATTACTAATACTACAAAAAATAATGTGACGTGTTCGAAACAAACAAATAAAAAGTCTAACATGATTAATGTTAAAAAGCAGACAGATACTAAATTGTCGTCAAAAGATGATGATTTTGAAGAATTAGATGACCATGAATTATATCAATATCTTATGTCTACAGGAATCGTGTTAGATGAATGCAGCGGTTCTGACGATGACTAGATTTAAGTTAACATAGATAATATAATATTACCATAGCTTTATAAAAGGGAATAAATAATAAAAGAAAAGATGTGTTATCATTTATATTTTTTGCATCTTAAACTTGAGTGGTGCAAGAAAAAGGTTGAGTATTAATTATGTTGTCTGAGATTCACTGTTGAATTTTATTTAGGCGGTTCAGCAGTTTCTACGACTTCATCCTCCACCTGAAACACAAAACAAATTTGTCTAGCTTTAGGACTTTCTTATTTATTTTCTGAAATTAGTGACATCTAGTGTCACGAAATGGATTTAAATTAGTTTGAAATGAAAATGGCTGTGTTATGTATGACTCATTTACATTTCTTTTTTTTTATTCTTGATAGGCAAGCACTTGACCACAGATCGCCTGATGGTAAGCAATGCAGTGGTCTAAGATGGAACGTCCTTGCCTAGAAGGAACCTATTCACTCTTGACTTCTTCAAGTCAAGAGTGAATCGGTTCCCAGTCCCAGTCCCAGATTGTATTTGTCCGGAAACAGCGAGTCCGGTAGCGAATTCCACAGTTTCGCAGTTCGCTTGGTGCGAGTTTATGGAATCTCCACAGTAAAGCGGCGACGCTTCCCAGTGCCCCTGGTTGTTGATAAGGCCTGTATACGGAGTGCGAGCTATATATCTGTTAACCGACTGCTGTAAATGTCGCCTTATGTAAATGAGTCATTGAAATGTACAAATATAGATTAATTTTGCATTCAAAATTCTTTATCTTCTACTTTAAAATTGAAAACTTTTTAGCTGGCTGCAGCTAAGGATGCAACGATATATTTACACAAAAATATCGATATTGAAAAATCAACATACGGAACCGAAATATCGAATGAAATTCTAAAAATAAATTTATTTCAGTTGTTTGTATGTATATACATATCCACGGGCATTTTCACATGTGAAACACGTGTCACATAATTGTGATTTTAATTTTTTGCTTTGAAATTTGTAGTAGTTTTTATTATTATAATTTGTACTTTATTTTAAACATAAAGTGGTATCTCCAATCTAATCTATATATAAGACATATTATTATTATTATTAAAAGCAGCTCGCTTAGAATGACAAGATTGAGGGAGAATTGTTTCTCGGGTCAAGAGTGAGGTATGACGTGGGTGCACCGGAGAAGGTGACAGTTAGGTGTAAACAAAACGCTCTCGAGGTCGTCATGCCACGCGTGCAGGATCTAACATTACAGATGTAAGAACAGGCATAGTAGCCGCCACCTTTTATAAGCCGATTTTTTAAAATAGCTTTAATATAAACATATTTTTTTACTTAGGTTTCTACAAACAAGTTTTTTTTTATGCACCAAAACATATGTGGATTCATATCGATATATCGGCTTTGTGAACTACATTTCGATATCAACTGTAAGCAATATATATCGAACTCAATATTTTGATATTTTTATAAAACTTGCATCTCTAGCTGTGGCTCGCGTCAAGATCGCAATGAGGAAGTATTTTAAGAAAAAGAAGAAAGCACTTAGAATTCACCTCACTAGATGGCTACTCTAGCAAAAGTTGATTTTTGCGGGAAACGAATTTACTAAAGATACCTAGTAATTTCTGTTTCTTTGTAATCAAGAAGAGTAATAAAAAAAAAAGAATATCGTGGCGACATCTAATGTGATTTCGGGAGCTAATGTTTTTTTTTTAATACTTCCTCTTTCGCGCAGAATGTGATGCAGTAGTTAATGCACGTTAGTAATTTTGACTACAGGATTTACGCTCACCGTACATGTAATGATCTGAAACAATTTGTGGCTTTTTGGTGTGTCATGTAGCTGGCAATTAGAGAGAGAGCGGGAAACACACAACAAGATGGCGTAGTTAAGGTAGTATTTAGAGTATAAGAAGTAAAGTTGTAAAAGCTACAAATACAAAGTTATAACAATAAAACTAAAAGTAGTTTCACTAATAGTACACTTTTGAAATTAAATAACTTTCTGTCTTCCTACCGCCAGCGGGCACAAAATGGTCCGTTATTTCAATCATCTACATCCAATGATGTTACAATAAAAAAGGGTAGATAATTAACTTGAATTTAAAATTTTCATCTTATACTTTGCTAATTGGCATACATGAGAGCAGTCTAGCGAAAGCGTTTATTGTGTCCGTTTATGTACCGTAATCATTTGATGCCATCCTGTGTTACGCAAAACTGTAGAAACAACATAAGTAAGTGTTCTAAAGACCAAGGAGTCACATTTTATTCGTGAGTAAACATTTGAAATTTATCAGAAAAATAAATATTGTGTCATAAAAAGAAAGAGTAAATACTTCGGTTACAAGTTGTGAAAAAGATCTGTCAAAGATTAAGTAAGAAACAGAACTGACAATTCGACCTTAGACTGAAACTCCGGGGTTTGAATTTGGAGCATTGAAACCTAACTCCGGAGATTAAAAAGTACTCTGATTCCGATTTCGATCGAAGCCCTCTTTATTATACATATTATATAGCAGTGTCAAGTTTATATTTCGTTTAAAGCCTCATTATTTATACACGAGCAAATAATATATACACAAACGACAAGGAGAAATAATAATGTTAAACATCTGAACTGTCGAAGTCTTTAACTCGTTTAGCATTAAATCATTATACGTTTGAGCGTTAAATCATTGATGTGACATATTCAATTATAATTGGAGAGTATCGTGGCATGCGCGTGCATATATGCTGGGGACAATTTTGATATCGTATTAGTACTGACATGACCTATCTACCCTTTTTTATTGTAATATTATTGCCTACATCATTAAGGACAAGACGATTTATCTGATGGTCGATGATGTTTTATCATGATAACTACCTAGGTTACTAGATTCGTAGAAATACATGAACTAGTTGTAATAATAATCATTGCACTGTTTTTTTCTTCAAACATGGGCTCAAAGTACCAGCGAATACGTGTTCATGTGTTCATAGACCTCTGAGCATTTCAGAGGCTCTGCGTTTCTTTGGCGCCGCAGCTTCGATCCGTTTGCGTTCTGCCTCTAGTGCATCGGCAAGATCATAAACTTCTTTAGAGGCCACCTGGATAAAGTGATAGGTAGATAACTAAAACGGTGGAATTATAGACAGGTATCACATATGTAGTATAAAACAAAGTCGCTTTCTCTGTCCCTATATCTCTATGTATGCTTTAATCTTTAAAACTACGCAACGGATTTTGATTCGGTTTTTATTTCATAAATAGGATCTCATTCAAAAATAAGGTTTTTATGTATAATACAAGACCACGCGGGCGAAGCCGCTGGTGGAAAGCTAATATATTTATATAAAGTACAGTAGTTACTACAATTTAAATTTATAAAAACGAGTTGACAAGTGGGCAGGAAGAGTATGTAAATACGATACTTCCCACATCTGGAGAGAGCTCTGGAGAGCGCTGTAAAGGATTGCCACTCTTGCTATAAGTTGCTTCCCAAAAGAGTGCTCATATTTGTGCGGAAGTGAAGTCAAATTCAGTGAGATTAAACTACGTGTGTAACATAAAACTACGAAAAATTTCAATCTGTTTTCTCATTTCTGCGAGTCAAGTAAAGTGTTATTATTTTAAAATAAACACTTTCTCATAGGGTTTCCGATCGAAGACTCGATTCGGGATAAAATCGATGACGTAAAGAACTATCTTTCAAAAATTGATTATTCTCCTAATGTCGTACAAAAGCTTATCTATCTAAATCATTGGGGTATTATTAGATTAAGGAAATTTTAAACTGATATTAATATAATAATTATGTTATTATTATAAGGGTCATTCATAAAAGATAAAAAAAAATTTTGAGCATTTCTTCACTCTTAACCTCTTAATAATGTCTATTCTAGTAGAAAACGTTCCAGTATTTTTAATTAATATTTAATATAGACATATTTAAAAAACACATTTATTTTTAAGTGTTCATCAATACCAGAAATGAGTGAAAAGCAAAAGTTTTGGGGAATCTTGGCCAATAAACTCATTTTATATCCGATTCCAAACCAAAAGTTGCCACAACGTACATCGGTGACATCCAAGGATGCGTCGAAGTTTGTGAATAAAGTTGATGGTTCGGCGAAGAGTTTCATATTACGTGCTGACGTCATGCTGTCCAGAGATGTACAAAATACCCTGTACAAAGTATCTGGAATACAAGATACAAAATACTTTTAAATTAAGTATTTCAGATACCAGATACAAAATACTTTCGAGAAAAGTATTTGAAATACTAGATACAAAATAGGTATCTTATAGATACTTTTTATAAATACAAATACTTTTCTAAAAAAAGATTTGAATTTCAGTTTGTTTATTAAAGACCACAAAAACCTAAATCTTAGACCAGATGGTAAGTGGATTTTTTAAGCATTTTTCATTAGAAACAATTTTTGTAAGCTTTTATTTAGTTTCACCTGTGTTTGTACTCAAATCTTACAAGCTAAATTTCACCCAATTTTCCTCCGTTTTATTTGTTTGTCAATCACAATGTAACATATAAAAATACAAATATTTAATACATCAGGTTTAAATTATTTTAAATTTTTTAGTTCCTTTTTAATAATATTTTTTTTTTCAATATAGCATGGTGAATGAAAAATTGCTGAAATATAACAACAACAATAATTATTTAAATTTAATTATAAAATTATTATTTATTAAAAAGCTCGTTTTACGTACGACGTAAAATTACGGAGAAATGAAAATTCATTTTTTCCTAGTGAGATGAAGAGAATGGGTAAAAATAAATACAGTACTTGGTTTTTAAAATTAATAGCGTGACTTGTGACGAGGTGAATGTGCGATAGTATGTAACGGAACGTATATTAACTTTTTTTGCAGAATTACCGAAAATTATGCCCCTTTAGTGCGTTAAGCTAAGTTGAAAATTTTTAGTAGAAAATACTTAGCTTCTGTGGCTGATTATAGTACGTTGGTTTGTAGGAAAGGCTTATAATACGTAGATGTACCTAAAAAGACGTAGAGTTGGTATTGCTGGTACTGTTGGTAATGCGCCATTAGTTACCAATCTGATCGGATAAATCCGGTCTCAACCGGATTTGAAGTATTAATTAAGTCTTTATCTATGATATTTCCGGTTTTAATAAAATAAATGAAGCTTTATTTTCTTATTTCTATTAATCAAAGTAATCACCCATGCAATCAATACATCTTTGCCAACGCATTGGTAGTTTAATGATGCCTTCTTGAAGAAATCAGCTGGACGGGAGGCAACAAATACTTCAAAGGCATTTTGTACTGCCTCTCGGGAATTTATTTTTTTCCCGTTAAGACGTTATCCAAATTCTGGAAGAATAAGAAGTCTGTAGGCGCATGGTCTGTTAAGTACGGCGGATGACGGAGAACTTCAAACCCCAGCTCTTGTAGCTTGGGTACCGCCAATTGTGTAGTATGAGGTCGTACGTGGTCGTGGAACCGAACGATTGACAAAACCTGGTTGGAGTTGTGCCAGCTTCTCCGTCATTGTGTTCAGTTCTTCACAATACACACAGTAAATCTGCAGTTATGCTCGTCCTGTTTGGTAAGAAGCTGTGATGAAATACATCCGCGTTAGACCACCAAACAGCAACCTTTTCGTAAACCAATAACGGGCAAACCAATAACGGGTGGTGCGTTCGTTTGTAGTGTTCGCTCTGCAAACGTTGTAATGTTGCGTGCCGCTTTGCTGCCACGATGGCACATATACTCCATAATTACTCGAATTTTTAACTTATCCATGACGACGAAAAATATTCAAATTCATTGAAAACAAAACACTTACTATTGAACAAATGACGATTTAAGAAAAAATAATTTGATATTAGAATTATCAGCCAAAAAAAAAAAATTTTATATGGCTAGTACAGTAGAACGGCAATTACATAGGTAAAGACCTAATATTAAGACAGGTCTCCGCCCATTTTTTTGTTGTTTCTCAATAAAGATCTCTTGAATTAAATGGTTACTTATTAAAGCAAAATCTACCATACGATTACATCACAGATTGTGTTGTATTTTTGAAAAATAAAGGAGTATTAATTGACGATGTCAAAGAAATTATTTAAAGAACTTGTTCTATTAACAAATTTATTTTTATGACGAATTAGTTGAAAAGCAGTGGGTAATTATTTTCAATATATGCAATGACAGCACTCGTTTCCGAACTACTGAAGATTTGTCAGTATTTTTTTGTATTATGCCTCATAATGCGAATATTGATTTTTTTTTCGCTCATGAATATGCAGTGGTCAAAAGATAGAAAAAGATTAACTGTTGAGTCAATAAAGGCAATATTGCTTTGCTCACGGGATATAATTTCAAGCATTTGCCATGTATCGAATTTCACAGTGAAATTTCTTTAAAAATAAACTTTTTGAATGCTGTTGTTAGTGGAAAAAGTATAATGTGCAAAAAAGTAATAAAATTTAATAATGAGTTTAATTGATATACTGAGTTTTATTTAAAGCATATAACCGGGTTTTTACATAAATCAAGATTTTTTATTGCTTGTAAATGGTTATTCGATTTCAAGCCCTATGCGCCATCTATCAATTTTTACTAGGGAGGGTGTATTACACCGGTATAACCGTACGTTCAGTTCTACGCATTTACTTTTTAAATGACACCAAACAATGTTTGGATTCGAGTCATTTTTAACTAAATATTCATTGCGTTGATAATTGAACACTTTCTTTTTGTAAATATGTATGTTTTAGGCAAAGAATGTTTTGTGATATTTATAAAATGTAAGAAATAATCTTTTTATAAAGTATTTTATCAGAAAAAGTATTTAAAAGATACTAAGATACTAAACAAAAGTATTTAAATACAAGATACAAAATACTTCCTAAAAAAAGTATTTTAGATACAAGATGAAAATACGTATTTTGTATCTTGTATCTGTATTTCAAATACTTGTATCTAAGATAAATCACATCTCTGATGCTGTCATAGCAAGTAGCTGGACGTCAAGAATTAGACGTTATTTGGTTCTTACAATAATATTATCAATAATAGATTGACTTCCTACTTAACCTACTTTGAAGTATATTACTTATTAAGTAACTAGAGTAGTCATGCGGTGGTGTCGTGTCCATGGGGTCGTTACGTTCCCTCAAATATAGATGAGCGTAGCGATGGATGACTCATGTGTCAAGCTCGTCAACAGCTGCTGCCAGTGTGGGTGAGTCTACGCTGGACTACTTAATTTTGTCCATTTTCTTTTATTATGGATATTGTATATTGATTTGTCAATGAGTTTGTAGGATTTCTGAAATTGCAATGGAAAGTGACATCATAATCTAATTAAGACGCATTCGAATAAGACTTCTCTGTATGAAATAAAACAGGGAGAAAAAAGCAGCCCTTTATGAGTTTATTGCCTGTTCTTCTCACAAGTACTATGTAACAATAAGACTGAATTGGTTTTGATATTTATTTTAATATAATTCGACGTGTAGATGCATAGTGGTAGATATGGAAGTACTGTACATAAAAAAAAAATAAGCTGAATTCAGCGTTCAGCTTTTTGTGCCTGACTCTAAACCTGAACTCTAATGAATCGATTCAATTATAGTTAAGTTGGCTCATCACTAATGTTGACGTATAAATCAAACATCATTCCTTTACACGTAACATATTAAATAACTTAAGCTTACGATTCAAATAAATTAAAATAAATTTGAAAGTTTGATATTATAAGAAACACGAAACGATGTCATATTTATTAATTTTCGATTCTCAGTTTTTACTTTTATTATGACGAAACAAAATTTGAATGAACATCATAGACAAGATCCAAACATCTCTATTGATATCTAGTTTGATTTCAAGAACTAATTTTTAGTTTTGAAATACTTCCATATTCCCATATCCGTGTCAAAGAGTAAACTCGTGTACGAGTTTGAAAAGTTTACTCGAGTGACTCCACTTGGCTCGAGTCACATAACATACGTAGTTTCTCCTTACTAGTCTGTGCACATCACTAAGATCGATCGTTTGAGTTGTTGCGTTCGTCGGTGGATTCGTTTAATTCTATTAAACAATACAAAGAAACGAAATAACGTTCTTGAAGAAATTATTATATAGTTGACCGTAATAAGTCATTTAGGATGAGACGTTATAATTTTCCAGGGATTCACAACAAACCTGCTCCACAAAATGGCCCGTTAATGACCGATCACATCGAGTTACGGGTAATTATTCTTTGTTCTTACAATAGTTTCACTCGGTCCGAAGAATTTAGATTAACAGCTAGATACCAAAAATTTTTAAAGTAACCCTTACGTGGTTTTATAAAACTCGTATTTGAATAAAACATCTTCCTAGCTTTGACAAACATATTACGTTTGTCATTTAACCGAGAACCCGTTATACGCTTTGTTTTTCGGGGCTGGATAAAAATTATTAACTTCCCCTAGATCTATTTAAATGCTTCCCAAACTAGAATGATTTGATTGAAACCTGAATAATGGATTACGTCCATTGTAAGATATAGGTTGTATATAACTGAATATTGTGACTTTGTATAACCTCTGAACTGTTAAGTGCTAGTCGCCGACTATTTGTATTGTATTCTGTAACTTTTATTTGGAAAATCATTCATTCAGTTAGCCAATCTGACTTATGTGACAGCATCAGTTTGTACACTTAATTGTTATTACGCACAACTAACAAAGAATAACATGCTTTCGTGCATTTAATCTCTTTTTTAAAACAATAAAAAGGGGCTCTGGTTGACTACAGTGTTAGTGGAGGCCAACAACTAAAATAAGATTTTCATTTTATATCTTAAAACTAAAACAATGGTTATTTTCAACTTAAGGTTATAAAAGTCAGTATAAACATCGATCTTTGCTCTTTGTTTTACTGCTTTAAAATGAATTTGTAACTAGTAATCTTGCTTAGGATCAGAGACAAGGAAAATGTAATCATGATGTGCAACTCCATTTTATAACATTAACTCGGAATTGAAAGTTATTAACTATTCATACTTAATAAATCTATCATATATGATATTGTCAATCTAGAATGATTTACATAATGTTACATTTTTGGTGGTTAATTTACCTTTACATCTTACTAACATACTAACATGTTCTTGTAGAATGAGAACCCCAAATTATTATGTAAAATCACATTTTCATTTTTTACATCTAAGCTTTGGACTTTATTGTACCAATACACATCTGAATAAATGCAATATTAATTTATATATGTACCAAAAAAATTCTATCTGTTAAGCATATTAATACTTCTGTTGATACTCTTCATGGATCTACTGTCAAAAGTGCATCAATCTTTTGACAGGTCTTTGAATTTATTAATGGTCACCAATGTGGAAATGCAAAATTGGAGCAAAGTACCCATTCAAATATAAGAAGTCAAAAAACACATGTTCAGCAAGAATTTCCAATTCAGTTGGTTTATGTACTAAATTACTAGTGGCTGCCAGCAAGTCCGTGTTTTCCATGATTTCTTCGCTCCTAATAGTTGCAGCGTGATGTTATATAGCCTAAAACCTTAATAAATGGTCTATTCGACACAAAAATAATTTTTCAATTCAAACCAGTAGTTCCTGAGATTAGCGCATTCATACAAACAAACTCTTCAGCTTTATAATATTAGTATAGATGTCATTGTAAACTGTGTGTCTATAATTCATAAAAACATTTATTGACAGGATTTGGATCTAGAGCTAGAGTTGCTGAAACGCAAAAGAGAAATGATAGAGAAGCAACAACAGCAGTATGCCAATGAACAGCAGTATAACCATCACCAGGTTAGTTTCCACTCTTGTCTCATATACTTTTTTCCATTTAAGATGTTTGCAAGGGTTTATTTATACATTAGTATATTTGTGGAATACAGTAAATTAATAAAATCAAATATAACTAAAAAAGGAATAAGAAGAATAATTGCAGTGACATCTGAATTGAGAGGAATTTTGTTCTAACATGATCAGAATGGAATATCGTTCTGAGCATAGGGTTACTATCTTCTAAAGCAGTGGTTTCTAATCTTTCCATGTTTGTTACCGCTATTATTAAGGAAATTATTTTACTGGCCCCTCTGCAGTGTCTACATTGGAAGTCATGCCTTTTCATGTGTTTTCACTTAAAACATCTTTTAACTGTGTTCAAAATTGATCCAGCTTTATTCTTTATTTTTAGATTTGTTTTTAATTATAAGGTTCTTTATTATCCCCACAAAATAGCTCATGAATCCCCACAGAGGTAGCTCTAGGTTAGGAACCTCTGTATTGAAGCTATCTACTAATTAATAACATGTTTTAAACTATAATTTTAATTTACCTAATAAGTGGCATTAGTTTCGCTTTTATAGAAAAAGGAAACTTTTGTATTTTAAGTGAATTATCATCAAACCAAAAATAATAATATTATTGTTTTATTAATCTGAAACTAATTGTAGCTGAGGTGTTTTATATCTCATTTGCTCTTATTGTCCATTATCCAAATGATATATAACCATTTAATACCTAATACAACTGTGATCTTCTGTTCCGTTATAAAAACAAACAATGAATAATTGGAAAATGTTCAAGCTGATTTGTTTTTAAGTATTTCACCTGGTGAACGAACAGAATATCTTAGTAAAACTATACATCAATTTGATGATACAAACAGTGTCATCACTTTTGTCTCCTCTGAAGATAGTGTTTTACTCTACTTATTATTGATTTTTTCTAAATATTTCAGAGACAATACAATTTTAACAAGCCATCCCAAATGTTCGAAGCACAACAACAGCAAATATTTAGTCCAAATCAGAACTACTCTCAAAATTTTGGACAATCATCGCTTCAACCTTATAACCATTTTGATGGTGGTCAAACTAGTTTGCTTGGCAAGCGACCAAATGAAACTAAGTGGCAGTCCCATTCTGCATCTAAACAATTCTCTGGGCCAAATGGTGGCAGCTCCCAGAAAAAGTTTAGTGCAGGCCCTCATAAGAGGTCAAATCTCTCACACGATAAGCCCACCCCATTAATGAATTTACAAGTCTCTAATATGAAACAATTCTCCCAAAATAATACACCAAACCAACAACCACAACCTTGGGCTCAAATGCCTTTCTATGCCAGCACAAAATATATACCTCCTAGTCAACGATTCAAAAGCTCCAAAGCTAAACCAACTAACAGGGACTTCAAACCCAACAAAGTTACTAAACTAAAAGTGAATCCAGTAAATTTGGCTAATAAACTCATTTCATATCCAATTCCAAACCAAAAGTCGCCAAAACGTACTTCGGTGACATCCAAGGATGCGTCGAAGTTTGTAAATAAAGTTGATGGTTCGGCGAAGAGTTTCATATTACGTGCTGACGTCGTACCGTCACAGCAAATAGCTGGCCGTCTAGAATTAGCACTTGGCCTCTTGTTAAAAGATATTAGATCCAAATATGCTGATAATGAACTGTATAAACATAGTTTCCTGTCAAACCACTTCTTGCGGGAAGTGAAACAGGCAATACGTGAACGCATACGGACCGTCATGATCGGGAAACACGTCGGCAAAGTCGACTGCATTGTCGAGGAATACCGAAAAGTGTTTCCGCTCGAATCTGACTCGGATATAGTTAAAGTTGCATTGGAAGCACAGAAAGCTGCCAACCACAACTTGCTTGCCATAAAGATCGAAGAGAAAGGTAGATATGTCTAATTTTTGGAACAGTTTAAATGTATTGTTTTGTTTTTATTAAACTTTTCATTATACTGTTATTCATCTTCAACAGTATAAGTTGGAAAATATCAGGAATTTGTTTTAATGCCACTATGTGAGATCTGGATTTCCATTGATCTGCATAATGTGTGAAATTTTTAAGGACTTATATTATCACTTCGCATCTTTCTGTTAATTTTGAAAGTCCTCATTGAATATGTTATTCTTACTAAAATTCTATAATAATAAACTTTTGATATACCTATAACAATAATTAATTTTCAGACATACCTGAACACTACTTTAAAGAGAATATGGAGAGACTACTTAATACAACATTGGATGAAATGTTTGATAAGGTAATAAATCTAATAGACTTAATTTATTCAGTAAAATTATTATTAATAGCACAGATATAATATAATACTATACTTGTACTATTAATAATGTATCTTTCATTTGTCATTTCAGTTAAAAGATTTCTATGGATGTGATAAGGAAACTGAATGTGCAGCATTATTTGATGTTGTAAAGAAATACAATGATTTGAATAAAGATAAGGAAAGTGCAGATGTTCAGGAAAACATAGAAGTTCCAGTTTCTGAACAAAGTAAAGGAGAAGGTGAAGGTAAAAGGGAAGGCGAAATTAAAGACGAAACCAATAGTAAAGGTAAAGGAGAAGATGAAATTGAAGAGAACCAGAATGACGATCATGCAAAAGAGGATACTGATGAAAATAAATCAAAAATAGAGAGTAAACCAGAAGAGAAAGTAGCAGAGAAAAATACGCTGAAGTTTACTCGTAAAACCAAAAATGAGATTAAAGAATTGGATCGCACTTTAACTGTTTATATGAAACGTAAATTGGCTGCTGTATTGCCAAAATTAAAAACGGTTAGTAATGAAGATCTATCGCATATCTATCTATATCTTGCAATGAAAATGTTTACCAATAAACTAATGAAGCGTTATTAATGTTTTAAATGTTTATATGATTGGTTATTTTTGTTTTGCAGAATATTATGAAAATTTTGAATGCAAACAACCAGTATAAAACTACAAGAGATGTTATACTATCGAAGTTACAAGACAAGCTATCTATAGAGTGTCGTATGAAGGCCGCCACTGAGCAATCTGTACCTGAGAAGCCGACAGAGGCTACTCCAGCAGTATCTACGCCAGCTGCAGCTACGGCGCCTCCATTACCCTATTATGTTAAGGTAATATTATGAAACCTATTGAAAAATATTCATATAACATTGTGACTGTAAAATTTTATCAATTATATATACATGTTATTTCTCCCACTTTCAATTGTTCTATCCCAATTAATAAATTTCAGATTCATGGGCGACCAGCTCTTCCAAAGAAGAAGCAGATGCAAACATTTCTGCAACAGTTTAAACCAAAATCGATTAAGAAACATAGAAACATGCATTTGTTGTTTGTTGGATTCGACAACAAGGAAGACTTCGAGAAAATAGTGGCTGTCAAAGAAACTGAAATAGGTATACTTATTTTACAGTTCTATATACTTTATACTGTTTAATTGATTTTTGAAAAGTCATTGATTTACTTTTTTTCATAGGTCACGCACAAATTTATATCAAGGTTAGTGAACTCAGTGAAAAAGCAGTCGGTAGAACCCAGAATGAATCATTGAATGTATCGACAGTCAGCAGTGATGATGATGTACAACTGGTTAGTGAAGATAAGTCTGGAAGCGAAAGCATCAATTTGATCAATTCCGATCTAGACGATCAGATTAACGATCTACTGACGTCCATAAGAAAGGATGAACAGTTACATGACCAATCTGATACTGAATCTAGAATAGATACTGTTCCAGATGATAATGAAGGTCAAAAGGTAGAAGAAGACGCAGTAAAAGAGGGTTGTACTGCAACTGATAATCAACCTGGTGAAAACGACGATGCAAAACCTGATGAAAATGAAGAGTCAAAATCTAATGAAATCAAAAATGATCAAGGTGAAATAGAGACATCAGTGAATAATGACGGAAAAGCCGATGAAGCGTCTGCTGATGTTAAAAATAATGAGATGGATACTGAGGAATCTTCGGCGAAGATAGTTAATGAAGAAGCCGACAAATTGGGGCCTTTGAAGAATGACGTAAAGTCATCCGGTACGGCGACGCCAACTAGGTCATCAGCTCGTATTAATAATGCAACACCCAGTAGAATTCTCACGAGACGCGCAAGCCGTTTGGCACAAGAATAACATTTTTATTAGTGTAATATTCAGGTTTCATACATTTTACTTGGTAAAACCTAGATGAGTAATTGTTAGTTTCATCTTAATTTAGGTAGATCTACAGATACTTTTACATAGTATTGATCACATTTCTTTACTTGTTCTTTTACATGATGTTGTAATGAGTTGAATATAGGTCGGTACATAACTGTGGGAAGATGTGGCGCGCCTAATCGGTCGTCGAGTATTAGAACTGACAAATATATGACATTCGAGCTTACAAACTTGACTGATAATCCGTCTACTACTAACGCATAGTTTCATGAGACGCTTGAAGGATCTTCTGTCTGATTTGTACCTCTTTGCCTGTCAGATTTATAATGTCTATAGAATAAAGTGCATCCTAATAAATGGTTATTTTTTATTATGTTATTTGTCCAAAGCCGTGGTAGTTTTTTTAGATTTCCACACTCAAAAGGTTTATCCTCTGCCTGTCCGTCATGTCACAGGGCTGTGACTCAGTTATAGACATCGAACGCGCTACTCGTGATTCGAATCGAACATTCTGCAAATAATGTTTAAACATTATTTGCCGAATGTTTGTGCTAAACAGCATTTATTTATATTTTTAAATCAATAAAACAAAATATAATTTTTCAATATTTGCAGTCTGTGTCTCACGTCGAATGAAACACTAATTAGAGCGCGTGACGTTTTTCTGGGTAAATTGGTAGTAAATGTAACTAGGAAAAGCGCGGAAACATTCAAAGTGCAAAATAATTTAAATGATTTTTTTGTTTTGTGGTCACAAGGGTCACAAGGTCTGGTCACAAGGGTCGGTTTACTGTTTTATTATATTTGTGAGTTTACATAAAAGTACTGCAAACGATGATTCATTTTTCCACCCTACCCCACAAATTCGTCACGTCCTCCGGGTCGCCGTTTGTGCATATTGTGGTTAATTTACATAATAAGCGCCCATAATTATTAATTAAAAATAATTTTGAGAAAGTTGTCCGATGCCCTATTAGATAAAAATCAAATTGTGTGTGGTTAAAAAATATATAAATTTAAAGATTATTCGCCGAATATTTAGCTATTATCTGCTAAATAATAATAATTATACTTAAATTAAGGAAATAAATTGTTCAGAGCTGTGTGGGCAAGCTGTCATCGCTCGATTTAGTATTCTGTAACTCATTTTAGTTAATCGGTATTCCATAGTTATAAGTACATATTTTTTATTTAGATGAAATCACTTATTGAAGCCAATTTTTATGGTCACTGATGCGTACGGAATACGAAATAACAATTTACCGATACATCACCATGTGATGGAGGTCAGTGGAGATCGCCGATATTAACATTTCAAAATTGCGAACCCTTTAAAAATACGCATTTGTTATTTTGATACATTCGAATTGCCCAATTTTTTGGTGATTACGATTTTAGATTTTCTATTGATTAAGCGAATAGGTACGCCTTCAGTTGTAGGAATTGTACCCAGCCATAACATTTGGATGTATGCTAAATGAAAAAGGAAAAGGCTGCTTCCACACTAATCATTTCCATTCGTTACCTGTGGTCTTCTGTTAGAATTAGAAACCATTCGTCGTAGGTTCTATTACATTGGTCGATGAAGTGTTGCTACCGCGTGCAGCGTGCGAGTGATTTCGATCCCGCATCCTCGCCTTCATTGGTCAGTCATTATTTTATTGATCAGTGAAATGACACCGCATAAGTCATTCGTTCTCCGTGTACTGATCCCATCAATCAGTATAAACAAGGGCGGATCTACCGTCATAGGCACGAGGGGCATGCCCATGACCCTAATATAGTTGGTACGTCATAGGCGTGTAACTAAACTGTTCAAAATCTTGATCACGCATGGCATTGTATATTTTGAACTCATCCTTTGAAGGAACACATTGCATGCTTTTTCCTACTCATACTTAGCCTGTTTGGACGTGGTTGTGAGTGCAAGCTTTTTTGAGGTCTGGATCCACCCTTGTGTGTTACTGAGCTTAATTAGTGTTGTTATAAAAGACTTACCATCAGCTGATTGATGTAGTATTCGTATGTAATTGTGTCTGTCACCGGGTCGAGGGCTATCTGCATCATTTCGTCGTATTCCTCCTGCAAATTTCGTAATGTAAAGATATTTATTTACTAGTTTTTATTACCGACACTGCGACCACGACTAAGTATTATGACTAAAAAGTATTTTAAAAACATTAAAAAAGCCTGTGTCTATTGTATAATTGAAAGGTTTGTGAACGAAGTATTCGCGCCTTAAAACTGTCAAAAAAGTAAATGTCGATTAGTTATATAAAATAGTACTGGCAATATGATTAAATTTGTAATTGTTGTAATGTTTCAAATAAAAATAAAAGTTCTTATAATCCAAAGGTATATTTATTAAACATAACAGTTGGTGAAAGTTACTACATCTATCTCCACAATAATTATACAATGCGAATGTGAAATTAGGTAAAAACACATTTTTCTACTTACAATATTAGTATGTATTGAGTGAACAAGATAATTCTATTACCTGCAGAATTCTTATATATTAATAAGCCCACATATGAGACATCGTATCGTTTATTGACATTAAATAAGTTTCGAATAAATATTAGACCTGGGTAAAAGGCTCGCCTTCTTCCAACATCAGTTGAGAGAATTTCTCTTTCGTCAAGTATCCTTTTCCCTCCTTATCAAAGTATCTGAAAGCGGCTAGAAGCATTTCTGCGCTGGCTGGATAATATCTGGAAATGTATTTGAAAATTTTACTATGCATAACTGCTATTCAAACAACAACATAACAGGTTACCAGAAAATTGCTTTCCTATTTTAAATCGTTTTACCCTCTCAAAAATCTGAACGAAACTATTTTATCGTCCTAGCGAGACTAGTGCTAATCCTATATCGATTACTGTTTGTGATAATTATTTGAACTAAAAAACACATATTCGAACCTGTGCTCCAACATAACTTTACACATGTAAGGCAAGAAATTCGTTAAAGGCACGTTGCCAGTCGCCTCTTTGTTTTCAGTCGCTAAGATTACTTCCTGAATCTCAGCTTCGGTCGGACAGCATCCTATAAAATAAATCACGATGAAACTGAGACAAGTTGCCAAGCTGTGGATTGGATTATATATATCCAAAGGTCGATGGTTTAGATACGGCTCGAAGGATCATTTGATTGAAAATAGATTAATAGCTTTTAGATCAGTGTGTCCCAACTTGTGCTGTGGGAAGATGGACCAACGCTACGTGCTGAAAAAAACATGAAAGTTAGTAATGTGTAAGTAACTCTAAAACAATTGCAGAAATACGTGATTTGTTATAGACGATGTATTTAAACTAAATTAAATTATACAGAGTAAATTACAACAGATGCTTTAAAAGAATTAAACATTGTTTTCTATAATTCAAAATTCACAAAGCAAAAAATACGACATTCAGTTAAGTTGAGCCAGAGCTACAACTGTCGTATAGTTTGAACAGGCTCTAGTTTATACTTAGGACCAAAAAACTTCCTACCATCGTGAAATTAATACATGAATTATGAAAGTGAACATTGACATGTAGAACACTACGTTAGACAATTCAAGAATATTGAATTTTGTTGTTTTTGCGAATTTGAACTTGTGTTTTTGGTTAAAAATTATGTCGAAGCCGATAAAAAGTTCATCGAGGAAACTTCTTTCCATCATGATTGACAAGTTTACTGAAGTGAAAACTGAATTAAATAAAAATTTCATGGAGAAATTACAACGATTAGATAAAGTTGTATCTTTTTTAGGTTAGTTTTGTATTATAATTTTGATACTTTCGTTTTAATTTTCTGTAATTAACTAAACAGATATTTTTTATAAAATATTGCTCTATTTCAGATAACTGTGATGGTGATATTCAACCAATAATGGAGGAGATAAATGCAATAAAAACTTTAGAAAAACAAGAAATGCTGAATTCGGAAACGCAGTACTTACAAAAAATTTCTTCAATGACAGGTCTCTTTTCTTGTTTTGATTTAAGATAGATTGATAGTATTCCTATAATATTTACATAGGTTTTTTATGATGTATTGGTTTTTATTGTTGACATCCAATGATGTCATAAGAATGTTTTGTTTAACAAGGAAATTCACAGAATTCATGAAACTAATCAAACCATGTAATTGTTATACATGCTAAATATGCACATAAACTTAACTAAATTAAACATAAATTGCATTCATAGTTGAATAGGTATTTAAATTATTTTGATGTATGTGTCTATCATTATTTGCTTTTAAATACATTTAACATATCTTTGTTTCAAAGTGTTTAATCTTTTATAGATATAAGTATAAGGACACTAAGAAGGATAAAAAATGAAGCTTTAATTAATAAAGGAAAATGGGACACTCCTGGGAAAAAACGACCTCATCAACCAACAGTGTCTGCTTTAGATAATTTTGATTTAAGTGCAATTCGGAATAAAGTAAATGAATTTTACTGTGTGAAAAAAATTGTTCCAACATTAAGAAGCCTTCACAATGAATTAAAAGATGCAATAGGATTCAGTGGTAGCCGTGAGACTTTACGAAAAATTATGCTTAAGAATGGATTTTCTTTTAAAAGCAATGAAAATGAACGTTCTATGCTTATAGAAAAATACCAGATTTCTGCATGGAGGCACAAGTATTTGAGAGAAATAAATATAAAACGAAACGAAGGAAAGCAAATTGTGTACCTTGATGAAACTTATGTACATCAGAATTATAAAGTTAAAAAGTCTTGGCAAGGACCTTCAACAACTGGTGTCACTACAAAGATATCCTCTGGAAAACGGCATATTGTTGTGCATGCTGGATCTGAGGAAGGTTTTGTGCCTGGTGCATTATTAGTGTTCAGTAGTAAATCCAAATCTGCTGATTATCATGATGATATGAACTCATCGAACTTTATGAAATGGGTCAGAGAAAAATTAATACCAAATTTAAGTAAGCCCAGTGTAATTGTTATGGATAATGCCAGCTACCATATAAAACAAATCAATAAACCGCCTATAATGTCTAATACCAAAGCAGATATCCGTAAATGGCTTGTAAATAATGGAATACATTTTGAGGAATATCAGACAAAGGCAGAGTTAATGTGTTTGGTTAATGATAAGAAAACATTGCCTGTATATGAAGCTGAAGAGATTTTAAAAGAACATAATCATGAACTTTTATTGCTGCCACCGTATCATTGTGACTTAAACCCAATAGAGATGGTTTGGAGTCAAGCAAAAAGAAAAATTGCAAGCAGAAACATTGGAATACCAGGAAAGGAAATGGAAAACTTAATAATAGAGTGTTTTAACTTAATTACCCCTAGTGACTGGAAGAAATACACTGATCATGTTTTAAATGTCGAAAATGATTACAAATTAAAAGATGGCATTGTTGAAAACGAACTTGAAAAATTTATTATATCTGTTGGTGCAGACAGTAGTGAAGAGAGTGACTCTGATGATTCCTTGTCATTGTTATCAGGTGTAGAATATTTAGAAACAGATTTTGACTATGAATCAGACTAAAGTATTTTTAGTCTGATTCATAGTCAAAATCTTATCTTAAATTTTCTATTGTGATTAACATGATGATTTTGTGACACCTGTATTATGTAATTTATCCATGGCACTTAATTGTAAAATCTGGTGTTTATATTGACTAATTTAATTTGATAGATAGTGGTTCTGGATCAGAGCAAAAGGTTGTGATGAAAATCCCTTAGGAGACATGTATGTGTTATGAACACATTATAAATATAAGGGCCAGAAATCAAAATTGGCTAACATCACATTTATTAAAAAAATGTGGCCAGAGTCGCCCATATTCATTACAAAAAAACAAAGAAGTCGTTGCAAAAAACACCCTTTTAATTAATGACAAATATGAATTTTTAATATTATAAGTGCTGTTAGCCAATAGGTATAACGAATGGGTTAAAAAAAAGATTCGATTTAGTCCGTCAGTCAGATAATAGAAAAATATTGGATACGTATTTTTTTTCGCTTTAATTTAACAACAAATGGCTTAAGAGGTACTATGCGACGACTTCAAATATGCTTTGCAACAATGTTACTTTAATACAGTTTATCGATACGAAATCAAGTGTCAAAATGGAGTCCAGTGGAGAATGCCGATATTGACATTTCGAAATTGCTCATCATTGATAGAGAATACGAAATAGTGATTTTGACACAATCAAAGTGTCTATTTTTTACGGTGATGACGATTCTTGGTTGTCAGTTGAGTTAGTGAATAGGCCTACTGATATGCTGTTAACTGTACAATTAAGAACAGTCACGCTTTAGTCAAATGTTCCAAAACAAATAATTTTAATTGATATCTAAATGTTAAGATTAAATATAATTAATAAAAGTATCAAAATTATTTTGCAGTACTACATTCAGTGTTTACTGCTTAAGAATTTTTGAAATTGCCGCCCTTTTCTTGTGACACGTTTCGCTTGCCAGACTCTACAACTACTAGGGAAATTAGTAAATCCGACGGATATTTATTATTCACTAAACTTACCGAGGTCCTACAGTCTATTGTATAGGTTACCTAAAGAGCGAAGAATAGTTCCTATTTCTCGTACGTCCACTACTTGTTTCGCAGAGTGATCGAATACTTCAAATGCTTCCATTATCTTCTTTTCCAAATCATTATTTGGTTGAACTAAAATAATACTACAAGTTAGTGTTTTACGCTCTGTTTTTAATAATGTACTTTTTGTTTTTCAACCTGAATTATATACTTTTCGGTTCTTCTTTCCGAGCCATTACTTATTAATTTCCAACGAGATTCTTATTAATAATTATTATGAGAAAATAAACTTTTGATTACATATTATAAAATGAATAGAGCCTACAAGTTTGTTCAACACAACAAACAACAACCCTAATCACAAACTTCAGACGGTAGTTGTATGTATCCAAGCAACGGACCATAATGTTCATACATATACATATATAGTTGTAGCGAATTTGATGTACCTAGAAATTATACTCTTTATAGTTTTCATATTGTTTGTCTCTGGTGTACAATGATTATTATATATTCTAAGCGAGTGAGTAGCAACGCAAGAAGAGAATTTTCAGTGGTCTTGATAATTATAAAATTCGTTGAATACTTAAGAAGCGTTTAACTTCCTACATCCAAACCATCCTAGTCGAAGTTGACACTGAATATTCTGGTGAATTGAACGATGTATGCAATTTATTAACTTTTCCTCCACCTCAAACAGTGCAAGGCATGCGTAGATTCCTCGGCATGATAAATTTTTATCGCCGATTCGTTCCTCATGCTGCTCAATATCAAGCTTCATTAATTGACGCCATTGTTTCCACTCAAGGTAAGGGCGCGAAACCATTCCCATGGACACCTGAGCTCCTTGAACAGTTCGAGAATTGCAAGAAGAGACTTAGCAATGCGACACTTCTCCAACACCCCGTAAACGGTGCAGAAGTTGACCTTTTCACTGACGCTTCCAGCGTTCACATCGGTTCCTGTTTACAGCAGAAAATCAACGGACACTGGGCACCTCTTGCTTTCTTCAGCAAGAAACTAACTCCTCGTCAGAGTCAGTGGCCGGCATATTATAGGGAACTTCTGGCAGTGTACGAAAGTGTACAACATTTTAGACACATTTTAGAGGTCCAACATTGTACCATTTACACTGACCATAAGCCACTGTTGTACGCTTTCGTACAACGCCGAGAGAAACTTCCTCCCCCCCAACTGAACCAATTGTCCTTTATTAGTCAATTCACGACTGACATACGTCACATTAAAGGGGAAAAAAATGTTGTCGCTGACGCAATATCTCGTATTAATGCTGTGACCTTGGAACAAGATTACGAAGCTCTTGCCAAGGCACAGCAAACAGATGAAGAACTGGCGAACATTCGCAAAACCTCGTCTCTGAAACTGGAGCCCATTCCAATTCCAGGAACCAGTATCACCTTATTATGTGACACTTCCACTGGCAGACCAAGACCTTATCTAACGCCACAGTTCCGTCGATCTGCATTTGACCGCTGTCACCAACTTAGTCATCCCGGTGCACAGGCTTCCGCGCGTCTGGTGTCAGAACGCTATGTTTGGCCAAATATAAACAAAGATTGTCGCGAATGGACACGTTTCTGCATACAGTGCCAGAGAAATAAAATTTCAAGACATAATAAATCACCCATCGGACAGTTTGAACTCCCATCTGGTAGATTTCGCCATATTCACATTGACATCATTGAACCCTTACCATTCTCCAACGGATTTACATATTGTTTAACCGCTATCGACCGTTTCACACGGTGGCCAGAGGCTTGGCCAATGGTTTCAATGACCGCCGAGGAAGTCGCTGATAAATTAGTATCTGGCTGGGTAGGTCGTTTTGGTGTACCCAGCTCAATCACCACCGACCAGGGGCGTCAATTTGAATCCTCCTTGTTTCAGCGGCTGATGAACTTCTGTGATTCCAAGCGAATACGCACTACTAGCTACCATCCATGTGCCAATGGCATGTGTTATGTTGATTAAACGTCCAGCCACACATTAATGATTGTTTCATTATATATATAAAATTGGCGACGAGGATGGCATACATTGGCCACATAGAACACTTCGACCCCATAAACGGGGATTTCAATAATTGGGTCGAAAGGTTTGATCAGTACAAGATCGTCAACGACATAAAAGCTGAAAAAACTGTTGCATTGTTCCTGACTTTTATTGGGCCAGAATCATACAAGATTCTTGCGAATTTGGTGAGCCCCAAGAAGCCCCATGAACAGACCATCGAGCAATTATTGGATTTGGCTAAACAATACTTTACGCCTAAAACAAATTTAATCGCACAGCGGTTTAAATTTTATAAAACGGATCAAGAATCCGGAGAATCTATTAAGAGTTATGTTGTAAAACTTAAGGAAATGGCCAGCACATGCAGTTTTCAGGGAGACACCTTAAAAGAAGCATTGAGAGACAGGTTAGTGTGTGGATTGGCGGATGAAAATATCCAAAGGAAGATACTGTCAGAGGCAGAACTATTGTCATTCGAAGCTGTGTTAGAGAAAGCACTGCTCTTGGAAACGGCTACAAAAGAAATGAAAATGTTAGTGCCAATGCCTATGTTACACAAGGTAACTGACGAAAAGAAACCAAAAACTAATTGGTGTAGTAGGTGTGGAGGAGGAGGGCACCATCCTACTATGTGCAGAGCAAAGTATTGGAAGTGTTTTAAATGCAATAAAGTGGGTCATTCTAGCAAAATGTGCCGATCAAAGCCCTTCAAGATAAGTGCATTAGAAGAAGATAGGGAACAGGACCAGAATAATTCAATCCATCAGTTGGGTAATGCATTTTACCTAAATTTAAAGCTTAATAATAACAAATATGTTAAGTTTGAGGTTGACACGGGGGCTTGTAACACTGTGATGTCTGAAAATGATTTCAAAACTTATTTTCCTCACTTACAATTAAAAAAAGCCAGTAATAGGCTCAAAGTGATTACAGGAGACTATGTTTCCATTTTGGGTACATGTCTAATTAGGATAACTTTTAGAGGAATTAGCAAGTTATTGCCATTAACAGTAATTTGCACTGGTAAAGATTTTGTTCCATTACTCGGTAGAAATTGGCTAGACATAATTTTACCCAAATGGAAAAATAGCTTTTCTGAAAACATAAATAAATTAAGTGGAAATTCCATTGAGATGCAAGTGAAAGCTAAATATCCAAATGTGTTTGAATTGAAACCAAATAGTACTATTAAACATTTTGAAGCAAATTTAATTTTAAAAGATAATGTGGAACCAATTTTTCATAAAGCTTACTCCATGCCCTATGCTTTAAAAAATAAAGTAGAGAAGGAAATAAATGCAATGGTAGATCAGGGTGTTCTAGTACCTGTCAAGCATAGTGCATGGGCAAGTCCTATTGTTATTGTCCCTAAAAATGAGGGAAAAATAAGAATTTGTGTTGATTTTAAGGTCACATTGAACAAGGTCCTGAAGACTGAGCACTACCCACTTCCAAATTTAGAAGACATATTTGCAACACTTTCTGGTGGAAATGTATTTTGTAAGTTGGATTTATCAGGAGCGTACCAACAACTTAAAATTAGTAAGTCTTCAGAACCCCTAATGACTATTAATACCCACCTAGGATTGTTCCGTTATACAAGATTAACGTATGGTGCATCACCGGCACCATCTATTTTTCAATCTGTAATGGATCAAGTACTAACAGGCATACCAAATGTGGTGTGTTATCTTGATGATATTTTGTTGAAAGGGGCCTGTGAGGATGAGTTACTTAAAACCTTGCATTTAGTATTAGAAAGGCTATCAAAGTATAATATTGTTTTAAATTTAAATAAATGTATTTTTTTTGCTAAATCTGTGGAATATTTGGGACACAGGATAGATAGTACAGGCATTCATCCCACTGAAGATAAAATAGAGGCGGTCCGGAATGCTCCACCTCCTGAAAATGTAACACAGTTAAAATCCTATTTAGGTCTCTTAAATTTCTATTGTAAATTTTTGCCAAATTTATCAATGGTTCTAGAACCCTTACACAGACTGTTAAGAAAGGATGTAATTTTCAAATGGGATTTGGAGTGTGATTCATCATTTAAAAAAAGCAAAGACTTATTGTTAAATAACCAGTTACTAACACACTATGATCCAAAGAAACCAATTATTGTGGCATGTGATGCATCTTCTTATGGGGTAGGAGCAGTTCTTAGTCACCTTGTAGAAGGAGAACAAAGGCCTGTCATGTTTGCTTCTACAACCTTGTCTAAATCTCAACAAAAGTACTCTCAAATAGAAAGAGAGGCTTATGCTATTATATTTGCTGTAAAAAAATTTCACAAGTATCTGTATGGTGTCAATTTTGTATTAGAAACGGACCATCAACCCCTGCAAATAATTTTCAATCCAAATAAGAGTATACCAGTAGTTGCAGCAGCAAGAATACAGAGATGGGCTGTTTTACTGTCAGCTTACAACTATGAAATTAAGTATAAAAAAGGTACCTTGCTAGGCCATGCTGATGCTTTATCTAGATTACCTTTATTAATTGAAGAATTCCCAGAAGAGAATATCAATTATTTTAATTTTGATAATAATTTGCCATTAGATTCAAAAGACATTGCAGTAGCAACCTCAAAAGATCCAGTATTATGTAAGGTTTTAGATTATACTATGAGGGGTTGGCCACAGTATAACATCTCACCTGTATTCAAACCCTATTACCAAAAGAGATCTCTTATTTCTATTGAAAGTGGTTGTTTGTTGTATGGGCTTAGAGTAATCATACCAGCATCGCTGCGTTTAGAGGTTTTAAAGTTATTACATGAGCAGCATATAGGTATTGTTCGGACTAAGATGGTTGTGAGAGGTACATGTTATTGGCCTGGAATAGACCAGGATGTAGAAAATATGATTAATAAATGTGTGTTGTGCCAATCCACCAGAAATGTTTCAAATAATGCATGTCTTCAGCCATGGCCAAAAGCACCTCATAATTGGTATAGAGTCCATATAGATTTTTTTGTGAAAAATGGTGTCACTTTTTTATTAATTATAGATAGTTATAGTAAGTGGTTAGATGTGTATATTATGAATAAGGGTACTTGTGCGCTGAACACAATTGATAAACTAAGAAATTCATTTGCTATTTTTGGTCTGCCAGTGGTGCTAGTGTCTGACAATGGTCCACCATTTACTTCTAGAGAATTCCAATTATTTTGTAAAAGTAATGGAATCAAACATATATTTTCACCACCCTACCATCCCCAATCCAATGGGCAGGCCGAAAGAGCAGTTCAAACTATAAAAAATGGGTTGATTAAACAATTATTTGATTCTTCAAATCAAAGAGGTTTGTCTATGAACAGAAAATTAGATAATTTCTTATTTAGTTATAGAAATACCCCTTCAACTGTAACAGGCAAATCACCAGCTGAAATGTTATTTAAGATTAAGCCAAGAACACTTATAGATTTAATCAAACCAAACTCTTGTATGTCTCATGCAGTATCAACAACCAGTAGTTCAGAACTTAATCTGTATTCAAAGCAATATTTTAAATATTTTGAAGAGGGAGAGAAAGTATGGGTAAAAAATTTTAAAAATAATAATATTAAATGGATTCCAGGGCTTATAGTAAAACAATATGGCAAAGTCACTTATTTAGTAAACATAGAGGGAAGTATTAAAACCATACACGTAGGTAACATAAGAAAACGATCAATGATAGAGTCATTCAAACAGGAATTTTTATATAATCATGATCATAAGAATTCAGTTATACCTAGTACTTCTTATGGTAATACTGAGTCTCCTGTAAACATATAGAGTTCTGAAAATAATGCAGAGATAGACATTAAAGAGACTGAAACTATTAAGCAGCAACATCAGCAGAGGTTACAAAGTCCCAGTCCAGTTTTTTCAGAAACGGTCGAGCCTATACAGTTGAGGCGGAGCAAGAGACAAATAAAAGCACCAGACAAACTAAATTTATAAAAATTCATAGATACACCTCTGCAATCAATTGTCAGTTCATTACTATGGAATCCTCTGGGCGAATAAGCTGTTATCATCTTTTACAGGGAAAGTAAATGTTATGTACAAACTTTAATCCATATTGTGAGTTTTAATCTATGATGATTTTTAGTGATTAGATACTCTATGGTTTATTTTTGTTCTAGAAAAAGACTATGTCTGACGTTTGTAACAGTATTGTAGTTTCTATTGTGAATTTGTGAATGGTTGTTATGTTGATTAAACGTCCAGCCACACATTAATGATTGTTTCATTTTATATATAAAAGCATGGTGGAGCGAATCCATCGCCAACTTAAGACAGCACTCATGTGCCATGTTGATACGTGGACTAGAGCGTTGCCACTAGTTCTTCTTGGCATGCGGACTGCTTTTAAAGAAGATATAAAAGCTTCATCCGCTGAAGTGGTCTATGGTGAAACACTTCGCCTCCCCGGCGAGTTTTTGGCACCAGTGTCAGATTTTAGCAGTTCTGCAGAGGTATCTGATCTGGTTAATCAATTGCGAAAAGAAATGCAGACAATTCGACCAGTTCCTGCGTCGTGTCATGCCAAGCCAAAATCTTTCATATTTAAGGATATGGCATCGGCAACTCATGTCTTTCTTCGTGATGATGCAATTCGCAAATCGCTGCAGCCTCCATACTCAGGTCCCCATCGCATCCTACAACAACAGGAGAAAACGATCACTCTAGATCTGGGTGGAAAACAGGTCACCGTAAGCTTAGACAGAGTCAAGCCTGCTTACGTTGAAGCTGACCCTTTTAGGGACAACACTTGTTTGCAAACCACTGTTGCAGTTCCTCCAGCTCGTAATCTCCCAGCTCCGTCCACAGCTCAGCTCCCTACCACTTCCTCCAAAGAACCTGCATACACTACCCGATCGGGAAGACAAGTACGTTTCAAAAAATTTAACGACTTTGTGAAATAGTTTTTTTTTGTTGTAGGTTTTTCCACTCCGTGGGGGGGGGGGGGGTGTAGCGAAATTTATATACCTAGAATTTATACTCTTTATAGTTTTCATATTGTTTATGTCTCTGGTGTACAATGATTATTATATATTCTAAGCGAGTGAGTAGCAACACAAGAAGATAATTTTCAGTGGTCTTGATAATTATAAAATTCGTTGAATACTTAAGAAGCGTTTAACTTCCTATATCCAAACCATCCTAGTCGAAGTTGACACTGAATATTCTGGTGAATTGAACGATGTACGCAACCCCCAAATAGTTTTACTCTTTGATATTGTAATACGGCTCAGATTACAACATAGAGCCCATTAACTACTTTTCAAGTCAGAATTAAATAAGATAAAGTGGGCATTTTTTAATGATTCATTTGTTTTGTTATTTTGTCTAGACTGTTACCAAACTGTTAAAAAATTAATGTTTGTGTGAGTGACCGAAAGATATCGCTTCCTTACTCTTTTAAACAGACCAGTGTCTTGGTCCCTTGCCTTCCGACCGCTATCACCGAATATGGTATGTAAAATCTTTAAAAAACACCTATTATTTCCTAATGAGGAAGTATTTAAATAAAAATAGTTCCCGAAATTAAACTAGATATCGTTACGTTCTTGAATTCTCCATGATAACCCTTTCGGTTTTCTTTCATGTTTAAAAGTAAATTAGTTTTGAAAACTCAATATACAACTCATATACTATTTGTACTTTTTCGTATTTATATTGATATCTAACTCTTTAAATTTCAGTTTTTTTTATGTTAGTTAAAAGGAACGGAAATAACTGTCTTTGATCCATTCGTTTCCTGCAAAAATCAACTTTTGCTAGAGTCGCCATCTAGTGGAGGTGCTTTTTTGTGCTTTAGTTTTTTTTAATACTACCTCAATGGCATTTTAATCCTAAAATTTGGGCTGCCATCTATTGACATAATTTTTGTAGTTTCTTTATTTTTTAAATACTTTTCTCATTGTGGCGAAGGAGACTAAGACGCTTATTTTTATGCTTTTTTGTTAGAGCAAGGAGTTTTTACTCGTCTATAAAATACTTTTTATAGAACAATTTTACTTTTCTAATCTATTTTTTGACCCAATGTTTTTGTGATTAGCTGTCCATGCCTATTGTTTTTTTTAATTCACTTCTATATTGTTTGCATATGCATAGTATCCACTTTAAATCTAATGAGGAGGTATGTAAAAAATAAGGAAACTACAAAAATTTATGTCACAAGATAGCAGCACTAATTGTTGGATCTAAACGCCAATTTATGACGTTAAAGCCTAGATTGAATTGATTTTGATATTTGTATTAATATCATTCGTTTCGTGGAAGCATAATGACACATACAAATACAAACTGAATTCTGCGCTCCGCTTTTTGTTCTTCATTCCAATCCTGAATTCCAATGAAAGTTACGAGCAACCAATAAGTTGGCTCATCACTAATGTTGACGTATCAACCAAACATCGTTCCTTTACACGTAACATAATAAACACCTTAAACTTACTATTAAAATAAATTTGAAAGTTATATAAGAAACACAAAATTAAATACGACATATTTTTTAATTTTCGATAGTCAATTTATTTTATTACGTCAGAAACAAAATTTGAATGAATGTCATAAACAAAATCCAAACATCGCGAGTGACATCTAGTATGATTTTATGAACTAATTTTTATTTTTTAAATACTTCCTCATTGAAACATTGGTGGACCAGAATTGGGGTTCACCAATATTTTTGACTCATGGCAAATAAATATTCTGTTTACTATAGATAGTACTCATAACAAGTATGGTTTATCGACTGTAATCCCCTTGAAAAATAGATAAAATAATATTTTTTTTAATAATCGTAAAACGGTTTATTAAAATCGGTATATTATAGAGTAAATAAAGTCCGCAAGGACAACAAACAAAGAACACACACAATGTGTCAAAAATAGACAAGAAGAGGCAAGAGCACATTTTGTTGTTTGGCTATGTGTGTACGCCGGTTCGACTTGCCAAATTTAAAATTAAAGACAACCCCCTCTGCGATTGTGGCATTGAGGAAGGAACTACGGATCATATTTTATTTAATTGTTCAAATTTATCCATTTCGCTTTATGATTTGCTACCATCAAAAGTTCCACGTCCAACAAATATAAAATGTATCTTGAGTATGGAGAATCCCAGCCCATTCAAAATTTTAGCAAAATTCTTTGCAATCAATAATAGTCTTAATTTATAAATATATTTGTTTTCTATATACATTCTATTTGTATTATCTTTAACAATGTAATCAGATAGACGCGCTCAGAGCTATTTTTTTTTATTTTATTGAAATTCAAAATTTTTCATATTTTATTATTGTCTCTATACGTGTAAAGACCACAAACGTGACATTGGCGGAATTGTGTAAATGCAAATAGGCCATGAATTAAAAAAGAAGAAGAAGAAGGCTATGCGAGATTTTACATTGCAAGCTTTTACTATTTATCTTTTATAAGTGTTATTTCGACCTTTCACAATTAAATAATATATTAGCTTTAGATGTATTAAAAACAATGGAGCTGATAATTTGAAGTCGTGATAAATTTATGGAATACGATCACATATTACCGAGCCCAGTTTTCTATAGTAAGTAGAATTATAATTATCGCATCTTATAAATTTTAGATGTAGTTGTAGGATTATAGGCTCCTATAATATGCGTGTCGTAACACTTAAATATTCAATATCCATTTTTTTCGCTAATGGTCAACGATTTAATTTGCATACAATAATTTCTTCCTGCCTGGTGGATAGTTTATTCAACCAAATAAGTTTTTATTGTGTACTATTATGTGTTCATGTAACAGGTTTCGATCCCTACCTTTATGTATGTAAAATATTAGTTTATTCTTGTTTTTTATTAGATTTTAGCTATTCTGTTACTGATTTTATTTTTAAGTTTTGAATTTATGGAACAATGTTTTAGTTTGACTCTGAAAAAGTTACATGTTCTCCTTAAACATATCGAACAAAATGGGTACCTATATTTTTAATTTAAAATATATTTTTAAAGAAGTTAAATGGTATGGTAGTTGATTAAATTCAATTTTCTCCATGTCAATCAGTAAAATTATTAAGAGGGTAACTGCTAAACATTTTTCAAAGCAGCTAATAGTGTGGTAGTTGTGAAAACATATCTGTAGTTCTACATTATTTAATAAATGTAGACAACACTCAAATAAGATAACTTTCTTTTTACAATTAAAATTTGTTAAGTGTTCCATCAAAAATACTGAAGGACTCTTGTTGGCAGTCCACAGTTGAGAAGTATGTATAGAAATGAAGACATGCGATGTGTGCCGTAACCGCACTGAAAGAAGGGTGTCGGAGCCCCATCCTGAAGAACCGGGGGGTGACCGTGACCCCTTAATAGACTCCCCGGTAGTCTCCCAGGAGGAACCCCACGATAATTGCAATTTAGTAAGAGCTGCTAAATGTTCAATGTAGATGCACAAGCCCTATACTGTGCACTTTAGTTAATTATGCATACACTTTTATTTAGTAATTGTAATTTTTTTTTATTGTGTACACCAATTTTAATGTTACTTAATTATTCATTTTGATCATGATCAGATTTTAAAAAGTAATCATTTTGAGGATCATAAGCAAAGTTGATAGGAGTTAATCGTAGTACAACAATTAATGAGTCATTAACTGTCTAGATAAGTTGTTGTCATCAGGCCTTAATCCAGCTTCAAATATTGTGTGACAGATTATAGATTACAAGCTCTGTATAGAATATAATCACCAAATATATTGTCCATGAAATTAATTTGATTAAATATAAAATTAATACCTAAACTTCTTTGAAACAAAACTTTCACCTTCAATTATTAATCTAGTCATGTGTTTTGCTATCTTAAACCTTAAAAACTTAGACTGATAATTTCTTTTATGTTACTTAAAGTGCCAAATATTCAATGTGTGATAAGATCCACTCATAAAAACTATATCCCTAATAACCATAACATTAGATAGATATACAGAGAGATATTAAGAAATTCAGCAAGAACTATTTTGTGGGTCATTTTTTTATATTATAGAATTGTTCTGAAATAAAAAAATAAAACACAAATAAAGTTCAATATATATACAAACTAAATAGTTAAAGTTGAGATTTGTAGTATCATTCCGTTTGATATTGCTATTGCCAGCAATAAAAGCACTTGTATCTTATCAGTCCCTTTATTAGATAGAACAAATTATGTCGACTCTCTGTGAACTAATTTGATTGTGTTAGCTGTTGAGTTTTTTGTCCTCTCTAATGAGCAAATGGAGCAGTCTCCTCATGTTTATCAAACAATCAGGTTGTATCATAGTTTAAAGATCAGACACGTGTTGAGATGGGACTTGATTGTTGTATCCTAATATGTTTTAGTAAATTATGTATAATGAAGTGATAATGCTTTTTTGTTTAGATTTTGTTGTAGTTTAAGTGGTTGTAAAATGAAAAAGAAAATATATATATCACCTCCAAAAAAGGTAATATGAGTAAAATGAAATAAAAGGAATAATTAAATGGAAAAACTCCATCTGAATCTTTTTATGAATTTCTAACCCTAATATTTGTCAATTATGCCTTTGTTGTTAAATCTTAAGCTAGCAGACAACTCATATAAAATTGTATTTTAAAAAATTAATGTGTGCTAAAAGGTTATTGTTATTCCGTTAGTTTAGTATTTGTGCATGCATGTATGTGTATGGATGTTCTTTTTATTTAATTAAACATTGTACTTAATAAGTAATGTAATTGCATGAATTGCACATTAGTTCAATTGTAAATAAATATATGTTAAGTTCTACATTTTGTGGGATAATTTCTGGTAATAAAAATAGTTCTATTTGGTGTATTCTAAAACCATTTTAAGACATACAGTACACCATTTGGGGTACAAATGCAGTTTAAATTCAATTTCTAAAAATTTAAAAATGGTTCTATTTTTATTAAGGTACTAATTTTGAAACATTTGCATTATACTGTGATTCAGTCTACATTTTAGCTCTTCACGTTTCTTTTCATATGGAAGTTGGAAAACTTTTTCAGCTTTATTTTAAGATATTACGTTAACTGTTAAAGGTAGTTATGAAGATTACCAGTTTTGGTCCTTTTTGACGTTATCGTTTCTTATCAAGAATTGACAGAAATCGAAGAGTGAGAGAGAACACCATCCACAGACTTGTTTTGTAATTTATTTTTTGTTATATTTTTCTCATTATTCCTCCTTGTCTTAAATATTTACACCGACTTTTTATGATGTGTAAAGCCTGCGCCAAACATGCGCGCTTAATTGTTCACTGTTTTGAAACCTTTTCTCACGTGAGGTTATCACAATATGTCAAATTACTGCGATGGATTTTGCCTCTACGGTCAATGTATTTAGGTTTAAAATCGAGTGGGGGAAATTTTACAGTTTTGCGTTATAGTCTGGCGTTGCAGTTAACAGTACCTGCCAGATAAGTGTTCACATATGTATTCAAAGATTTAACTTCGCTTGGAACTCAGTTTCAATGGACTTCTTGCCAATGTGGCGCCTAATAATGTGGGTTAAAAACCGACATGGAACGGCAAAGCACACCGTTTAAATATGTCAAAATATAATCAAATGCCCGTTCCATACATGTGAACACTACATATTACTACAGAATAAGATCGAATAAGAATTAGCCCGGATAAGAGAAATATCGCAACATCTGTTATTCTCCATCGTTGATCACTTACAATAGAATTGTTAACCATAAAAAAGTTCATTTATTGCTTTATAAACGGTATCTACTTGAGTCATAGACGGTTTCTGTATTAGGAAAAGTACCAAATCTTAACTAACTATTCTCAATAACTTAATTTTTTTACGTTTCATAAGTCTAAAAGTCTGAGTTTTAACAAACGGCATTCAATTGATCATTAACAATTTAAAATCAGAAACGTAAACTTTAAATTCTCAATTTAGAAATTGGGTCTATGTAAGCATTAAGGAGCGCTTATATAGGTACTCTATTATGTACTGTAATAAAAGTAGATAGAGTTGATATAATTATAACATTGTTTTGTTTAGTCGTGCGGGATCTGCACGATGTTTCCGTCGTGCATGTCGCTGCTGTCGCGACGGGAGCAGGCACCGCAGCCTCGACCCGGACAGGCGGCGGTAGTCCTCAACGTATACGACATGTATTGGACGAACTGGTGAGTCTACATTGGAATTAATACGGACGATGCTTGGTTATAAAACAATATTTTTAGTCCGTCAGTCAGATAATAGAAAAATATTATAGGTATTTTTTATTTTATTTAAATTTAAAAAGAAATTGCTTAGATAAAAGGCATTAAAGTAATTCTCACGATTATGTAGAAAATGTACAAAGGTGTGACGTCAGGCGACATTTTAACTCGACGTAACTTCGTAATTGATTGATAATGCGTAAAATAAAAATACCGTGTAGATTCTTCAATAATCAACTTTATGGACAAACAAAAAATTGGTCGTCATCCTTAGAATCAACTAATACAGCTTGCCTATGTAACTGCGCGGGTGGTTGAATTTCAAAGCTCGCTACTAATGTTACTACGCTATTGTATCTTCCGTCGGTTACACTTTCAGTGTGAGTCGGTAAACTAGTGCGTTGTAATTTACAGCATAGTTTTTAAACAAGTACAAAAAAATATATAAGACGACATCACAAACATTGTTCAGATTCCAAGATGAGTAGTAAAAGTCCCCATATTAAGTAGTATCTGAGACAACGAAGGTACTACTACACCCAGACTCGAGACAATATATAAAAGTATAGACAATATATAAATATAATTTTATACATCGACTCGACCGGGTATCGAAACCGTGACCTCAGAGATTGCGACACCTTGATATCGGCGTGCGAACCACTCGGCTACTACCACGCTCGGCACGTAGGTCGTTTATAATACAGTGACACTAGAAAAGCCCTGCGATTCTTATATAATCCATACCCGAATTCGAATTTACTCATGTGTCCGGATACACGTAGTTTAGTATAGAAATTCTATTGATTCCAATTTTCATGTAAAAATACACAACACACACACAAAACATAATTGATTGGATATAAGTGTCTCGGATATTCTATTCCTATGTCATTTCGAAAGTCACTTCACTTATGCCAGGTATGGGCAACCTTGGACATGTTGTGGGCCAAACTTTAGTGTGGAAATACGTTCGCGGGCTGCGTTTAAAAGTAGTGTTGTAGTGCTCATAATTTTTTGCGATAGATCAGACATAAAATAATACGAAAATCTTATTATAAATAAGGTTTTGCCGGCTGATGCCCACCGTAGACTTATACCATAGAACGTTATTACCGATTCAGGGTTGAGCGGATGCCGCTTTTTGAAGTGAATTGGGACACCTGGTCGATTTGATTTCGGGTTTGGATTTCTACAAAATCGCAGGGCAGATACACAAATTTAATTATAAAAAATGAGAACAACGGCTTTCCTATTCGTGTTTCGTTAACATATTTCAGAATTAAATAGATGGCTTTAGCTTTTCAACAGGGATGACGACTAGTTTTTGTTTGTTTGTCAGGTAGATCATTGAAAAACATTAAACACGAATTTTTTTTCTGAATCCTTCATTTACGGCGATAAATAAAGTTCAAATGTCACATGACATCACGCTTTGGTACATTTTGGTACAAAACTGTGGTAGCTTCACTGCGGGTATTACTCACATAAGCCGTTATCACGGTAATCAGTGTTTGCTCACACGTACATGGTAGTGTTACCTCAATGGTAACGTACTGCAGGCCAATAGGGATGACGACTGGGTAAAAAAAAAGGAAATTCTATTAATAAAACACGCCCGGTTGGTTGGCTGATTGTGCCGCTTCCGCTTGCCGCTTTCCGGCATCCGCTCAACACTGCGACATATACATATATATACATACAAATACATATATATATAATATATATGTAGATTACAACACACACCCACAGGCACAACACACAACACAATACACACACTCACAACACACAATACACACATTCACAACACAATACTCACACACGAACTCATTCATTCATGAATGTTGGTTCTTGTTAACATTAAAATATGTACTTGCCACAAAGCTGGAGCGAAATGATCCCAATACAAGTATTTTATATTACTTACTGGGATAATTTCAAGGTTGTAAATGCTGGAAATAATGTTAATGAAGAACATTTTCATTCATTCAAAACAATATTAGATACGAATGTTTTACCTCAATTTAACAGGAAGTACCTTAGATAACAGGCATTAAAGTTGAGGAGTAGGGGCTCGCTACGTCAGAGTTTTGTAGAAAATGTACCAATGCGTGACGTCACGCGACATTTTAATTCGATGTACCGACGTAATTTAATGATTACGAAAAAAAATTACGTGTCTCATGTGTCATCCCTATTCTGATAATGTTTCGGTAATAATCGCATCTCGATAGCTGAAGTGGCAGTGGGCTGGCCATATTAGCCGCAGAACCGATAACTCTTGGGGTAAAAGAGTCCTTGAGTGGAGACCGCGTCTCGGCAAACGTAGTGTAAGACGTCCTCAGGCACGGTGGAGCGATGATTTGCGCAAGATGGCTGGCAGGAGCTGGATGCGAACAGCCGAGGATCGAACTAAATGGCGTGCAATTGGGGAGGCCTATGTCCAGCAGTGGACGAATACGGGCTGATGATGATAGAATCTCAACCGCATTGTTCTATCTACCTGAAGTCTAATATTAGTGTAATGTCTTCCTCACAACTCAATGGTGACATATATATAATAACATAGGACTTACAATGGCAAAAAGCAAATCGTTGAAATGTTACTGAGGTTGCGATTATTACGGAAACATTAGCAGGATTTGTCTACTGGGAATGTCGGGAGTTGGAATTCTCCTCTGACCTCTGTGTGTGCGGCAGTGGCCGACTTGCCACCGTGTGGTTACGCCACTGTTTGGAATACTGGATGAAGCTTTAGGACTGGTCTGCTCAGGTACACGGCGGGCGCGGGGGTGGGCGTGTTTCACAGCGGCGTGCAGGTGCACGGCTCGGAGTGGGCGTACGGCGGGCACCCGTACGCGTTCACGGGCGTGTTCGAGATATCGCCCCGCGACGAACGGGAGTTAGGCGAACAGTTCCGGTTCAGGTAACATTATTCCGTATAACTAAGTAGTTCGTGTTGTTGAGCCACTTTTGCTAGGGTTGACCGCGGGATGGGTGACCAAAAAATTGTTATCTCGAGCATTTGAAAGAAGAAAGAAAGAATGTTTATTTCATCATCTAGACAATATCATATACATATAAGTTTTGGATACTCCTTTTAAGCAAATCTTTGTTTGTGTTGGGATATCCCGCTTTTCCATTAACTTAGCACTGTGTTTGTATATGTGAAATTTTTATTGCATTTGAGAGGTTAATCTCCATTCTGCATTAGGTCAGCGTGGGGATTCATTACCTATTCTCCTTCATCATCCATAAGAAAGGCCTGAGATCCAGCAGTAGGGAACTTAAAACCTTATAATGATGATGTTTCAACCATTGACCGCCTAAAGCAAATTGACGATGACAAGAAGAGAGAATATCAAATTAAGACGCGTTAACTTCATTTGGTCAGTGAATGGTTTAAACCTGTCACTAAAATTAGTTCTCGTTTTATAAAAAGATGGATTGTATATAATGTTGTCAAAAGGTTATCTTATAAGTTCGTTATCATCATCAACTTCACTGTTGGAGCACACCCAGAGCCATGTTTAACCAATTTGATGCTCTGGGCATATTAGGATAGCGGTAAAATAAAGCAGCCCGTGCCGATATTTCTGCCGGCTCTTCTCAGCTCTGTGATTCTATAAAAATCCAGACCCAAATTAGAATTTACTCATTTGTCCGAATTAACGTAATTTTGTGTATTCTATTGATTAATTTTTTTGTATAAAAATACAAAACAAAATTGATTGAATATACGTGCCTCAAATATTCTATAAGTAACTCAAACTCACTTCACTTATGCCACGAAAAGTTATGTATGACTAATTTAAGGTCGAGCGTATGCCGGTTTTTGAAGTGAATTGGGACACATGTGTGAATTCGAGTTCGCGTTCGGATTTTTACAGAATCGCAGGACAGTACAAAATTTTCCTACATTAACAAATTGTAAAGACCTATTAGATTTTTAATTGCGGTAACTAAGTGGTTTATTTGGCCTTCGTATAATTACTTACATACTTAAAAAAATCACTTATCATATTCCCTTTTAATTTTGTTATGGTTTTATTTTAACTATTTTTTTATTTAAATATCTTTATAACATTTTCCAATGACAACTGTTTACCATTTGCCGGGGTACCCTTTGAAGTTAAACAGCTTTTATCAATATATACAATGTTTATATAAATACATGACCACGTCGAAGAAGCCCATAGTGGAAAGCTAGTGCAGGTATATGATAATTATCATATTGTTTGCAGACAAAGTGTACACATAGGGTATACAGACTTCAGCGAGGAGGAAGTGAGACGCTTAGTAGCAGAGCTTGGCAAACAGTTCCGCGGTGACAGGTAAATTAGATAGTTATATGACATTATACTAATACACTCACGGATCTATATCGAAGTATTTTCGACTATAAAAACAATTTGTTCATCCGCCACAATTAAACCAGAATGAGTTATGAAAATATTGCAACATATAAATAAAAACTACATGCATAAAAACTTTTTATTGAAGAACCGAAGCAAATAATGGGAAATTGTCTATTATAATTGCCCGAGTAGCACGGTGGCGTAGTGGATAAGCGCCGCAGCCCGATCGTAGTTGTTAAGCAACTTTCGCAAAGGTCGGTCACGGGATGGGTGACCTAAAAATTATTATCTCGAGCTACTCCGTGCTTCGGAAGGCACGTTAAGCCGTTGGTTCCGGCTGTATTTGCCGTCGTTAATAATCTCCAAACCACATTGAGCAAGCGTGGAGAGTCATCCATCCTCCTTCAACATCCGTAAGGAAGGCTTGAGCACCTGTCGTGGGGCTGATGATGAATTGCCTAGAAAATAATGTTTTAAGTTAATTATAGAAGACTAACTATGGTTTTAATAAAAAAAAAAAATTGTAAATTTCGATGTGCCTCCTTTTGCGCAAAGGACACATTAATTTAAATACGTACCTTCATCCTAGGGCGTCAAAGTGAATCGCCTACGAATTCGTCACCGCACTTATGCAGTCAACTAACATTTTTTTACAATTATTATACATTTTTATTTCTTGTTAATGCAGTTGAAAATAAATATTTAAATTTTCCATGTATCATATTATATGATCTACAAAGTTCATTGTGTACAGGTAAAAATTGTTGTCAGTACGCAATTTGTGACTACGGTTTAGTATCGTAAATTTGCATGACTAAAATATTTTTAAATTTCCTATTTAATTTTTTTTTAAAATAAGTTATTAATTTATTATTTGCAAATTTATTAACAATATCAAAGATCTCTAAGTATATTGACAAAATACCATCCCCCGTGTAAAGTGGTCATATTATCTTTTTCATTTTTATTTTCCAATGTCAAAATAAAAAGTAATACTAAAACGTGAATATGATTCACCGTTACGAATATTAAATTTTGTGCACTGACCACAAATTTTTCTTGTATATAATACCTACGTCATTGACTTTTGGAATTATATAATTCTTATTATTTGCAGGTACCATCTTATGAATAATAACTGCAATCATTTCACGTCCGCCTTCTGTTTGGTAAGTGTATTTTGTGTTTTAATAAATATTGACATTTCTCTCTCTCTCTCTCTCTCTCTCTCTCTCTCTCTCTCTCTCTCTCTCTGTTTCTATCTTCCTCCCACTATTTACAGCTAACCATGTAGATCTGTTACTGCTTAACAGACATATCGCACACCTAGATCTAAACTAAGACAACTCAAAAAACTAATGTGGAGGTCTTGACAATACATTTGTTTACGTGGCAGGAGCGCGACCACTGTTGATTCAACAAAAGAAAGCTAAAGTTATCTAGCGGCTCATCCCCGAACCTTTATTGAATCTGTTATGTTGGATAGATGCGTATGATCACCGAGTATTCGAATATTGTACTAAGTCAAAACTCACTCAAATTTTTGAGTTGTCTCAGTTTAGATCTAGGTGTGCGATATGTAATATATTGTAAAATCACTAACATCAGCAGTTGCTGTATTACCATGAAAAATAAAATTAAAAAAAAATATTAAAAATAATTTTAGTAACATTGAAATAGCAATATAATATTTTCGGATGTCGAAACTAGTTATAAATGTATAATTAAAGTTCGGAAAATACACTGCCGTCAGGGGTTTATTTTAAAGCACAAGTCGAACATTCAAATATGGATCGGCTTATAATACTCGTAGGTTAAAGGCAAGCTACTATTATTTCGGGTCACAGTTCCCTGTCCATAAGTCTGGGCGTCGTCTAATTGGTTATATTTATAACCAGAATTTCAAATGTTACTTCTACTTTTAATAGTTTACTGTTACACTGCAGGGCTCAGTCCTTCCTTATGGATGATGAAGGAGTCTATAAAGTTGAAATGAAAACTTTTTAAATGTTATAAATTAATCGTATTAATTAGATAATTCAAAATGAATCAGAAGTTTGGTTATAATTTCAATTAAACCAACTATATAAATATACAATATTTGTAACGCCAGAAATTAAATCAGTTTTACCCTATGGTATATCTTTTTATTGATTACAATCTGTCAATGTAGGTACCTATTAAAATAAATAATAATAATAATAAGTATATCAACGGAAAAGGGCCAGAAAAAAAACAACTGATATTAAGTTATTTTTTTAATTAAAAATAATTTTAAAGTCTTGTTACTGTAAGATTTTGAATTTGATATTTATATGTAAAGGTCTGGAAAATCTTTGTAAACTAATTTTAATGAAACTGACGAACGCAACACTCTGATTTATAACTAACGCATGTGGTGGCATAGATTGCGTGCCAATCGGCGCGCAATTCTTTTGTTCTAATAACCATAAAAAATGCTGCAATTTAATTGAATTGTTTACTTACGTAGATTGTATTACTTTTGCACGTGTTGATTAGTATATAGCTTTTATTAAACAGATCAGACAGATAAATTATTAATTTGTTCTAAATTATACTAGTAAGCGGAGCGCCTGTATAATTTGTAAGTTGACCTCAAAATAAATTGTTGGTGGTTGTGTTTTGATTTTAGTTAAGAAGAAAAATTTTGTGGTACTATTTCTCTCTTTTCAGTTGTTTCCTTGTATCACGATTTTTTTGAAGTCTGTTTTTTATTTTTTTATTGTTTTTTAATGTATTGTTAAATCTATATATAGTATAACTATATTTTGAACTACACAACTGATTTTAATGCAGTTTTCATAAATACACAGAGGGTATTTTTGTACGTGTCATGGCCATATCGTAGAATTCATCATAATCATGATTCCGCCGATTATCGCAGGACTTTTTTTGTTTTTTTTTTTTTTGTTGCACGACAAAGTGACTGAAATATACCTGATGGGAAGTGATATTACAGTCTGTCTGCTATCAAAAATTGAAACTACTCCCGGTAGCCATCGCTATCTTGCTGACCTGTTAGAGTTTTTCCACACCTTTTTTGAAGGACCTAAGGTTATATTTAATTGGAAACACGTGGGATATGACACTGTTCCACATTTTAATAGAACGGCAAATATATGATGTGCCGAATTTTTTTGTACGAGATGGTACAGTACAAACAGTCTGGGTATGGCAGCTAACACGGGCAGCTCAAATTGACCATATCGCTATGCTACGCTTCGAGATCGTCTAACCTATCATGTGACCTACAGTAGTGAGTAATATAGAAAATATAGTGCAGTTCATATCTCAGAAACTTTTATATCTTCAAATATATTTTTATCGTCCTCTAGAGCTAGATCAATATCCTTTATACTGACTCTATCATAACCTTGCGACATATCCATCTTAATCAAGTAATTATTTTCCATTGCTCGGTCGCCCTACTTTCTTTAATTTGTGTATACCTAAAAATTGAAATATATCATTTATCACAAAAAAATGCGACATCAGCGCCTCCTACCGAGTCTAACGTAACTATTTACCGATAAGATTACTAATGTGTGGCCACATCATAAGGTCAGTTGCCCATATCGTTTAATGAAAATTTGTCATTTATCTGGCCAGGCCACGTCATGATGTGAGCAGCAAGTTTTTTCGATTTCATGACATAGCTGGCCGCATCATGAATTGTTCAATTCTACGATCTAACCACGACATATGTATAATACAGGACCACGAGAAATATAAAATACTATAATAAAAGAAATAAATACATGTAAATAATATTTCTTTAATTTAACTAGTGATAATATTTGCAATAATTATAAGTTTGTCGTTAAATTTTGTTGAGAGTTTATGAAGTTCTTAACATCTGCAAACTACTAACTTACTACTCCGATTTTTTAATTAAATACATATTTTATATTTTACCTTTGATCAAAAGTTGTATTGTTGGTTGAAGTATTTTACATAAATTTATAGTACCTTTTTAAAACTGACGTCAATTAAAATAATATTTATTGGACATCGTTTCCCAAAACAATTAAGTAATGTATTTCTATGGAAGAGCACTGATGTCTGAAATACAGATACATCTTATTGATGTATACGATTGTTCAAATAGTAATTAATGAATGAATTTTTTGTACCTACCTATTGAGCATGTCATGATATTTCATGTATCTCTAATATACTGAGATTTATGTATTTGATTGATTAATAAATTATTATTATTATTACTAACTAGGAGTAACAAATATAGACTTAAATATTTAATTAAGTTACAACGTTACCCGGATTTCATGCTATATCACTCATAGATGTACTCATAGATCTTAGAAGTCTTTTCACTCACAGAATATCATAATAGTAATAAAATAGGATTTTATTCCTTAAATTACCACTATCCATTATTATAATAATAATGGTTCAAACTTAATTTATTGATAAATGAACTTTGACAATATATTAATAAATGACATATTACTATATCGTTATATGAACGTTTTTATCGATTAGTGCCCTAATAATGATGTATTGAAGGACATTGTCGGTGGTCAGGGCTGTCATTAAAAATTCATTGTGAATCTTCGTTGACCAAAAAACGGAATATATTAAATATATATACCCACCCAGACTAGAGAATAGAAATGCAAAGATCTTTGATATACAGAGGTAATAAAAAAACTGGAAACGTCTCTCTTGACACTGTTAGTGCGCTTGTATTTCAGGGTATTCCATTGCCAATTGTGGCCATGGTTAGCTCACAGTATCTTTTAAAAATTCTCGCGACCCATCTCAATATCGAGTTATGAGTATAATACGACAAGGTTGAGAAACAATGGTCTAAAGCAACATAGTTTAAAGCAGTCCTTCCCAAAGTGGGTAATAACCCCCCCCTGTGGGCACTGCAGGCCTTAAGGGGGCGGCAAGATACCAAGAAGAAAAATGGGGGCGTTGTGTAAAGGATTAGGTGGGCGATTTGTAATTTCATCTACGAGGACTTTTCGACACTGACTGAGTTTTCTTATATCGTTGAATTATATTATTGAATTTCGAATATTGTTTAGAATGAATTTTTAATTTCCGCTAATATAGCTCTAAATAATTAAATTAAATTATAGTTTAAATTATAGTTGTTTTTAAGTAGGTGAAAAAAGGGGGCGTTTAAATTTTTTTTATTCCCAAATGGGTAGTATACGACATAAGTTTGAGAACCCCTGTTCTAAAGGCTTTTTAGCCTTATTGACTGGCGATCTAAAACAAATACATTTCAAGCCAGCATTATTTTAACTAATAAGCCATGGTTTGCTTACGGATGTGAATCAAAATTTTTCGTCACCCATTTCAATATTACTCGTTTCGACCCAAAGGTTGTTCCAAACAAATAAGTATAGTCCGTTTTTTCTTAATTGATTTAATAAGTATACAAACATGGCGTCATTATAAGATTTGACATTACATAGGGTTTGAAAACATTGAGTTATATAATGAACGAAGCTATGAAAAAGATTGGCTACATTTTTGTTAATTCAGCCTTTAATGATTGAGTATCTACTGTAATTATTATAGATGGTTTCATGCTATTTTTCAGTGGGAATAACGGTATAAACTAGTGTATGAAAGTTGCTGTAACCGCTTACATTGTGCGATTCTTTTGTGATCTCGTGATTTGTAAGAAAAAATGAACTACAGCTATGTTATAATAATAATAATAAACTTTATTTGAATTTCCAAAAACACGTTCTAATTTATAACTGTTTAAGATTAAAATAAACTGAAACAAATAAATCAGAAAGCAATAGAAATAAGATGAAGAACAAGAAATATGTCGGGTTGTGTGCTGCAGCAATGCAAAAGGGTCAAGGCTCAGGATACGATTTGCCTACAAGAAGTCAAATCCCTGCATAGAGAGCATGAGACGCCAAAGCACTGTATATTAGAAATAATTTCGCATTAGAAAAATGATAAATATATCGCACACCTAGATTTAAACTAAGACAACTCAAAAAACGAATGTGGAGGTCTGACAATACATTTGTTTACGTGGCAGGAGCACGACCACTGTTGATTTAACAAAAGAAAGCTAAGGTTATCTAGCGGCTCATCCCCAAACCTTTATTGAATCTGTTATGTTGGATAGATGCGTATGATCACAGAGAATTTGAATATTGTACTAAGTCAAAACTCAATCAAATTTTTGAGTTGTCTCAGTTTAGATCTAGGTGTGCGATATATAAATAAACAGTACCGTAATAACAAAAATGTATATAAACATACACCTCTC